TCTTTCATTAATCGATTTCGTACTCTCTTTATCTAGATTTCGTTTTCCTTATGGTTTAGTGAAGAATCAGGTAGTGATTAAGTGAATTCTCTATGTATGCGTCAATTAGTTCGTTTTTAGTTTCTAAATATACGAAAACCTCTTTGCCGCTTTGAAACAATTGACACAAAATGGGAGAGAAGCAGGTAAATGAAGAAGGTGGTGGTTCCTTCTCGTTGTCGCTTGATCTCCAACAATTCAAGAAACTATCCGATATCGAAAACTTTTTCATAAATCTGGAGGATAATCCCAAAGGAGTTATCCCATGTATGAATGCTGCAGTTCACAAGGTAAGGTTTTTTAAATTCCGTTGGGTTTTGTTTTCTTGGTTGGCGTGAGATGAAGACTTATAACCATCATTCACAGGTTCTTCTGGGCCAATGGGAGACTAATGACTTTGATAATGTTATGAAGATCAATATTCGTCTGCATAACTATCCTGAATCTTCAATCTCCCTGAAAAACTTGAGAGCAGCATATATTGGTAGACTTTTCTCTCTTTCAGTTTATAGAAGCCTTTAGTGAGAGAAAGCATGAGTGACCTGCGATTTTGTGCGTTGAAATTGCAGGAAAGCTGGTAACAGTTCATGGGACTGTTGTTAAAGTTAGTACTGTGAAGCCTCTTGTTACACAGATGGCTTTTGACTGTGCAAAGTGCAAAACTAGCATAATCCGGGAATTTACTGATGGAAAATTTTCACCTCCACAAAATTGTGACTCACATGGATGCAAGTCCAAAACGTTTACTCCAGTTCGATCCTCCGCTCAAACAATTGACTTTCAGAAAATCAGGTGCTCTCCTATTTTCGCCCCATGATTTTGTGTTCTTCATCTTTGTTTGTTATTTATCTTGATTTGTTAGTTTACTAGCTGTCTAACTGTTTTTTAGGGTGCAGGAGTTGCAAAAGGCTGTAGACCATGAAGAAGGACGGGTACCCCGAACTGTAGATTGTGAGCTGATGGAAGATCTTGTGGACACATGTATCCCTGGTGATGTGGTGACTGTTACAGGGATTATAGGAGTGATTAACAATTACATGGATATTGGAGGAGGTATTGATTCTATAACTTTCCATGGATCTCTCCAATGTTATTAAACATTACCATGCCTAAATGTATGCTAGCGTTAAATGTATCATAGCTAGAGATTTGTGTGTTGTAAGCATTCTTTGTGGGGCATATTTGGGCATCTCATTGCAGGAAAGTTAATTAGAAAGCTGCTCTTCACATCTCTTATATGCATATTTTCTTACCACAAGATCAGTTGTTTGGTTACTAAAAATGACATTTCACCACGGGTCAAGGAGCTAAAGCCTTATTACTAGTGTTAAATATCATGTCGCCATACCCTCAAACCTTCTTAATCTTAACAAACTTCTATAATACTTATGTTCCAGGGAAATCGAAGTCCAACAATCAAGGATTCTATTATTTGTTTATAGAGGCAGTTTCAGTCAAAAATTCCAAGAAGCAGTCTGCATTTGAGAACTCAGAAGACTCCAGTAGCGGCGTCCAGTCTGCAGATGTTGGTGACTTATATTCGTTCTCTCAGAGAGATCTGCAATTTATTGTGAAGTTCAAAGAAGAATATGGTTCTGATACATTCCGTCGCATACTTCATTCAGTATGTCCATCTATATATGGACACGAAATTGTCAAAGGTCGAGTACTTCTGTTTTAACAAGTTCCCCTGGGAAATCATTGGTGAAGGCTTGATAATTACTATTAGAAGCATTGCATACCATGATACTTCTGTCATTTTTTTTTCTTATCATTTCAACAGCTGGGATAACACTATCCCTTTTTGGAGGTGTAAGGAAGCATTCCATGGATCGGAACAAAGTTCCAGTCAGAGGAGACATTCATGTCATAATTGTTGGTAAGCTTTCCAAACAAACTTTATTTAATGGCATTAACCCATTCTGGATATTACATGAACTGAGGGAAGGTTATATGTTACTATTTAAAAACTGATGCAAAAAAAAAAAAGATTGATGATTTCAATGCCAATAGGTGACCCTGGATTGGGCAAAAGTCAGCTCTTGCAAGCAGCATCGGCCATTTCCCCTCGTGGCATCTATGTATGTGGTAATGCGACGACTAAAGCAGGGCTCACCGTTGCTGTAGTGAAAGATTCCATGACAAATGACTATGCGTTTGAGGCTGGTAACTCCTTTCCTTGGCTCTATTTAGCCAGTACAAACTTCAGTATATGGCATATGATTCTACTGTTTCAGATATGGGTTCGAGTCATTCTGTTGATGGATAGTTTTACTTAGTTAATACTTAGCCTAAACTGGCAGTCTAGTTGGGTCAAAGGTGCTAAAATATTTGCCTAAAGTGATGCTCGCGGATGAGGCATGCCTTGTAGTTTCAAGTGATTTCATTATCTGTGGATGTTATGCTGTCTATAGTTTCGCTAGAATGGGGGTTCAGTTAACAGCAATCTAAAATCTTTCCTTTTTTGATATTTTTTTGAACGGCCAATCTAAAATCTTTCTCCAAGATAAAGTTAGTACATTCAAGGGTTTGTAGCTTTAACACTGTTTGATGAGTCTTAGGGTTATGTTGAAGAACTTCACACTAGTGAAAAATGGCTCATGAATAGAAACTCTAACTTTGAAATTGTTCAGCTGATTTGTGGGTAGGAAGAAAAATCTCCGTCTTTGTTAATCTAGCCCTACCCTATGAGCAGGGGCCATGGTACTTGCAGATGGCGGGTTGTGCTGTATTGACGAGTTCGATAAAATGACCACCGAGCATCAGGTTTGTTTATTGGTAGTGTCATTGCTTCTGATGCTGAAAAATTGTTTTCTCAATTACCTGCATCACATTGCCATAGGCTTTGCTAGAAGCAATGGAACAACAATGTGTCTCTGTTGCAAAGGCTGGGCTTGTAGCTAGTCTATCAGCTCGGACTTCTGTTATAGCAGCAGCAAATCCTGTTGGTGGCCACTACAAGTAATTTTCTTGCTGTATTATCTCATTATTGTGGGAGTGTTTGAATCATAGTTGCGACACTGTTCAGTGCTGAATAGTCCTGCATCGTTCAAAGTTTGAGACTGGATGAGAAAAGAAAACCAAAATAGCATATTTTCGTGATATTTATCATCTTCTTCATGATCTCATTCCAGCCGTGCAAAAACTGTAAACGAGAACTTAAAAATGAGCGCTGCCCTTCTCTCGCGGTTTGATTTATGTTTCATATTACTTGACAAACCTGATGAGCTACTCGACAAGCAAGTCTCAGAGCATATTATGTCGGTAAGTCTCTCCATCTGAAGTTATTGCTGTAAAACATGCCTCAAAGAGATATTAGCATACTTTTCTCTCTCGTTGATGGACAAAAGTCAGTGACAGCTACAGCGTATTAGACATATCTGAACGTAATCGCATTCTAAACTTAAGTTTCTGGAAAATTTTGGGTCTATGCATTAGTTAATTCAAAACCCCTAATATAGAATCTTAACTTGAATTTTTACCTGACAGCTTCATTCTGGAGGTGGAGAAACATCACCTGCATTAAAGAAGTTTAAGACAGGTCCAGTTACTTTGTGTTGTTAGGTATAGCTAGTATAACCATGACCTTCTTAAAGAAGAAATCTTGACTTCTCGTTTGATGTCAAATGCAGCATCGGGATATGCAAATATGCATGCCAAAGAGGGTTCTCTACTTTCAAGACTGCGGTTTAACTCTAAGAAAGATGATGACTTTACTCCCATTCCGGGCCAATTGCTTAGGAAATATGTTGCTTATGCAAGGACTTTTGTCAACCCCAAGTAAATTTATCTGTCTCCCAGCTGCAACTACTAGATGTTTGCAGACCAAAATTAGGCATTATGGGGTAACATCTCTTGATCTATTCAGGATGTCAAAGGCAGCTGGAGAGATCATACAGAAGTTTTACTTGAAGCTGAGAGACCATAACACATCCGCTGATTGCACACCGATAACAGCGAGACAACTGGAAAGTTTGGTCAGGCTTGCGCAAGCTAGAGCTCGGGTTGACTTAAGGGAAGATATAACAGTCCAGGACGCAATGGTAAGCCAGTAACATAATGCCTGGGCATACATGCATTTGTTGACCATATACTCGATTAGCATCTATACCATACATGCATAAAAGAAGTATCATTTCCTCTGATCTTTTTTTTTTTTGTTGGATAGGGTAAGTAGCTAACATGAAAGTTAAAGCTGCGTTTTTTTTATGCTGGCTTGGACAATGAACATTATGCTATTGGCTTAAGATGTCTTGACTTCTGTCCTTGAATTTGCTTTAACAGGATGTGGTTGAAATAATGAAAGAATCTCTGTATGATAAGTTCGTAGATGAACACGGGGTTGTGGATTTTGGTCGGAGTGGAGGAATGAGTCAACAAAAGGAGGCCAAACGTTTCTTAAGTGCTCTTGATAAGCAATCAGAGTTGCAGCAGAAAGATTGTTTTTCTATTTCTGTATGAATAACTTCTCTGCTCTACAATTTGCTAGGGGCGCGTCTGACATTTTATTATGACCAATTTCTTACAACATTTTTTCTAACTGCAGGAGATGTATAGTTTAGCTGATAGGATTGGCCTACGAGTTCCAGACATTGATACTTTCCTAGAGAACCTGAATATTGCCGGATATTTGCTCAAGAAGGGACCAAAGACTTACCAGGTATATTCCTCCACCTAACTCAGTAACAAGAGTGGGTGATTTGAATTTATATTTCTCACAGTCCTAAATCCATATACAGGTTCTCTCCTCATCGTATTCCCGGAGTCAGTCATCCAGGTCAAGATGATTAACATTCTGACTGAGTAAAGCAACTTCCTTAGAGCATAAAGGTTTAAAGTAATGATAGTATGTTTTTGCTATTGTACTGCACATATTTAAGTATGAACCTGATCATGGAATCAGTCAATTGTATGTTACACAATGCCAGAAACCCCTTAGTATTAATATCACATGGACTTGGGTTGAATGTTTAGGTCACTGTTCATTCACACCTACTGACTTTCGAAGTATAGACGACATCTAACATCTACGACACAACCTAGTATACATTGGTGTATGAGAGTAGCCTGATCAATAGGATGATCTAGTCTTCTCTTGGACCTAACTTCCACTCACTTCCATAGTAAGAATTAGGCAAACCAAGCCAAAACTTGAAAGCTTCAGCTGCTCTTTTTCGTTCTACCCGCCTCTCTACTCTGGCTTGTGAAGCATGTTTGCTAGTGAACATCCTCGAGTGCATCTCCACATATATCTTCTTGTACTTAGTTTTATTAGGAGGTATCCCATTCTCCTCCATGCACGCGATTATCTCCAATGCCTTCTTGAAAAACGCAGCCCTCACACATATATCCGCTAGCATATCTAACAAACCTTCATCTGGTTTCAGCATCGAAGGAGAAGGATCTGTAGAATGTCCTTCAGATTCTTCTCTCTTTTTCACCTCACACCTTTCCTTAATTTCCTTCCAAAGCAAGAGCGCCTCACCAGGTTTCCTTGCCAGAGAAACCCCGTTGGCTAGACTCCCATAAGTCGCCACATTTGGGTAAAACCCGTTTTCTTTCATCCTTGAAACTACTCTCTTTGCATCTTCAATCAAACCTAGCCTGCAATACCCTTCAACCAACATGTTCCACGCGATCAAATCCACTTTGACCCTTGGATCCCTCATCATCTCATCAAACACTCTATTCGCCAACTTGGGTTGCCCCGACATTGCAAAAGCCTTCATCAAAGTAGTGTAACTAATCTTAGTTGGTGCAATCCCTTTTGTTCTCATCTCATTGAAGAACGATAAAGCTCCTGCGCTATCATCTATAAGAATGCATCCATCTATAATGATGTTATAGGAAACCACATCTGGCTCGATCCCTGCATCTTCAGCCATCTCTCTTAGCAAATCCTCCGCCTTATCTATCTGCAACTGCTTACAATACCCTTTGAGCAGAACATTATAAGTGATCCTATTTGCAGGTACACCCATCCGAGCCATCTCACCTAACACTTGTCGCGCTCTATCCATCAACCCGGCTTTTACAAAAGCTGACACAACCGTGGTGTAGGTAACTTCATCTGGGTGGCTCTTACTATCATCTTGACGCCTCATTGCCTCAAGCATTCTAGCTGTGTCTGCCACTCGCCCATTCTTCATATAACCTTTCATCAGCGTAGTGTAGATCCTTGAATCTGGTGCAAAAACTCTAGGCAACAATGGTGGCTTATCACTCGGGGTGACAGAGTTAGGCAGCAATTTCTTGAACACATCCTCAAACACCTCTTCGTTTACCTCATCCCGAGGCGAGTAACCCGAGTCTTCACCGTCCTCAAACGCATCCTCATCATCTTCTGCTTCTTCCTCTTCTTTCTCCTTCAAATCCTCGATATTGCATTCTCGCAGAACCTTGCAAAGATCTCTCCTTTTCTCCCTCATCGCTTGAACAATTCTCTCTGCAGTTCTCAAATCACCAAACCCAACATAAGCTGCAACGAGGGAATGCATCGTCGTCATGCAAACCTTAATTCCCTTCTCAACTATCCTCTCCAAGACAAACACAATCAGTTCCTTCCGATTAACTCTTGCACACAGCTTAATCATAACGTTATAAGTCAACACATCAGATTCACAATCCCACTCAGACATTTCGTCGAACAGTTTCGAGAATTTCTCAGCATCACCAAGGTTTGCACAAGCGTTAAGCACAGCGTTGAACGCCGCCGTGTCAGGCCTAGATTGAGCGACCAAAGACTGGTCGGCGAAGCGTCGCACTCGCCGTGTAATAGCTGTGAAGAGTTTGATTGATTCTTCGGGTCCGTCGTCTCCGGCAGAAGAGAGGTTAGCTACAGCAGCTGTCCACGCTTTGACGTGCGGTAAGTACCCAGAGCGAATCATTGATTTGATAACGGAGACGGCGTAAAGAGTCTGGCCAGACTTGGCGGCAGCCATGGCGAGGAGGCCGAGGGAATTAGCGTCCAGGCGATGGAGCTGGCGCTCATTGCGGAGGCGCGTGAGGATGGATTGAGCGCGCGTGAGGCTATCGGGCTTGGATTGATAAGACAATTGGGAAACTAAACGGCTAAGGCAAGTGGGTCCAGGGAGATGAGTGGATTGAACATACTTAGCCCAAGCCTCATCGGTTTTTCGATTGCGGAGGAGAGACAAAAGCTCTTGGTCGTTGTGCGTTGAATATGGCTCCGACGAAGAGCCCAGAAACGACGAGAGGTCTCCGGCGGAGCTGTTAGCAGTGCCGGAGGAGAACCGTACGAAAGTCGGGCGGCGCGAGGGTCGATTAGCGGCGGTTAAGGGTGGGTTGATGGAGCAGAGAGATATAGTGTTGTGAGAGAGAGTGAAAGCCGCCGGTGTACCGGAGTTTGGATATGGCGGAAACGACGACGAGGAAGACGGAGGTGGGAGAATGTTCATCTTAGGCCCATCGGAGATTGAGAAATGACGAGAAATGGACTCCAAATGGATTATTTGGGTGGAAAGGAGTTTAGCTACGTCGCATTATTAGGATTCAAGCATCTGTTTCCAAATTTATTATTTCCACATTCTTTTGCAAAAAAAAATCTATTTAGATGATCCTTTTTAAAAGGAAAATATAATTATCATATTAACCCATAACCATCCAATTCCAAATTTTTTTAATGTCGGAGACCAGAACTGATTGGATCGCATTCTAAACTGAAATCCAAGATTCCGGATATTGGATCAGTAATTTATTTCAATATTTCTAATACGTTAACACAACTTTCAATTTCAATGCTAGTAAAAGAGTACTAGCCTCCAAACATACAAAGATATTTTCCTACGATATTTTCTTGCTTACAACTGAATTATCTTTATTACATCAATTGTTCTGTATTGCTAACAATGAAACTTGTTGTCTTCAGATTCAAATCTGGCCACAAGTGAAATCTGATCCACGAAAAGAACTGTTTTTTTCTGCAAAACTATTTTGTACAAATGGAAACATAACCATTAGTTATAATAACGCGTGGAAATATCTAAGATACACAAAAAAAGAATTCATAAACTCCTTATGTACATGACTATAATTACCTAAACCATTACTAATGCAAGTCACCAAAGCTAAGACTAAAAGAATAGTAGAGAGTCTTAAACTCATGCCTATCTTTAGTGACCACTACTTACGTCTCACCTAGCCCACAACTAGATAATTAGATTTACCAAAGCCAAGATCAAACAATCATTGGATTCTCGAGTCTAAAACTTGTGTGCCACTCAAAACCACTTTTTGTATATTTTGACAAATATTTACTAAAGTCCTAGTTCCACATGCTCATATGACTCACCCTTACTGAATTTAGCAGAATGTTCATAGAGTATGATAATGACACAACACCAAAAAGCTATTACCAAAATTGGTAATTAGTATATTACCGAATGAATAAACATGGCTTCGACTGTTTTTTTGTCCTCGTTAGCAAAGGCCTTCACTCTTATTATTTTGATTATAAAATAGTAGGGAAACCTCTCATTTACTGTAAAATCATAATAAAAAATTATACAACATGCAAATCGACAACAACGGAAATGAAATTAGCCCATAACTTGAAAATATTTTTTTAAGAAAAGCTATCAAGCGTTAGCAGAAGATTCATTGTTGGATTTTAGTATGCCAATTTTTGAACTCTACGTGTATATATGACTATGATTAATTAAAACACATTTTTGTGTACGCAAATCACCAAAGCTAAGATCAAACAATCGTCGAGTCTTAAACTTGTGTGCCGCTAGAAACCACTTTTTGCTACACATATTTTCCTCAAGTGTTCCAAATGCGCACATAAGTCATCATATTATATTACTCAATCGAGGAGGATATTCACAAAAGTATGATAATGACACGAAACAGCAAAATGGTAGACCAAAAACTGGTAAAAAAAGAAAGAGATCGTCTCTTAAGCGCGTGGGGCAGTTAGAAGAAGCAAACGAAATAAAGCAGAGCAGAAATGCGACTATAAAACAGAGAGGTTCACAACTCTTACAGAATCACACAACAAACATCAGAAGAGAGACTCAATAGCAATAAAAAAAAAAAAAAAAAAAAAATGGGGATTGTAGCATTCCATTGGGAAAACAAGCAACTGACGCTGCTCCATAACAGAGACAATTTTGATTACTGGCAAGTTTAACTACCCCAACCTTTTATGCATTTCATTGTTTGGTAGATGAGTGTTTTGATATATTTATTTTTCATTATTATTTTGAAAAGGAGGATAAAAGCGGCGGATTGGGATAAAAAAGAGGAGATATTGAGTGGTTGGATTGAACAGCTGGGAGGGACATGGTGTGGTATCTCTAAAAGTGGCCGAGTTGCTTTTCTTGTGGACTCAGACTCATTCTCTAACGGTTTAAACAGATGCTTGAATTCGGCCAAGTTGCCTGCTGAATTCTTGGCGGTTTGATTACTCTTTTGCTTTTCTTTTCTCTTTGTGTTTGTTTGTGTTAAGGCTTTTAAGCCATTGGATATGAATGGATCTTAAGAAGAATTGCTTTGATTACAGACCAGCTGGAGTCCAGCGGAATTTGCAAGTATGGTGGCTAAAAGGGATTCGTTTAACACCGGTTTGGCCTATAACCTAATTGTGGCCGACATAACTTCAAACACCATGTCTTATATCTCCAAACCGCTTGCAAAGAAGAAAAATGTGCATACAGAAAATGTTGGTTTTGGTGTGCATATCCTTTCTTTAGCCGGACTCGATGCCAAATCTCCCAAAGTGAGTACTAGCTAGTAACACAACAGACGATGTATGGAGTTGTTTAGGCTTTAATATCGAGAATTTGCAAAATATGAATTTTCCATATATTACATGTTTTGGTAATATATATATATATATATATATATGATGGATATTGCAGGATTTACGTCTGAGACACCATTTTATGGAGATGCTGATTGGTGATTATAAAAACAAACCGCTTAAGGAGATTGCTACGAGGCTTATGTATGATCCAAACGAAGCTGTGAAAGGAGACAAACTGAGCGCAATTTTCGTCGACTCAATGGTAGGAGAGAATTTTAAACATCAAGTTCCAATTTTGAAATATTAATTAAATGTGTAACTCTTTTCTTTGGTGCTCTTATGTTTATTAGATTCAGATTAACAGAGGAGAAAAACGACGCTATAGAACAACGTGTACAACAGCATTGACTGTGAATCCCGATAAGGAAGTAAAGTTCTTTGAGGGGTATCTGATGATCAGTGGCCAATGGAAAGAGCATGACTTCACTTTCCAGCTCGACTAAATGGTTTGCTATATCAACATTGCGCAGGCAGCATCCATCCGAATATTATAATTACTACCTATAACTAATAATAAAACTATCTCGGTGATGTCCTTGTCGTAGAACTATCTATCTTAATTTTATTAATCTTGTCGTTGTCGTCGATTCAGGGAATTCTATTTCCTTTGGTCGTCACACTTATCTCTAGTCGTCTGTCTAAGAACAATATGCTTAAACTAAAAAATAAATAAATAAAATTGTTGTCTTCTCAAACTTTTCCTATGTCCATCTATTCAATTTAATCTACGTGAACCATGAAAGTTAACTTTGTCAAAAGCACTGAGACCACATACCATGACCGAATTGGACCTCATCGCATTTTTGTTATGACATGCTTTTCCATATCTTCTCTTTCTTCTGACTTCTGAACTATTAATTTGTGTGGTCGGTTACTTGTTAGGCACGAAACAAGCTCTGGAATGCCTATTTCTTATTAGCCTAATTCAATCAAATATGAATTACATGATCATTTTTTTAATAGCTTAATTATTTTCTTATTTGTAAGTGTATAGTACTATATGCAGGATTTACGTCTGATAGACCTTTTTTCATAAGAGTGCTAAGACTTATTTTCATCGAAGTATCTTTATTTCATCAAAACATTACAGACATTCCAAGGCATACGTGCAAATACAAGAGTCTTTTTTTTATTCATTTTGTACTGTTATGTAGTTGTATGTGAGAATACAATGAATGACATATATATGAGGGAACAAGAATTAGCACGGGATAGGACATGACACCACCAGATTCCAGATTACTCCTTTTCATTCTCAGCAAACCTGCCAAGCACATGAGCGTATATATCAAACAAAAATACTTAAAAACATTGTGTTCGAACAGATTTAGACAAGCATGTGTTTGCAAGTGATAAGTTTCTGAAATTTCTGAGGAACAATAACTAAAGATCACGGCGTTACATTAGGACAATAAGAAAAAGTTTCAGAAATGTCGAGAAACAATTGTTCTGTGTGTAACTTACCCGAGTTCTGACAACTTCAGATGAGCTTCAGTATAGTCTTCGAAAAAGGCATCCTCATCCTGCGAGTATACGTAGGTAGAATCAGTAACAAATCCAAATGATATGATTGATGAGAATCATGAGATGATGGTTGAGTTGTATAACTTACTGCAGCATATCTCTCAACCAGGGGACGAAAGAGAGGATCCTGGAGAAGAGCCTTGTCGGTTGGCAGCTGCAGAAGTCCTTCTTTCTCTCCGCTTAATATCTCTCTGTTTCACGACCACATTCAGCCTCGGTCCAATCATAGAATGACGAAACCTGAGGAAGAAGGAGGAAAGACTGGTCTTACTTGAAATATGAGTTGTCGAAAATGAGAGGGTTTTGTGTCCATGGTCCCTCGAATCCCGAGCGTTCCTTGTGGCACCGGCCCTGAAAGTAAAACATTATTAGTAAGAGCCAAAACTGAGAAATGGACATAGGTCTTTACTTTTTTTTTCTGGATGCAGCAGACATACCAAAGTGTGTCCACCGGACAATGCCACAATATCTTTGTCATTGAGTCCCATCCGACCAAATACATCTCTCAGGTGATCCACTCCTGAATTTATCGTAAGAAAAAGATGGTGAGTCCATGTTATAATATATGATCTGAGTCAGACTATATGCATTTTCGTTACAACTGATATACCTTTGGTGGCCTGAGGTAGACGACCTTCAGGAGGTGGCTCAACTTTGTCCTGAAAGAAGACGTTTGTATCAGTTAATCACATGAGCAATGCTTAAAAGAACTTAAGAGAGAAAGAGAGAATTTCACTTTGGTGGTGTCTTTGACAGACCATGATCAGTGAATTGAGCTTCAACACAAAGAAACTGCGAACTGAAGATAGATGAGGCAAAAAAATTGGTAGTTGAATAATACTCACCAGTCTACCAGGATGAAATGGAATCTCGGGTCCTCCAGTGATCTCAACAGCAACAACTCCAGCTAGCTACAATCCAAGAAACACATGTGAATCAAGCCCTTTAAAAGTCATGTCAAAATATAAGATTAGCTTTTAGATACAGTTTCACTCTATCTATCATATGCGTGAATCAAGTTCAATGCAAACAAACGAGAGAGGCAATGATAAACAGGTCAAGCTCCTAATTACTACAGTTCGATGCATCCCTTTTCTAGCTATGACAACTTTAAAGAAAAAAGAAGTCAGAACATTGTTGAAATGAAATTTTACCTGGTAGAAATCAGCGTAGGACAAGATGGGGAAGAGCTCTTTGATGGGGTCAAGAAGCCTGACAGCAATATCAAGACCATTGTTAGCATCATGGGCTAGCTCTTGCGGATGCCTTATCGTCCCATACGGCCCTCCCGTCTTCGTCTTCACGTCAAATGTCCCAGCCGAGTGCCATCTGCAAATTTTCCCCAACAACAACAACAAAATATATATAAAAACAAATCACAGACGCATCACCGATTCATCAAAAACGATAGAAGCCATTGATCTTACGCAAGACGGAGGACGATGGGAGCACAGTGCTTCTCAGCGATGAGACCACGTAGCTTCCTCTTACATCTCTGAATAGCTTTCTTGTAATCTTCCGTCACTTCCGGGTAACTCTTCACCATTTTTTCAATCTCGCTTATCTCTGCAAGTCAGGAAAAGACTTATCATTAATAACCCAGAGAGTAGTTGAAGATCGGAGAACATGTTGATCAACAAGATTACAAGAACATACGCTACTAGGAAAAACACACTGATCGATCAAGAGAAAACCTGAAGAAAGTAGTGTTGGTAGTCTAAATCGTTACATTAGTTTGCAATTCAATTTATAGAATTGGCCGATGATCTCTAATGAAGCTTCTAGTTTCAGTCGTCTTTCAGAGAAGCCGTCAGATGGACGGTCAAGATTTGTAGATGCCGCATGATTTCTTCTTGGCGCGCCTTCCAGAAACCATGCGGAAGTACCAATCCGTCCAGAAGATTCATGCCACATGGCATCCTGTCTTTTTTTTTTTTTTTTTTTTTGTCAAGGCATCCTGTCTTCTTTAATCACAATCCTTCAAGGAGTGTTTTTTTTTTCCTGCGTTTGAATGAAAGCAGTCGATTATTCAAAAAAGTTAACTTCCATACTCCACTGTCTAAATTGGACTTGGCTTCACACTTTGTACGTACAGCAATCAAAATTTTCTTCAAACCAAATGGTTTTAGTTTTTAAGCTTCAACGTCCTTGAAAGGTCACATCCAATTCAAAATCACAAGATTTAAACTGACGACATAAGAACTGGAGCTTTGTCTTAAATTTGGTTCATAACATAACAAAGCATTGTCAAAGTAAACGGAGGAGGAACAAAACATATATTAAAGGATATGATAAAAAGCAAGGTACCAAATGGAGAAATGAAAAGCTGAAACTTGTTCATAGACTTAGTATTCCGACTCCAAAAGACAAAACAGATACAGAACCAAAATCTTTCCCTAAACATGAAAAGTGTTTCAAGCAGATGAGATTATTACTGGCTAGCACCGAGCCATTTGGTAAAGTTGTCAAACTCGGTGTAATCACTGTCTGATATCATAGTCTGGTACCACGACTTTCCTGCTGCTTTGATTGCCAATGCCTCCTCCTAACAGATTAACAGATTGAAAAAAAGAGTTAACAAATGTGTTCTGGTTCTAACCAACGGCATGTAATTACCAGGCGTAAATGATATAAACAGTGGAAATGACCCATATGATCGCATCCCCGAATCAATTACTAGACAAACAATCCTAAGCAACGAATTTACAAACACAAGTAAACCAAACTCAAGAACAGATTAGGCGAGTCCTAGTAAAGAAAGCCTACAAAATGACTTCACTTGTACTATCAAAAACAAACTCAGTCAACGATATTAGAACAATTGATAAATCGTTTTAAGCCAAATGCAATGCATACCCGAATTGACATGAGATCAGTAGGTAAGCAATGCCAATTGAGAAATGACTGATAAAGGACCAAAATGGGAAATGGGGTTTACCTTGGTGACAGTCTTCCTCTTCTTAGCGAGCTTCTCCTTCTTGGCCTTAACCCTCTGCGCTTCCGCCAACAAAGACATCCTCTTCGCGGTCTTAGCATAAGGATTCAACTTCAGCATCACGTTGAGGTTCTTCAATGGGTTCTTCTTAAGAACAGCCCTCTTCGCATCCTTCTTAATCGGCTTCACCACGCTCTGAACCTCATCAGAGTTAATAATCCTAGCAAGATCAGCATTCACCATTTTCGCGCGAGGAAGCACATATCCCTTCTTCTTCTCAGATGGCTTCTCAAACGAGCCATAGATTGACTCGAGCTTCTCAAAGGCAGATTTCGTCCAGATCACAAACCTTCCAAGGTGACCACCAGGGGCAAGCTTCAACAAGTTAAGCCTCTCCACATGGCAAAGCTCAACACCAGGAAGATTCCTAAAGGCCTTCACTATCTTAGCTCCTTCAGTTCCGTAAACCACAAGAGGACCTTTCCTCGAAATGTAACGACGGTTCCTCGCCTTACCTTTACCAGGACGGATCCCAATGCTAGCCTTGGCCTTCTCGGCATCGTCATAAGCTCCGAATTGTTTCAGAGCCTTGATCGCGCCTGAGGTCTTCTCCACACCCTCGACGGAGTCACTGACAACAAGAGGCATCTCTGGAACATTCTCGATCTTGTGACCACGAGCCATCACAAGCGAGGGAACAGCAGTTGCGGCAATCGCCGAAACAATCGCGTGTCTCTTCATGTTGACATTGACACGACGGTGCCAGCGACGCCAGATCTTAGTCGGAGCGAACATCCGACCACCACGACACATGTTACCAAAGGCTGCCTGACCGGCACGGTGAGTACCACCTCCGGGAACACGAGGGATACGTGAGACGGCACGTCCGGTTCCCCAGGACTCGGCGGAGGTCTGGTGACCGGCTTTCTTTGAGACGGCGTAAGGCTGGCGGCTGTTGTTGGAGATTTGGGCGTGGACGAAGTTGACGATGTCTGGTCGGACAGGGGCCGTCATGACGTCGGGTAATACGACGGTGGAGGATTGATCGGTGGACATGTCACCGTCCAAACCCTGGACGGTGACGAGAGGACGTGCGGCGGCGGCAGCCATTTCACTCTCGATTGGTTTACTCTTCTTCTCTCACTGTCTCTCGACTCTTTGAGACTTCTAGGGTTTTCGCAGCTGCTGCTTAACGATAAATATATGCTAGGTCTTCGTCTAGGGTTAGTGGCGAAATCACTGTTAGTGGGCCTTAAAAAGCCCAATTAGCCCTACTAGTTTACTTCTTCGTTCGGGCCCCAATTTTTACCTTTGTAAGGAATTATACATTCATTTACCAGATTTCCTTATTTATGTTTATCTAATTCCTTTTTCTAACCGGTTAAAAAGCATATGCTCTCCATTCTCCTCTAATCCTCTCTATATATATAGAGCAGAAACAAAGACGTACAGAGCAATCTCTTGAATTTTATCAAAATTTTCATTGAATCTGCGTGATTGAAGACGAAAAAACTAAGTCCAGGAAGAGAGATATGGACGTGGAGACGAAGAATCGCCGAGATAGTGGCCGTGATCGCAGCAAGGAGCGGAAGAGACGGTATGAGAGAGTTAAGCGTATTGATCCTGAAGATGAGTACGATCGAGACGTTGGTGAAAAGAGGGAGAAGCGTGAAGGAAAGGATCGGAGACGGAGGGATAGGGAGAGAAAGAAGATTAACGATTCTGAAGAAGAAGACGAGAGGGATAAGCGCAGAGCGAAGGAGAAGGAACGAAGGCGAAAAGATGGAGAGAGGGATAGGCGAGGAAGTGAGAAAGAAAGGAAAAGGGAGAGGTCAAAAGAAGATGAGAGTGATGATGATGTCAAGCGTAACTTGAACGTAGAATAAAAGAGAGTGTTGGTAGATTTAGCAAGTATGGAGATGACAATGGTGGGCAGAAGCAGGTGGATGAGGAGGGGGAAAAACGGAGGAGAAGATTCCAGGAGTGGCAAGAGTTGAAGAGGAAAAAGGAGGAAGCCGAAATCGAAAGCAAGACCTGTAAGGCTTGGACCCTTGAAGGAGAATCTGATGATGATGAACAAGTCCCTCCGCAGATGGATGTTGATGGAGAGACTAATCCTGAAGACGAAGAGGTAATCGATCCTTTAGATGCTTTTATGAATAATATGGTATTACCTGAGGTTGGGAAGCTTAGCAATACTGCTTCTTCTCTAGCAGTGAACGATGGTGGTGACCAGCCAAAGAAAGGCATTAATCAAGCGATAATTCAAGGTGAAGATTCTGATTCTGATTACTCAGAACCAAAGAGTGATGATGATCCAAGTTTGGACGAAGACGACGAGGAGTTCATGAAGATAGCAAAGAAGACAAAAGGAGAGAAGTTGTCTCTTGTTGACCATTCAGAAATAGAGTATAAACCGTTCAGGAAAAACTTCTATATCCAAGCGAACGATATCTCAAAGATGACAGAAGAACAAGTTAGTGCTTACCGAAAGGAATTGGAGCTGAAAGTTCATGGAAAAGATGTACCAAGACCCGTAAAATCTTGGTACCAGACTGGGCTAACCAACAGGATTTTGGATACAATGAAGAAGCTTAACTATGAAAAGCCAATGCCTGTCCAAGCACAAGCACTCCCTGTCATCATGAGCGGTAGAGACTGCATTGGAGTTGCAAAAACAGGGTCAGGTAAAACACTTGGTTTTGTTTTGCCAATGTTGAGGCATATCAAAGATCAGCCTCCTGCTGAAGCTGGTGATGGGCCGGTTGGGCTTGTAATGGCACCTACTAGAGAGCTTGTTCAGCAAATTCATACCGCTATCAAAAAGTTTGCCAAGGCATTGAGTATAAGGTGTGTGCCTGTGTATGGAGGATCAGAAATCGCCCAGCAAATAAGTAAGCTTAAGCGAGGTACTGACATTATCGTCTGCACTCCTGGAAGAATGATTGATATTCTTTGCACAAACAGTGGGAAAATCACCAATCTGCAAAGGGTCACGTTTCTGGTAATGGATGAAGCTGATCGTATGTTTGACATGGGTTTTGAGCCTCAGGTTACTCGTATTATTCAAAACATTCGACCCGATCGTCAAACTGTGCTCTTTTCTGCCACTTTTCCACGCCAAATTGAAAACTTGGCACGTAGAGTCTTGAACAAGCCTGTAGAAATACAGGCCGGTGGAAAGAATGTTGTGAATAAAGATATAACTCAGTCTGTTGAAATCATAGCGGAGAGTGAGAGGAACTCTAGACTTGTGGAACTTATTGAGGAATGGTATGAGAGAGGAAAGATTTTGGTGTTTGTTGGATCGCAGGGAAAATGTGATGCTTTGTATAATGATTTGAAGAATAAATGTGGTTACAGTTGTTAATCTCTTCACGGGGGGTAAGGATCAGAGTTCTCGTGAATCAGCTATATCTGAATTTAAGAGCAAATGCAAGTTGTTGATTGCTACAAGTGTTGCAGCTAGGGGTCTAGATGTGAAAGAGCTTGAGTTGGTTGTAAACTTTGATGTGCCAAACCACTATGAAGAGTATGTGCATCGCGTTGGCAGGACAGGAAGGGCGGGTAGGAAAGGCTGTGCTGTGACATTTATATCCGAGGACGATGCAAAATATGCACCAGATTTAGTAAAAGCCCTGGAACTTTCTGAGCAGCCAGTTCCTGGTTGTCTGAAAGCAATTGCTGATGGCTTCATGGCAAAAGTGAAACAGGGTATTGAGAAAGCTCATGGAAGTGGCTATGGTGGTAGTGGCTTTAAATTCAACGAAGAGGACGAGGAAGTTAAGAAAGCACAAGCCAAGGAGTATGGCTATGAGGAAGATAAGTCTGACTCAGAAGATGAGAATGATGTAGTAGTAAGAAAGGCGGCTTCTGCTGCTGTTAACCAATTGTTGCCAAATGGTTTACAACATACACTCGCAAAGATTCAAGCTGATGCAATGCCTGAACGGTATGAAGCAGAAGTGGAAATCAATGATTACTCACAGAATGCTCGTTGGAAGGTGACCCACAAAGAAACTCAGTGTCGAATATCAGAGTGGGCTGGAGCCGCCATAACCACTAGAGGTCAGTTTTATAAGCCAGGACGTACCCGGGGACATGGGGAACGCAAGCTCCACTTGTTCATTGAAGGGCCTACCGAGCAATCTGTCAAGGCAGCGAAAGCTGAACTCAAGCGTGTTCTTAAAGACGCGAGTAATGAGGCCTTGTCACTTCGTGGAGGACAACAATTCGGCAAATACTCTGTCCTATAACCATGAGGTGTGTGATTTATGGATCCTTCCAATCAATTAGTTTGCCGAATTCGAATGCTGTTTTTAGTACTTGTTTAGGACACAACTTGTTAGTTAGTTAGCTTAAATAATGTTTACATTAACTGCAATTGATATTTTGCTTTGCTTTACAATTTTTTTCTCACGAATCTTTTTTTTGTTTTTTTTTTTCAGATTCGAAAACAATAGTCTTACCGGTATCACTGAAGGCTGATCTTGAACCATAACAATCAGTCTTAAGACTTATAATCTGATATAAGGGCAAAAATTAACAGACGAACATAGAAATACTCTTAGCCAAAAAAATATATAAAGAGAAAGAGCAATTTCTACAAAAAAGTTAACCAGCGGCTGAGGATGAGGCTGCCCTGCAACCGCAGCTTGAAGAACAAGAATCCTTTATATATATATATAATATATATACCTACCACTCACCGAACTAGTATTCTTGGCTAAATCTGCACTAAGGCTTGAAAACTTGACTTATGTTTGTTTTCCTCAAAACAACAAACCGTATAAACACCCTATACAGAATCCCCATTCTCATGGACAAGATTGTGATTCCCAGTGACGTATAACTCAAAGTTTATTAAACATGGAAAACCGACGAGTAAACCTGCAAATATGGTGATCATATCCGGGTCATTTTGAGTGTGACTGAGACTACATAACTCTAAATGCAAAACCTTAAGAGTTAGAGGGCTGCGACTAGACTTACATCTAAGCAGCTATCTAGATCTAGCTATTGACTCATGTGATTTATAGTGGTGAAGTGTTTTCTCGTATTGTATTTAAACTGTATGAAGAGATGAAGAAAAACAAAACAACACTTACTTGATAAAGTGATGGCTGATACCTTCGTTAAGATGACTAGTCGCTTGTTGAGTCTTTGACAAGGGAACCACTGGTAACACTTGGGAAATCGGCGTTTACTTCATATGATGAGAGGACCTTCCTCTGCAGCATCATTACAGTCGGACTAGCCAAGGTTAGATTACACTTGATCACGCAAGGGTTAGAGCAAATGTAAGAACTATGACAGAAGTGACAACCCAACTTTGTAAGTGAAATAGTTCAGACTGATCTGACAAAGTTGGTCATCACAAGCCTTTTTTATCGTAAATTTAACACTTACAGCGGATTCGAAATCAGGGTTTGATAAGTTAACTGTGAGGTTTCTCATCAATAACAAAACCTGCAAAACAATACTGCGATTAGTGAAGGAATTTATAGGATCAACCGGAACGTTTTTAAGCTCTGATCTCACAGTTTCGAAATTTATAGGATCCATTTCCTTGAGCTTTTCTACGTGGCCTCTCGTTTCAGGATCAAAGACACTCCCGATGAAGTTATAAACTTCAGCAAAATCAGGAACACCTGCAAACCAATTATCAGTACAGTGTCCCACCACAATAAAATTTATCATGCTATTGTTGAGAGATGATTTACCGTGAAGCACTGGAGGTTGTTCTGCGTGTTTTACAATCTCAGAAGCAGATATTGTTCGGCTTGAGCTTCCCATACCAGATGTCGAAGGGCTACTACTAACATTTAAGATCCCCTTCGATCCAATATCAGCTGAATCAGTGGCGTTATAATGCCATAATAAGCACATGAAACGTCCTTGGATGAAGCCTATTCTAGCTACCAAAATATACCAATAGAATATATCTAAAAGAATGAGAAGAAAACAATGAAAACAACAGACGGAAGAGCATGCCTTCTCCTCCACGAAGAGTAGCAAGTTCCTGCTGTTGTGAAACAACTCTGTTTAGCAGCATCGATGCATCATCCCACGAAGTATATCCCGGCATGTCGCAATTTGTTGTTGTTGTAAATGAAGTGGAGGCTTGAAGTGGCATTTGAGCTGCAAAAATAAATAAAAAAAATGGAGTTAAGACTTATTAAATATTCATCTCTCTAACCAAAGTAACAACTATTAAACCATCGAACCATTCTTGGATGCCTTTTGAGGATAAGGATGAGCTGCTTTGCGCTTAGGCCGAGGGGGTGGCACATGTGCTAGTGTCCCACTCTTCTGAACCTTTAAAAAGTATTTCTGTGCATGGCTCCTTATCTGTAGTATATCAACAAGGCAGCACAGAAACAGTAAGTTTAAAATGTGCCAAAGTAAAATTCGACCAAAACACAGAGTAGCAAAACCTGAATAACAGTCTTTGAGCCCACAAAATCTTCTATCTTTTTCCAGTCACGATCAAACCTAAGGAACAAAGCACATACACCAAGTAGTATCAGCACAAATAAAATCTTGTTTGTTTTAAAAGACCACACAAGTTTTTAAAAAATTTCAAGCAAGAATACAAAGCTGGTCAATCATTCAAATGCTTCAATTCAGAGAAAATTCCATTTAACGTCTTCTTCTGAATCTTAAGGCAAAACAAGATCGAGGGCAGTAACTCAAATTTACTCAAGCAAGAAATCTTACCATCAGACTATATCTAACTAAGGTCAATTCAAATCAACGAATCATATATTTTTTGTTTTAGCTAATTAAGAACTAAACCTTCCTCTGTTTGTTCAGTCAGCGAACACATAAAACAGCTTCTCGAGAGAGAAAAACAGAGCAAGAGAAGCAGAGATTTTCAAGCAAGAATACAGAGCTGGTCAATCATTCAGATGCTTCTATTCAAAGAAGAAATTTTACCATCAGACTATATCTAATTAAGGTCAATTAAAATCAACGAATCATATATTTTTTGTTTTAGCTAATTAAAAACTAAACCTTCCTCTGTTTGTTAAGTCAGCAAACACATAAAACAGCTTCTCGAGAGAGAAAAAACAGAGCAAGAGAAGCAGAGAATTTACAGTTGAAGAGCTTCAAGAAACTTATCGTGCTCTTCCTCTGTCCAGCTCTCCCTGGACTTGGTGATGGTATAAGGTTTCCTCACTTTCTTCGACGAACCCTCCGCAGCCGCGACCGTCGTTGTCGCATCCGTCGATGTCGATGATGACGGTGGATCTTCGACGGACGTCGGTTTCCTTGTTGACGGCGACGAGCTCATCGGGTTTAGTTCAGATAGCGAACAGTGTTTTTTTTAGAGAGAGAAAGTAGAGAAGGAAGAGAGAGAAAGGGGAAAATTCCACATGGCGGGCAGGCAAAGAGGTTGGTGTGTAAATTATGTGGACACGGTTCGCTTCGATCCTAGACCATCCCTTTTTCCATTTTTTATTTGTTGCTATCACTTCTTGGTTTTAGGAGCCTCAAAGTTCAATCACGTGGGGACATGCAGTCTTCGATTTCATGAAAATTGTATGGTCGTGCTTTTTTATTTATTTGTTTATTTTTTTTTTCTTCATATAATTGGTATGGAAGAAAAGGACTTGTACCGAATCAAACCAATTGCCAAATGCCAAATAAATCCAAATTAAATAATTCTGAGATGACGGTACTAATTATAAAGGTTTTAACAAATCCAAATTAAGGATCCACGTACGGCTCTCATAATAGTGCTTGCATCATATGTCACTTTCAGGTAAATTATCTTTAAAACATTTTTTTTCAACGAGTCGATATGTCCGAGTGGTTAAGGAGACAGACTTGAAATCTGTTGGGCTTCGCCCGCGCAGGTTCGAACCCTGCTGTCGACGATACTATTTTTTAAAACTGTGTTCCATTCTTCACAATGTTACCGAGCTTATTTGATAAATATCACTATGTGGCCACGTTCGATGTACAGTAAGGCAGTAACATACATATGGTTTTGTTAGATGATTAAGGATTGTACGTGGATTCTTTATATGGTTTTGTGATAGAGCTAGCCTTTAATTATAATTTCATTTGTAGTGTCATCTTTGAATTATTTTAAAAGAATTTCTTATAACATTGATTCAATTATTATAAATACTGTCTTTCATAATTTCGAATATTTGATCATTACAATATGAACCAAAATAGGGACACTCTTTTTAATCAAAATTAATATTTTTCTATAACCATTTCACGAATATTTTGAATCCCTTCTTCAATACATGGCTGTATTTGTATAAGATGGGAAATATACGTTTTCAATCTCTAACGTCTTTCATTTGCTGTGTTTGATCGAAAGGGCTTTCCCCTTCGTAATTCCCACGTGGATCATACTCACACACCACGAGATACCCACGACTGTTATTACATTTTACTCGTGCACATCCAACGGCTGTCGTGCCTCGCCATACGATCTGCGTGTAATGGCCGCACATTTTACCCGACGTGCACGTGTTTGTTTTCCGGTCGTAGCTAAACCTCTCCTCAAACCATTTCGTCACCACTTTCTCCGGCGACCATGTCTTCTCGTCCCGGTACCAGAATATATTCTCGCCGTATGGCCCACCTGAATGTTTCATATTACAATCGGGCTTAACTTGTTTGGCCCATTTATGAGCGAATCGGGCCAGGCCTTTATCCCATTCAAGAGGTGGCACGCCTGAAGACTCACGCGCTCTGTTGTGCGCATGTAGAAACTTCCTTGATTGTTTTGCTATCCTCGCTCTGTTTAACACACGCGCCGCCGCGTTTGCTACGTCGGGGACGGAGGTTGCACCGGTGGAAGGACGATCGGAAAAGAGAAGGAGGAGAAGGAGAAGACATGATGATGGATGAGACAACGTCGTAGACATCTCCACGTCTTTGTATAATTATTGTGTCTCATCATGATTTTCTCTGTTTCTAAGGGGTTGTTTTGGTTATACTTAATTCAGTTAGAAATTTGTCATTTTTAACATTTTTTCTTAACAGATTTCTCTTACTCTGTTGTTTTCAGATATATTTTAAAATTTTATTATTTTGGGGTTGCTAAAAATCAAAGGAAGCTGGCATGGAGAGGATAGCTGACGTGGATAAATCAGATATAAATTTACGAAACATTGTTTTGAAGATTTTCAAGAAAAAAGGAAAGAGAAAGAACATTAGGTTTTTCTTAATTTAATATGAATTCGAAATAAGTGGCTGTTTTAGTCTTTATAAATAGAAGACTAGCTAAGTCTTACAAATCTATGCGATTAAGCGAGTAAAGTTTTTAAGGTAAAAGATTTTAAAAATATTTTCTGAGAAAAATTTGTAAATTATAAAAGATAATTTAATGGAATTGTCGTTTGAGAAAATCTTGGGTTTGATTCAAATCGCATATATATCTTTATTGCTTTTTTACTGAATGTCAACCCAACAGCTATAATAAAATGTCTATTCAGAAACCCTCATAAAAAGCTTATTCAAAAACCTTATTCGAATATGGATTCCTAAATGTCTTTTATTATTTAGCATTACCAATCCAGTATGAGTTTGAGTGTGAACTTTCGATTAATAAAAATAGAAGAAAAAAAACATGTAAATGAATATTATTTTGTGAAAGGAAATAAAGAAATTCGGTATATTGGCAAAGAAAAAAAACAGCCTAATTTTTTAAATAAGAGAAAATAATCATTGGTGATTAAAAGACGCGAAACTCAAATTGTTGGTGACTTTTATTATTCATGATTCTCTCTTATGGTGGATTATTTGAATCTGAATTTCTTTTGTTAAATAGTGTTCAAAGATTGTGCATAACAAAAAGAAACAATCCAAGCACCACTTTCAAACTCGACGTGGACTACTGCGCACAACACGGGTTTTATGTGCTCGTGAGCTTTATGTTCTATGTGCATTTTATTCAAAAATAGAATCAAAACCAGAACCTAATATTAAATATGAATCTGAAGGTAACAGATGATACTGTTAACAATGCAATTTCCTAAAAATTTAGTTGACTTTGCATTGGATAAGTTTAGTACGATGCGCCAATTGATGAGATAGTAGACTTCATTGTTGCTGCTCAATTAGCGAAAAAATTTGGAAAAGAATCTGAAGATGTCATTCTAGTTGTTGCTAGCAGAACACCTGAATATTTAGAGTATGTTATGGGATATTCAGCAAACCACACAAAAATGGGTGGTTTAGGACTGGTTGAAAATGCTTGATTATTGCTCCCAACAAAAAACATTAGCATATCATCTCTCTATGCTCAAATCTTTGTTTCCTCAAGGATTAAGTGTTCTATCGCTATTTAGCAGAATTGGTGGCGCGGAGTTTGCATTAAACTGCCTTGACATTCATCTGAGATGTGTAGTATCCGTTGAGTATTGTAGATGGAGCCAGAACATAATGAAAAGATGGTGGAAGACTTCTAGACAAACTGGAGAGCTTGTGGAGATTGAAGATATCAAGAGAGTGTCCTTAAAAATGTTGGAGAGTTTAGTGCATAGATTTGTCGAATTTGATATTGTCATATCTCAAAACTCACCAACACTAAATAATCTCTTTGAAGAAAACTCAAGAAGCCAAACATGCAAATTTGATTTTTTTGTTGTGAACGAATATAATCGTGAGTCAAAACGTGTCAAAGATATCATGGAGTTAAAGTTGACCAAGTGATTAGGCAGTCTTTCTAGCGCTGAACCGTGAGTCATGAAGACGCTAGAGAGAATTTTATGAAACTCGTTATTTCACTTTCTTTGTCGTTTGATACATGGTGAATCTTTTATTAACAGAGTCTTGAGAACAACAAAAAAAAAATCAATCATTCAGAAATTAATAACAAGTATACAAAACTTATATCTTAACAACCCCATATTCAAATTTCTTTTGCTGATAACCACAATATTAGTATTTTAAGATTCAAACAATATAATAAACCCACAAACCAATCATATTTCGTCGATCTAGGGGTCGGCGACGATTTTGGAAATGTTTTTCTTTAGAAAGAAATGAAAATGTTTTTATTTTGGAAAGAAAAGAAGAATTAGATAAGAATACTATAGTCACATTAGGACACTTGTGAACGATGTTTATTCATGCCAAACAGAACAGTAGTACCAAATGTAGCTTTGTAATAAACACGTCAAATATTTTGAAAATGATTTTTAAAAAATGATTTCCAATAGATTAGCGGCCTTGATCTTCTTAATTACAGTAGTTTTTTCCCCTAATATTGGGATTAAGAGATTGTTTTGAACTATTCGATCCATAATTACGATGTAATAACCCCTTTTACAAAGCTGCTATAAGTTTTTCGGTATTTATCAGACACAACAATGAATTGTCTTCAACAAACAAAACATATGTAGTTCGATGAATGAGTACTTTACACATAAAAAAATTGACAATTGACATGTATATATTAATAGTATATATTTTTCTTTAGAGTATCGTATAGTTTTTGGTTCGTGAAAGCAAAAGTTGTCTTTTACGTATAGTAAACGAATATTCCACTTATATGCTATTTTGTGGAACACTGGATTTGTAATATTCCCACGACTATCCACTTTTTTCTCTGTTTTACGAATTTTATTGAATATTAATCTTACTACAATACTACTGATGCCTTCTTTATCAAAACTTACTTAATTTTTAATCTTCTATGATTTTTTTGTCGAAATTTATGTAAGTATTTTTTGTTGTTAATCTCACTCAAGATTGAAGAATTTATTTTGAAGTTGAAGTAAAAAGATTAAATAAAAAAAAGAGCAATTCATAACAAAATGGGTTTTCCTTTGGTGATGAAATTCAGCCTCTTCTTACCACATGTCGAATATCAGAAATACCAATCATACCCTCCAATAGATCTACTAATTACGACAAAAGCCTTAGACCTTTCTCGTAATTCTCCCTCCCTTCAGAGACTCGCATCTATTTAAGCAAATTACAGTCTCTCTTAGTCATGGCGGATTTAATTTTCTGGTTATCCAAAACAAACATCTTTTCTCCCTTTCTTGGAAAATCCCCCCAACCGGTAAAATACAATCGACGAAGCAAAAGAAAAGTCTTCTCGACTTGGATTAAAAAAAAAAGAATTATTTCCGAGAATCTTTTTAATAACCCAAGATTTTTTGCCCGAAAAAATTCAATGCAATCAATAGAATAGGAGAATCATAAAATTTCATTTCAATTCAATAGAATCTCGTTTTTTGAGCAACGGGATTCGTCGTTTCTTCCGCGGCTTATAATTTCCTCGGATTCTCCGCGTAAAGTTCCTAATCTGTAAGTTGAATTTGCAATCTGTTCATTTCGTTATTGCGATTTCTGACTCCGAGATTTAGAAAACGTTGGATCCTAGTTTCTTCGTGGACTATTATCGTATTTTGTTGCATCTTTCGAACAATCAAAACCCTGTTTGATTTTATTCTTGTTTGGGTTAGTTCAAAAACTGATGTTTGTTGGAATTGCTAAAGCTGCATGCCCGAAATCGGGCAAGTCTGGTTGGAAACTTGTAATCGAAACATTACCAATGGAACTTGCTGGTTTTTTTTTTTTTAAAAAAATTTGATTTGATTTAATTAGCCTTCTGGGTTTTTCGTTTTTAGTCTCACAGGTTACTTGTTCTCTAATTTTGGATCGTTGGGTTGTTTTGTTTCATCTGCAGGCTGGAATTTACGTTTTTGGTCCAGAAGCTCTCTGGTTTCTATATATGATTAGGACAGTGAAAGTGAAAGACTTTCTCATAGATTTGATGAAATGAGTTTGGTTGGAAGAGTTGGAAGTTTGATTTCTCAGGGGGTTTACTCTGTTGCTACACCATTTCATCCATTTGGTGGTGCCATCGATGTGATCGTTGTTCAGCAAGAAGACGGTTCGTTCCGCAGCACGCCTTGGTATGTTAGGTTTGGTAAGTTCCAAGGTGTCCTTAAAGGCGCCGAGAAGTTTGTGAAGATATCTGTAAATGGCACCGAAGCGGATTTCCACATGTATCTTGATAATTCTGGTGAAGCATATTTCATCAGGGAAGTTGATCCTGCAGCTAATGACACCAACAACTTGATTTCCAATTCTGAGAATAACAATGGTAATGAGAATAACGGCGTGGGTTTTCGACTTGAGCATAGTTTATCGGACGCTGGTGCCGAGGAGTTACGAGAGGGTCTTAACTCTTTGAATCGGCTTGACAGGACAGAGTCCGATTGTAATAGGAGGTATTATGATTTCCAGGACGATCCGCCTTCTCCAACCTCGGAATATGGAAGTGCTCGATTTGATAATCTGAATGTGGAAAGTTATGGGGACTCTCAAGGCTCAGATTCTGAAGTGGTTTTGGTGAGTATTGATGGACATATACTTACAGCTCCTGTGTCAGCGGCAGAACAGGAGGCTGAGAATTTACGGTTAAATACTCCTCAGTTTCACTTGGCCCCTGGTGATGGAACTGAGTTTTGTGAAGGTAATACTGAGTTTGCTTCGTCAGAGACTTCTTGGGATACTGAATACATCAGTAAAGTGGAGGCATCTGATGCTGTTGATATTGGATCTGAAAAAGTAAACATTGGGAGCGTTGAGCGTAATGATTTGGATTCCCATTCTCGTGTTATTACTGAAAAAGATTCTCATGATGCTGAAAGAGATATTATTGGGAACAGTTTCGAGCAGTCTGAGCTGACACAACCTGGTGAGAATGCGAAGTCCGAGGCACCAGCTCCTACTTTTGAGGATCAGAATCTCAAAGAATGTGAGCTTCTACCTACCACCATCACGGAAAATGATAGAAGTGAAGATGAAGTGGCTATTGAAACAATAAATGCTCTTGTTCATGTTTCTGAATCTTCTGCAACCCAAATAACAACAGAAGAAGTGAAAACAGAATCCAGGATATCCGTTGATTCTACTACGGAGTCAGAATGTACAGATGAAGAGAGAAGAATATCTGCGGAAACTGCCATCTTGATTGACAACCAGGAAAGCGAAATTATGGAGTCTGAAGATCAGACTTCTGAGAGAGTCTCTATAGATTCAACGAGGGAGGATAATGAGAAACTAACTCCATCTAAACCGACTGAGGAAGATAAGGAGAACAGGGAGTCCTTGGATTCTGCGACTTCTAGTGTGGACATAAGAAAACCCGATACAGATCTGAGTAAGTAACTTGTTTTTGTGTGTGTCTGAACTGTGACTAGTAGCTGCGTTGTTTTTTGAAAGTGATTTAACTTTACAGGATATGAGCTATCACTTTGCAAGGATGAGCTTCGTCAGGGTATGGGACTTACCGCAGCTGCTGAAGTATTTCATGCGCATCGGATATCTATGGAAGAATATAAAAATTCGGCAACATCGATTCTTGAAAGTGAAAATCTGGTTGTTAGGATTAGAGAAACGTATATGCCATGGAAGAAAGCTGCTCGAATCGTGCTTGGGAAAGCTGTGTTTGATCTAGAGTTAGATATTGAGCCAGATGATGTGATTTCTGTGGAGGAAAATGAATCGGCGAAATCCAAGGACGATGAAACTACAATAACTCCTACTTCATCTGGAAGAAGATGGAGACTCTGGCCCATTCCTTTTAGAAGGGTTAAAACAATCGAGCATACAGGTAGTAACTCCTCGAGCGAAGAAGATCTGTTTGTTGATTCTGAACCTGGCTTACAGAACTCACCGGAAGCACTATCAATCACAGAGAGTCGCCATGAGTCTCCGCGTAGACAACTTGTGAGAACCAATGTCCCTACCAATGAACAGATCGCGTCTCTGAATCTGAAAGATGGTCAGAATATGATAACTTTTAGTTTCTCCACGAGAGTTCTTGGAACACAACAGGTTTGTTGACGGTTACATTAGTTGAAAATATGAATGCACACCAGGGAAAATTCTTCTAACTTTGGTTTGTCAAATACTCTTTGGTTTTTTATTAGGTCGATGCACATATTTACCGGTGGAGATGGGACACCAAGATTGTAATTTCAGATGTTGATGGAACTATAACTAAGTACAGCTTCGGATCCATATGCAGCTAAATTGTTTTCATATTAGAATTATATTATCTAGATTTATGCCAGTGTGATGATCCTTTTGTTGATGTGTTTTGCAGATCTGATGTGTTAGGTCAGTTCATGCCTTTGGTCGGAAAGGACTGGACACAGTCTGGTGTGGCCAAGCTTTTTTCTGCCATAAAGGTAATATTCAAGGTTTAAGTCAGTCTCGCTTCTCACACTTTCTAAATGGGGAAAACATGAGATCCACTACTGCTTATATAAGATACAGTTTGTTCGAGTGGTTGTTTCTTTTCTTGAGGAACAGTTTGGATATATTAAAAATCGGCACCCTGTAATAATGGATCTCACTTTATGCTTCTCATTGGTTTGGATATTTTAGGAGAATGGATATCAGCTGCTGTTTCTGAGCGCTCGTGCCATTGTTCAGGCATATCTAACAAGAAGTTTCTTGAATAATCTAAAGCAGGTAAGTAAGACTGAGATCGTTTTACCTTTGAATTGGCACTACCCTTAAATCCACACTTAAATCATTTTTAATAACATAAGTCTAAGGAACTGAAAACGATGTCGTGTGAGGCTATCTATAACCTGTTGTTATGAGATCTCTCTTCTTCTTATGGATTTTTTTTTTCCGGCTTGCAGGACGGAAAAGCTCTGCCAACCGGTCCTGTAGTCATTTCACCAGACGGGCTATTTCCAGCATTGTACCGTGAAGGTTGGTTTGAATGCCTTGGAGATTCATTAGTAGCCTATGTTTTATTCAGTAATAAGGATCTTTGATTTTTCGCAGTGATAAGAAGAGCGCCTCACGAATTCAAGATCGCATGTTTGGAGGTAAATTTTTTATCTTATTATTTTCTGGGAAATAAGAGAGAACGGTTAAAACCAGCGGCATATTTTGATGAAAGAATTTTGTTTTACAAATGTAATGTGCAGGATATCAGGAAACTCTTCCCAAAGGATTACAACCCGTTCTACGCTGGATTTGGAAATAGAGACACCGATGAGCTGAGTTACAGAAAACTCGGAATCCCGAAAGGAAAGATATTCATAATCAACCCAAAGGTATTTTTAAATCTCCTAGAATCGGACATGCATATGATTATTTTTGTTGAAATCTACTGAGACACTCGCTGTTTACAAATGGACCAGGGAGAGGTAGCAACAGGACATCGCATAGATATCAAGAAGTCATACACATCACTTCATACTCTTGTCAACGACATGTTTCCTCCAAATTCGCTTGTTGAGCAGGTAACTAAAGCTAGAAGCTTTTAGCAAATGCAATGCAATGTAATGTAGTTTCATTAATGGTTTCAAGTGTTTGTTTACACATCCACAGGAAGATTACAACCATTGGAACTTCTGGAAAGTACCAGTAGAAGAGGTTGATTAGAAATGAGCTGCAGATTGGGTCCAACATGGCGGCGGCTGCGAAAGCTCCATTATTGGACTTTTGTAAGCCTTTTCTATGACTTTGTACACAAGAAAGAGCTGGTCTATTTTGTAATGTCTCATGTAGGAGTTAACAAACTAGGGAAAGAATTATATATAAGCTGTGACATGTTCTGTATAAGACCTTATTTTTTAGATTTTTTTTTTAAATACACAGAGAACAAAGAAGACTAAAATCTTTGTATTTGGATAGAAGAAAAAAAAATGCAAAAATAACATAAACTATGGCAAAAATTTACAAGATAAAACATAATCTCTCAAAAATGTAAATGTAAAAGAAAAAGAAAACGTAATCTAACCAAACCAAAACATTTTGACAGAAGCTAGTAATCATTGAGTTTAATTCAATGGCATTTTTGACAGAAGCTTGTAATCGAAATGGAAAAAGTTTTTTCTTCTACAAGTAACTATTTTTTCTTCTACAAGTAACTATTTTTCTTCAATGAATTCATATACCTTTGGCAGCTAACAAGTAATTTCTATCTAATTACCTGCTTCATTGATATGTTAGCTCATTTTTTGAATAAACAATTGTTTTCTTTTTTTTTTTCTTTGCGTCACAATTAGTAAGACATAGTTCAACTTTCCTCGTTAAAAATTGAAAAACTACACTTACAATGATCAAAAAAAAAAAAAAACATGAACTTCCATCATCATAAATCAGATAGCGTAAATTGGATTGACCTCCGATTCAGTCTCCGACGGATTCGCATGATGCCAAGAGCTCGTCCCAGGTCTAGCAAATTTCTTCTTCTCCTTCTTCCTCACTTTCCTCGTCCTCTTCGATTTCACAACATAATAAGTCATTATACTCAAAATTCCTGCCATCGTCACGGTTCCTATGACCGTAACCACAACCGCGGCGTATCTGTTTCTCCGACCAACCACAATGTACGAGGAAGAAATGAATGCCACGGTGGTGCAGACAGAGGCAAGCCACATCAGCTTATTGATTACTTCCACCACACGTCTCTCCGTTTTAGTCTCTCCTCTTACTAGCGTGATTTGCACGACAACTACTGCTAACGAAGTGAAGAGCGCAATCGCGTTGAATATAAAGAATATCTTGAAGGATGTTGCGTGTACCATCACGGCCACACCGTGGTCGTCGTCTCCTCCTGGTACCGTGAAAATGGCTGCAAATGCCACCGTGGCGAAGAGAACAGCCACGACTGTTACAGAGTTGGTCGCATTGTTGATTCCAGCTCTATGGAGTTTCCTTAGCTCCTTGGCGATGCCGTCTACGTTCTTGTTGGTTTTTCTGGTTTGTTCGAGCTGCGTGTGAACGTCTTTCTTGATCTCGGTTACGGTTTTGCGCAGCTCGTCTCTTGGCTGGTTTAGCTCGTTGGCTTTGAGCGCGCCACAACGCGATAATATGTCTTTGATCTCTGCAGTTTCCTCTGAGTGTGTGAGCCCTTCAGCGATGTCGTACGCGGTTTTATGGTCTCGTGTTAGCGCATTCACGTTTGTATCCGGAAGTTGTAACAGCTCATTCACAATCTGATAATCAAAACCAAGAATCAAGAATTAAAGAATCAAACCGAATATAAGAATCAATTTTTCGTTATTTTACCTCTGCTCTTTTCTTTCGTGTAGCGATATGCAACACGGTGTTTCCGAATTTATCAGGAAGCATGACGATAGCTGGATCAGCACGAAGGAGTAACCTCACGACTTGTGAGCTAACTCCTTTCACAGCCATATGCAAAGATGTTTGTCCTTTCTTGTCTGTTCGTCTTGCTAATTGCGGGTCTTTATCGAGCAACGTTCTCACAATGTCTACATGACCTTGACGTGCAGCGAGGTGAAGCGCGTTCTTTCCATTGGATCTTGAAATCTCGAGGAGGCTTGAGTCTTTAGCAAGTAATTCTTCAACTACTTCTGAATGCCCTCGTGTAGCAGCTGATACAAGTGGGGTTGCGTTTGATTGAGCTACGGTTTTACTCAATTGAGGTTCACGCTCAAGCAGTAACTGGACAATAGCTGCATTAAAGAAGCACGAGGTTTCACCAAAAGAAGGACCAGAGAAAGAATGTTTTGAATGTTTTTGGTTCAGTGAGACTTACATCTATGGCCTTGACTGCAAGCGATGTGTAAAGCGTCGAATCCAGAAAGATTCTTCTGCATAAGAGACTCTTTGGTCGTGTAACGCAACAGCTCCTTGACAACATCAATATTGCCTTTCTCTGCCGCTGTAAAAAGCGGTGTCTCTCCTAATTCATTCACCTCGTTTACCACTGATGTCATTATTTGTGCTACCTTTTTCAGTTTTCAACACAAGACAATGGAAATAAACTTTCATCAACACACTTTTCAGCTGTATTCATGCTTAACAAACATCACACATACACACACAAAAATACTTAGAAGGAGTCATCATACCTCGTCATCAAAATCAGCTCCTGTAATGGTACCAGTAATCTGAGAATCAATGTCACTAAGAATCTGCTTAACAGAAGCCAAATCTCCTCGTTGAGCAGCTAGGTGAAGCTCGGTGTCGTTGTGGCGTCCTGTGACTTGTTTCACATACTTCTTTTTACCCGTTGGATCAAACCGTTTCCCCGAATTGGAAAGTCCCAAGGACTTGCTTGAATTGGACACCATTAAAGCCTTGCCTGAATTGGACAGAACCAGAGTCTTCCTTGGGGTTGGGGTTGGCGACAAGTCGGCTACAGTACTCCCCGTGGGGCTCACCGGATCCGTTGCCAAACCCTTCTCCATATCCGGTTCCAGTTCCTTCTCTGCAAAGGTCAGATTGATTACACCTTGTTTGTTTTTTTGTTTGTTTGTGTATCACGCAAATGATAAATAAATCCATTGAAGAAATTAAAAAGCCAGCCTAAGATCCCAATTCAAGACCTAGCCCTAATTTCACAAACAGAGGAATCCCAAAAGGAACATAAAAACTGTAACTACTCTCTTAACACGTTTTCGCAACAGAATTTCGTAGCTCAGAATCTAAAATGAAGGAGAATGAGAAATCGTTGTACCTTCTTCGATTCTGGATCCCATTTTGAGAGATAATAACAGAGGGATTTCAAAGCGGAATCATGATATTATAAGATGGTATATCGACCACCGATTTGTGTTCTCCGATTGGAGAAGAAGAATATATAAGCCGTGAGAGCCTTCGTCGTCGCTGGCCACCGGTACCTTCAGTGACACGGAAAGGGTTTGAGATCCGATTATGGTTATTGGTACGAGAAGCAGAGAGCTTTACCCTTTTTTGGGTGTAATTTGGGTTGTCTTCTTTCTTCTTCAGTTAGGGATATTTGCCACGTCATAATCTTTCCACACAAGAAAGACACAGATATGGTTTTCAGATACGTCATTCATTTTAGTTGAACCCTCTTTTAGAAAGTTGCTCTGTCCCAAATACGGTTTAGGAAATATTGTAACCGGAAAGAATATTTGGTTTGTCAACAATTGGGATTGGTACTTAAGTTTCCGGTCCGCTTTGGTATGTTTTTTTTATATTGGAAGGTTTTTAAATTCACACTTTTTTCAACATTCAATAATAATAGAGTATTATCATCCCATAATAATAACTTTAAAAAAATTTAGGCGAATCTTGCCTAAAATAAATAAATAAACTTCATATATCACGCTCAAATATCTAATAAAATTCCAAAATATAATATCTAATTCACTGTCGGCAACAACAACAAAAAAAAAAAAAGGAAAAAGGGGACAAAATATGATTATTATTCTCCCACAGTTCCAACAAAGCTAACATCAATGGTGAGTTGCAGTTGCAACAAAGAGCAATTATATCCCAAAAAAACCCCCAAAAATACAAAAACTGAAACTGTCCGAAATTAAATTCGAGATTTAATATAAATAGATTATGGGAAACCTACACGGCCTCCACAGGTCCCATCACGCCGGAGAAACCTCCAACGCCCATTTCCCACCGTCTCTAGCTCCGCCGTCTTCATCGTCACCATCCCGTCCCCACATGACGACCGTGGAACCTTATTGCCACGTAGACTCCAGCCTCCGCTCTCTCGCCGGAAAGGCCGAGGGTTTTGGCCGCGCCGCCGTCGGTGGTCTTAGCGGCCCGATTTGCCGTGTCACTTCTCTAGCTGGTAAATTCAATAGTGTCCTGTCTTTCAATTAGTCCTCCATTGCTTAGACTCTTTTTATTGGATCCTTCTCTTTTTATTTCTTTACTTTAAAAAAAAAAAAAATGTTTACGCCTATTTTTTTATTTATTGGATCAGTCAATGTTTTCTTTAGGAACAAAAAGTTTCATATAACTGTAATAAAAGATTATCGAAGTATTTTATTTTTCTTGATCGATTATATTTGTATTGGATATCGCCAGAACGGATTTTTACTTGCATATATACAGAACATTTCTTTTCAAATTTGGTGATTGGGTCATTTACGTCATATGTGTGTTATTGAAATGATCGTTGATGTGAAATGGAACTCCCATTGGATTTGGATCCAATACTTGTTATTGCAGACGAGGGTCCAGGATCGTTACGAGAGGCTTGTAAGAGGCCAGACCCGTTATGGATTGTGTTCGATGTGTCCGGAACGATCAATCTGTCATCGTTTGTGAACGTATCATCGCACAAAACAGTGGACGGAAGAGGGCAAAGGGTGAAGATAACGGGGAAAGGGTTAAGGCTAAAACAATGTGAAAACGTTATAATATGTAACCTTGAATTCGAAGGCGGTGTAGGACCAGACGCAGACGCGATTCAGATCAAACCAAAATCAAGCAACATTTGGATTGATCGCTGTAGTCTCAAGAATTACCATGACGGTTTGATTGATATCACACGAGAAAGCACTGACATTACCGTCTCAAGGTTTGTCTCTCAAATCTTATGTGTTCTTTCTTTCTTGGTCTCACTTTTGGTTTAGTTTTATATAACCAACTGTGTTAACTATTAAGATAAATAAAAGTATTTTTGATAAAATTGTCAGATGCCATTTCATGAACCACAACAAGACGATGTTGATAGGAGCGGACGAAAGCCACGTGACGGACCGATGCATAAGAGTTACGATTCATCACTGCTTCTTCGACGGTACACGTCAGCGACACCCTCGAGTTCGCTTCGCAAAAATCCATCTCTACAACAACTACACTCGTCACTGGGCCATCTACGCCGTCGGAGCCGGCGTTGAATCTCAGGTGCGTCATAAAAGAAAAAAACATATATACACATATATTTATACGATTCATCGGTTATAAGTGTGTTTCATATATTTATTATTTATCTTGTTTTGATAGATATACTCTCAGTGCAACATATATGAAGCTGGAGAGAAGAAGACCGTCTTTAAGTACATCACCGAGAAGGTAAAATCTACTTTGTATTCTTTAGGTTGTGAAAACGTTGTATATTTCTACCCTTTTTTAGCTAGCGTCAAGGATCCCATAATATTATCTTAATTAAACTCATGAGTTCTATGCGTCATACTATATAAAATGTTAGTGTAACATTAATCAACGTTATATTTTTCTTTGTTTGGTGATTAGGCGGGGGATAAAGAGAAACCTGAAGCTGGTTTCATTAGATCAGAAGGAGATTGGTTGTTGAATGGTGCCAAGTCGTGTCTTAGCCACAACGGAGAGCGCCACGTGTTCTCTCCGACCCAACACTATTCTGAATGGACCGTCGAATCGCCAACTGAGAAACTCAAGAACTTTATGAAACACTCGACCGGCTGGCAGAACCTTCCGCTTCCACCCGACCAAACTACGAGCACCGCATAGTTCTTAGCTATTACAATGTTTGAATCTTCTCCAACCAGCTCTCATTTCTAGTTTCGGGGTTTGAAAATATTATTTCCCACGATGTTATATTATGGATGCAAACTTTGGCTGCAGAAATTTAATAATTTGGATTAACTCAATTATATTGGGGCGAAGTTTCTTCTAGTTTCTTTTGGTGAGTAAATTAGGACCTGAATTGTTGATCTATGTCAGTGGCTAAGGTATCTGACTCCAGACATCTCAAGATTCCCAACGTATTCGTTTTGTCTCAATAAACCTTGCATTTTCATTCATTTTAAAAAAGAAAACTTTTTATAATTCCTAGTATTGATTGATTTTCATCTTACGGTTAAGAAAAATTTTGACTGATGAAAAAAACGAAACTAATCATAAATAAAAAAAAAAGCAGTTTCACAAAAACTAGTCTAACACAAACATTTTTTTTTTCGTTCATTCATTGAAGAGTCTACGAGGCTTATCACGAGGCGCCTGCACCTTCGCCGCCAGAAAGTGTGAAATCAAATGTTTTTATGTTTTTTTTTTGGCAACTCGGATCTTGTTATGCACATTTTAAGGTTTTATGTATTTATTAAAGTGAACGAGGTACATAACAACGGTTAACCCTAAATTTAGGAAAGTAACAAGGAATTGCAATAACTCTCTATTTATAATTTGTAACGAGTCTACAGAATTTATGGCTCCTCGGCTCTGTCAAGTCGCCTCCCGTTGATTGGTTCCATAAAAGTATGCGTAATCTCTACAAATGTTGGTTACGTGACTTGACTTTGATTCTTCTAGATACCTCCCGGTCCTCACCCACACTTAATGGACCAAAGACTCCACACCTATAAGTATGATACTGAATTAATGGTCGCATTTACAATTTGCCATTGATTAACAGATAGTTGTAATACTATATTACACCAAATGAATATACCGTGTTACTCGTAATTTGTAACCCATTACACCTTTAATCGTATCAAACGAGAAGTAAAAAAAAATGAATATCTCATATCTATATTACTATATAGTGGAGTATAACTTTCTCTATAGGATAATTTTTTTATTTTTCCGGCAATATCATAGGGTGAAAAATGGCGGGGAAATATATAGTAATATGTTTGATTTCTCCTTCAAAATCTTCTGCATGACAAAGATCGGGGCTTTCGTCCAGGATTGTGAGGAGGAGGTGTAAGAAGATCGAAAGATGTCGAAGACACATATGTTTTCTCCGAAACACCAACCCCGCTAAACAACTCCGACAATTGGTTTCCGATATCTTCAGGGGTATATCTGACATTCCACCCACCTTCCGTTCCCGCCAACATAGCGGCGTTTCTATGCGCGTTGTAAAAATCGCGATAAACCGGCAACAGCTTTTTCCCGATCGAAACTCTCATCTCTTCCCTCAGTTTCGGATCAGGTACGACGCAAACGCTCTGTGACTCGCACGCGCTCTCGAAACTCTCGTTGAACTTCTCGAATTGAATCTTCGCTTCCTCCGGCGAAATCTCTACCGCCTCCGAAGTACTAATATCAGGACACAGCGACGAGAGTGGACCCCAAGCAAGCCGCTCGTAGCTTTTAGCGAACTGCCTGACTTTCTCGAAATGCCTCGCGATCCAATCGTCGCCGAGGAGCTGCTTCAGGCACGTGGAGCGTGCGCGTGACGCCACGTGCTGGAGGTTGTTGGCTAAGAAGAGATACTGCATCGAGAATTCCTTGTACATCTCAGATTTTCCGTCGATCTTGCATAAGAGGACGAGAATCATCCACGCGAATCTCACTCTCACCTCCGAAGCCGGAGATCCGTCGGATTCCGAGGCATTGAAGTACGATTTCGGAAGCAACGGTTTAGCGGAAGAGGAAGATGATCCGTCGAGGATGGTCACGAGAGAACTACTGTAATCCGCGAGGCGAGAGAGGTAATCCATGGCGGAGATAGTCATCGGATGCACTCCTCCACCAGTAACCACCGTCTTCGACGAATCTTTCCGTATCTCGGATTCGAAATCCAACAGATGAGAAATAATCGACTCACTGAGTCGGTTAAGCGAGTTGTGAGCTTGAGATCGAACAGAGGAGAGTGACGGGGAGGAGAAGATCGATTCGATCGCCGGTAAGTTCTCCGTGATTGTGCGATACATATCCAGCAAAGGGAAAATCTTATCCGGGTTTGGATTTTTCTTATCTCTCACGGCAACGATATCCGGGAATCCAAACAGAAGAAGAGCTCCTTCCTTGGTGATCTCTCGGAAACATGACTCTCTGAGAGAAACAGAGGATTCGAAGACTTCATCGCAGAGTGTCTTTTCACCGTCGAAGAGAGTCTTCGTCGACACCTTAACCGCTTCGACCCAGCTCTTCATCTTCAACTCAATAACCTCACATGGCATCTTCTTCGCCTTGGAAGAGCTTATTTTCTCGACTCCGAGTCGGTAAATCCCTTCGTCGACTATCGATTTTCTGATGGATTTAAACGTAGTCGCACACTCTTTCGCGTAACCTGCGGCGATCATGCACTCTGCGATGGATTTAAGCTCCGTCGTCGAGTTCTTCGACACCTCTTCAACTTCGACGATGGAATCTCCAGCAGGACGAGACTCATGCCAAACGTCGTCTTCGTTTGATACGACAGAGGTAGGCGATCTACTCGAGACGGATTCGGGATCCAAATGCGCACGATTCATTGACAGAATCTGCTGAAACTCATTCTGAAGCCTTTTCATAGCGATCTGCATCAGTTTCTGGGCTCTAAGGAGATTCTCTGAATTCGGATCTTCTCTAATCAACGAATCCATCGCGTTCTGCAGTTCCTTGACGCGTCTCACGAACTTCTTCGCCTCTCGTTTGCTCTCGCAAAACAGAGAGTAAAATTTCGTTGCGGAAACATACTCTGTGTTCCATTTCTCGATTATCTCTGCGGCGTTATCGATCGTCCGGTCGATTTCCGATGACGACTCGAAACTCTTGCTAGGTAATGATGAAAGAGAAAGAGAAGGTCTTTTCCTTGAAGATGTTATCTTAGAGAAGAAACTGAAACCGCTCTTGCTTCTCATCTTGATCCGTTTTTTTCAAATGTCTTGCATGAATTTTGAAGGAGAAACAAAAAGAATGGATTTTGCATTAAATAATGAAACGCCTCACCTTCTATGTGGATTCAAGAACCAGGTGGTGAAAGGGGTTCCCTTTTTGAAGAACCTACCACTGAATCCAGATTCAGGGAGGCGTCGTTAGAACAGATAAACTCTAGATCTATTATCTGTTACACATTGATTGTGTAAGATCATTTAGGTCGTTTATCGTTGTGGTCATAAACAATGACCGAGAAATATGAGGAAAGGTGTGGCGTTGACCTTTGACTCATCCTTGCCCTTCACGTGTCATCGTCATGGACATCAATGTGTTTTTTCTTTCAAATATGAGATAACTTTGAATGACTTTAATATCTTTTTTTTTTCTTCTACTTAAATTTCTATATATATAGATGACTGAATATTTGTATGTTATTTTTTGCTGTATAGCTAGACCTAATTTTATAAGTTCTTTAACTGCTATAAACTCCCTGTGTGTCTTTATAGTAAATGTCCTAAAAAGAATCGTTTTATAAAAACTAAAAAGAGGCTCACAGCGCTAGAGTCTATCCTCTGAACTCATCTCCACCGGTTTGGTTAATACCTTCGGTTTAGGAGAAGAGGCGGTTGACAAAAAAAAAAGAACTAAAAAGAGATGCTTTTTGTAATTCTTATACAAGTTTGCATAACATTTCATATTTTGTCCCTGTTATTTAGAGTAAATAAATAGACAATAATACAAACAAAGGGAGATCATGTAGTCAGTAATATTTTATGATATCCCAATCCTTAACATCATTAGATATTACAGACAAGTATATAATGTGATGTTCACATATGAAACGTGAAGATATACCACAAGTAGCTTTCTCCACTTTTATGTCGTTGTCCATCATTCATTCCTCTTTAGGTAATTAAAAATAGTATTCAATCAAAAATAGTTCGTAATTGTATATGTATAGCAAGCAATAACTGATTAACTGCCAAAGCCATGCAAGATCAGTGTTTGCATTTTACATTTTAAAACAAAAAGCAAAATCTATATTTACTCCTTTTTACTTTAAGCTGGGGATTGCCGTGACCGAGAAGACGAAGGAAAAGAAACGGCTAAATTCCCCGAAATACCCTCTCTTGAGAACAAATCAGACAAATGGTTTTCAATATCTTCAGGGGTAAATCTGACAACCGAGCTCAAGTTTCTCGCGCCGCCGGCTCCCGCCAAGAAAACAGAACTTCTCGTGTTACAAAACTCGCGATAAATTGGCACCAGCTTTCTCGCTATCGATAGTTTTATCTCTTCTCCTAGATTTGGATCCGGTACGATACAGGCGCTTTGTTTACCGTACGCCCGCTCGAAGCACTCGCTGAAATTGTCAAACCGCTCCTTCACTTCCTCCGGCGACATCTCCACCGTACGATTCTCAGGCAAAGACGCAACCACTGGACCCCACGCAAGTCGCTTATAGCTGTCGGAATATTGCTTCATCTTAGCGAAATGCCTCGTGACCCAGTCATCGCCGAGGAGTTGTTTCAGGTTCGAGGAACGGACTCGTGAGACCACGTGCTGGAGATTGTTGGTGAGGAAGAGATACTGCACGGAGCAATCTTTGTATTGATTTGCTTTACGATCTATTTTGCAGAGGAGGACGAGGATAAGCCAAGCGAATCGGAGCGTCAGCTCCGACGAAGGTGACTCGTCGGAATCCGAGACGTTGAAGTAAGACTCCGGAAGCAATGATCTTTCCGGTGGCGGTGATCCGGCGAGGATATCGACGAGGACGTTACTGTAGTCGGCGAGGAGCGTGAGATGACTCATGACGGAAATCGTCAGTGGATGTACTCCTCCGCCGGGAACTATCACCTTCGACGAGTCCTTTTGAATTCCGGATTCGAAATCCACAAGTAGTGATCGAATCGATTCGCTAAGAGAGATGAGAGATTTAAGTGCTTGAGATCGGACGACGGAGATTGAATCAAACGAGAAGATCGATTCGATCGCTCGCCAGTTTCCGGCGATCGCGCTGTACATGTCCAGCAGCCGGAAAATTTTCTCCGGTGAGGAATTCTTCGTGCTGATTTTGCTGGCAGCAATGATATCCGGGAACCCAAAAAGAAGAAGAGCTCCTTCTCGAGAGATTTCACTGAAGCAAGACTCTCTAATTGCGTCGGAGGATTCGAAGACGTGATCACACAGAATCTTCTCCCCCTTGAAGAGAGTCTCCATGGAGACTTTCACTGCCTCTAACCAGCTTCTGATCTTCAGATCGATCGCTTCCCAAGACATTTTCTTCGCCTTCGCTGGACTCGTTTTCTCCACTTCGAGTCGGTAAATCCCTTCGTCGATGACCGATTTTCTGATGCTTTTATAAATGCTCAAACACTCTTTCGCGTAACCAGAAGCGATCATGCACTCAGCGATGGATCTCAAATCCGTCATGACGTTGCTAGAAACTTCCTCCACTTCGACGATTGAATCACCGGCGGTGTGTAATTCGTCATCGTCGGGTAAATCAGAGTAGCTGGATCTCGCCGAGGTGAGAGAAGATCGAGTAGAAACGGATTCTGGATCTAGATAAGCACGATTCATGGACAGGATCTGGTAAAACTCCTTCTGTAACCTCTTCATCGCGATCTGCATCAGTTTCTGGGACCTGGCGAGTCTCTCCGAGTTCGGATCCTCACTCACCAGCAGATCCATCGTGTTCTGGAGATCCTTCACTCGATCGATGAACACCATGGCTTCTGGTTTGTTCTCGTAGAACAGGGAAGTGACTTTGGCGAAAGAGGAGGTCTCCGTGTTCCATCTCTCGATTATGTCCGCGGAAGATTCAATGATTCCATAGATAGCCGCCGATTCCAAACTCTGGCGTGGCGTTAACGTCAGAGGATGTGGATGATCCGACGGCGTTTTGGCGACGCAGCAAAGGTTTCTCACCGCTTGTCTCGTCATAAGTCTTTTTGGAAGAATTTTCGAGAGACTTCAATTCGCGTCGTCGATGGGGAATTTCTGAAATTTGAAATGATGCAAGTTGTGAGGAGAGTGGATTGAGTCGTTGAGTGGTGGGGTATTTATAGAAGAATTAAACAGCGTTAGAACGACGTCGTTAAAACTTGTGGAGAAGAAGGGACGAAGAAAGTTGTTGTTGACCTTTGACTTTTTCGATTTGTTTTTATTCTGGGCCTACACGTGTTGTAGGCTTGGCATGATTTTATGTATTTTCCCTACATATATGACGTAATTTTCCTGAAATCATGTGTATTATGGTTGACCGTTAATTTTGTTACTCATTATCTTGATTTGAATATAACTAGGCAAGATATAATTATTTTTACAAATAGATAATATCTTTTGTAAATACTGATGATATTAGTAGACATAAATAATCAACTAATTTAAAATAAATAAATTATTATGATTATCCGTTATATCTTTTAAAAATTTCTTAAAAATGATGATATCCGATGTATATCATATCATCATTGTACATACTCCATATTCATTAATCATCAATTTATAGAAAAGCCGAATACTTACTCTGTTTCAAATATTATGTATGATTTCATTTGTTCACACATAAAGAAAATTTTAACATTAATCTATCTTTTTTTTTGGGGTAAATGATTAACACAAAATGTCAATGGGACCATGTCACTCATGTCAAAAATTGTCATTGTTGACGCAATATATAACGACTTGAGTAAATACTACATATTTCTATGTTTCCAAACACAATCTCCTTTTCGTTTTCTATAATTTCTTTCCTTCTTTAATCTGTTTTTTTTAAAGTGATGCACACTTATACGAAAATTTCGGATTGGACGTATGTATGTGAGGCAGTGAGGCTCCCGACTTAAATATGTTTGTTGTTCCCACAACGTTTCCATTTATGAAAAAAGCTACACTGATTTTTAACCCGGAAACTTTCTAATATTAACAATTTTATCAACCAGAATATTTTACACATTTTCAAACCTTTAGAAATTGGAATCCAGAATTTGATAATGATAATACTTCTGGCAATTGCTCAAAACGTAAATCATACAGTATGTTGAACAAAGCACCGAATTCGGACCCAGAGTGATAGCACCGCAAATGTTAGCACCATAGTATCTTGGGAAATTACTCAGATAAAATTCATCCGTTTATTACTAGACCAATTAACATCCAACAAGAATACTTGTTTAGTTTCATATACGTAATTATTTTATTGTAAACTGAACGTCATTTGAATGCAAGATTACTAAGGAGTAAAATATTATGGAAGACTTCACTTTTTCAACCACGTGTTAATTATGTTATAGATATCTTTTGTATGTCAGTAATTTTTTATAGATAGCTTATGCACTGAATAAGATAGCCTATACATAAATATGCAGATTCATTCGATTTTTTAAAATGATTGAAAATTGACATTATTTTCTTCTCATCAACAGTCAAATTCAACTTTAAATATTTGGATCAAGGCGTGATAATATATTTCTAATAGCAACGCATATTTGCTGACATGTATATTGTTTCCTCAAGGCTTGTATTGTTATTACAAGTCGTCAAATTTAAGCCCAGAAACGATATCCCTAATTACTGATTTTTATACATGTACTGAATTACATGTAAATCTAAGAGATACATAAGAATTTAAGGAATCTATCTACGCAAACAAATATTTCAACTATCCACTTGTATCGACTCTCCGGCCCTCGGCTAAGTTTTTTGTTTTGTTTTTGTTTTTTGTTTACGGTTTATTCCAACTTTACGGTTTAGCCATCACCATACATGATACATATACCGTAGTTAATTAAAAAGATTAATCTAAAATCCATCTATTGGCAATTAAGAAGTTCGTTCGACATAAAAACATGTCAGATCGAAATTTATCTGTTTTTCGTTTGTTTTTCCATCAAGTATTGTAAGAAGGAGCCAAGGAGGGCTAGTATATGGAAACTAATATAAGTATACTTGGAAACAAGATCGATGGTTAGATGTAAACTCTCGAACATTCGTATGAGCTTACTTGGAACTTGGAAGGTAAGCATTTAGATATTTCCTTGATCATCTAAATTCTAACCAATATAAAATAATAGGAATACGGTTAATTGTCGTAAACACCAGATGTTCTAGAATATGCATGTCTTATATTCGTTGGCTCAGTTATTCCAAGGTTATTTTGTTATTGTTGTAGCTCTTAAATTCTTTTACATAATCTTAGAAAATTTACACTGCTATTCTTCGATGGTTGACCCGTACACGTAAACTCAAGAATCACGAGTCACGACAATGTACGCCCGCTGGAAAAAGGGAACAAAGCAATGACTAAAAATAACTGAAATTGATAGATATTCAATTCCAATTAAAAGATTAGGCTTTAATAACGTCATGAATTAGTTCATATGCAATGACTTTTATATTTGATTAAAATTGATTCATGATTTTTATGGCATCCGTTTTATTCATACCAAAATCGAAATAAATCTTGATGGTATCCTTTTTATTCAAACAAAAGTAGCCATATCTTAATATTCTACTCTCAAAAGTGAAAATTGTCATTTCAGTGGTTCTGTTAACATTTTTCTGTAACAAACAAATTTCCGTCTACTTTTATTAGTTTTTGATTACTTATCAAAAAAAATTCTAATAAAACACGGTTCAAAGTACGAATATTGCCGTCAGCGAGTTACGCTTAACAATGCTTATTAATAGTCTGTTTAACAGCCTTACGTCAATGAAGACCGCATAGCGCAGTGGATTAGCGCGTTTGACTTCGGATCAAAAGGTCGTGGGTTCGACTCCCACTGTGGTCGCATTAATTACTTTTGTCTCGACAGAAAATGCTTTAGTGCTACAGTTCCATTTTTTCCTTTTTTTTTGGTTAGTCGTCGTTAGCCATCTCCTGCTCAACCAATTTATTATTCTCTCATCGTTTACAATTCAATTGTTGTTTCTGTCAAACTTGAAGAACACATTAAAATTATGGACAGTTAACTTGTTGCTATATTGGGCATGTTAACTTCAGTGTCAAGTAGAATAATGGCTAGAATATCAAGAAGATAGCGATTTAGGTTTATTTCTGGTGAACAAGAAAAAGACAAATTATAAAAAGGAAGCAAAATCCATGTATCTGAAACTGTTTGACACACAATAGCGCAAGTGAAGAGCAAAAACAAGTTTCCATCAAAAACAAAAGCTGAAACAGTTTCTAGTAGCTAGATTGAAAGGATGGAGATTAAACTTTGATAGCGTACTTCCTTACTGGGAAATACATTTCTTTCTTCTTCTCACGCTCTGTCTTCAACGAGAGCTGCAATTCAGAGAAAAACAAAAAGAACCAAAGAACAAGATAAGAACAACAGAATTGGAAATGATCGATAAAAAAAACAAAAACAGAGAACAGTTTTATCAAGATAAATGGACAGACCTGATGTTTGGTGAGGCGTCTGCGGATAGCACGGGTTTTCTTGGGACGGAGATCAAGAGGAAGGAACTTCTTGTTCTTGTATGCTTCTCTAAGAGCAGATTTCTGCTTTTGAGAGGTCACTGTCAACACCTGAGCTATGGATTTACGGACGACCTTGCTGGAGATTACAAAACACATACAACTTTCAGATTGAGATTTTTCCATATTAGAGACAGAAGATGTAAAACCAAAATCGCATTCTCTATCTAAACAAGAATCAAGGTATAAGTTCGAATACACATAAGCAACATAAAAAAAAAAACTGACGTATATCAATCTACAATGATTCCATATGATGCACTATCTAAATCAGTAAGGGCATAGCAAAGCTTCTAACCAAATTCGATAAGAGAATAACACTTCATTTCCAGAATCCTAGCTAAAATCGAAATATAAAGTTTCTCAGTAAGGAGATTACGTACATTTTAGAGAGCTTGTTGGGAGCACCTCCGGTGACTTTGGCAACACGGAGGAGAGCGAGCTCAGCCTTAAGATCCTTAAGCTGGTTCTGTAGATCGCTCTTCGACTTGTCCCTGAGTTCGTGAACCTTAATCCTCGCTACAAACATAACAAAACATAAAATTGAATCAGACGTTATCCTCCGAAGAATCCGATTGCGAAGCTTTGGAAACGAAACCGAGTAATAATATTCATCGACATACCCATCGTGAGCTTGACTCGTGTTCAACTGCTGCGCCGCTGCTACTCAGAGAATCAGAAACCCTAAAGAAGGAGGAATGGAATTATATATGAAGCCTCTTTTTTGTCTGAGAAAATAAAATAAGCCCTAGAACCTCCTTAGTGGGTTGTCTGAAGCCCATTTATAATTTACAGCTTCACTTGAGGGAATCCTTAATGGGCCTAAAAATCAACGGAAAATAATAAACCGATCCGCAATCAAATTGTACCAAACCATCGACACACTCTCTCTCTCTCCACATGGTTTGACTTTCACTCTCCGTGGTCCTCCCCTCATCTTTCCCGGAGCCGTAGCCCGTAAGGTGGTCGGAGCGATTCTCCTCCATGGATTCTCGAGACGACGAGGAGGCGCCGTTGGTATCTGGGGAGGATCGGAATGTAAAACCGGGAAAGAGCTATACAAGGGATGTTCATATCCTCAGCATCTCCTTTTTGTTAATCTTTCTCGCCTACGGTGCTGCTCAGAACCTTGAAACTACCGTTAACAAGGTGCTCGATCTTACTCTGATTTTGCTTTTTTTTTTTCCATTTTCGTAAATTGCGTATCGAAGCTGATTTATTTATTTTTCGGTTGTCACTTTCCGGGATAATCAGCAATGAAGATAGGGAAACTAAAGTTTTGAATTTCTAATGGATATGATTCTGTCATTACTCATTTTTGTTTGGTGGGGTCAAAATATGCTGTCACTTTGTAGTTTGTATAGATGGAATTTGAGAGGAATATGAATTTGAGAGCAGAACCCATGAAGATTATTGTCGAATATTAAGATGAGACACTGAATTGTCTTACTGTTGTGGATTACACAGTGTATTTTTGTGTGTGTATGTATGGTGATATGTGAGTTGTTTGATTTTCTTTCAGGATTTGGGAACAATCTCTCTAGGAATATTGTATGTGTCCTTCATGTTTTGCTCCATGGTTGCATCTTTGGTAGTTCGGTTAATGGGATCAAAGAATGCTCTGGTTTTAGGAACTACCGGGTATTGGCTCTTTGTCGCTGCGAATCTGAAGCCATCATGGTATTCTCATCTATTCTGTATTCTTAATGACTAATTGTTACTTCATGGAACTTCGTTTGAATAAAGAAAAATTTCGACATATGGTTATTGGTTCTAGGTTTACTATGGTGCCAGCCTCTTTGTACCTTGGATTTGCTGCTTCGATTATATGGGTTGGCCAGGTAAAATTACAATTTCCGTGTCTTTTTTTTTTTTTATGTTAATCATACGGAGAGTGGATGTCTCGATCTTAAATTGTCTTGACTACGTTAGGGAACATACCTTACATCAATTGCGAGAAAGCATGCTAAAGATCATGACGTACATGAAGGTTCTGTAATCGGAGTCTTCAATGGAGAATTTTGGGCTATGTTTGCCTGCCACCAGGTGCATGCTGGTTTGATTATACTTTCTTAATGCTCTTTCTTTGTGCTTACCTCAGAATATGCACTTACTCTGAATTATTCTTCTGACACATCTCGCGTCAATCTTATTGTAGCTGTTTGGGAATCTCATCACTCTTGCATTGCTGAAAGATGGAAAGGTACTGACTTTTCTTTTTTTTTTCTTAATTGTTGACTTCCCTTTTTGGTTGCTATAGTTTAATTTCTCTCATCTCGTTAATATATTAACTTTTGAGTACTGGTTCTCATCAATCCACAAAGTAACTATTCCTACGGTTGATGTATTGAATAACAGACCATGTTACCAAATTCTCAGTGATGATTATATATCTCCCTTTCTAGTTGGATAGCTCCACCAATGTTTTTCTCTTGTTGACATGACTGTAGGAAGGAAGCACCAGTGGCACAACCTTATTGTTGTTGGTGTTTCTCCTCAGTATGACTTTAGGAACAATACTAATGTTCTTCATTCGGAAAATTGATGGAGAAGATGGAAAAGAACCTGTGGGTTCTCCTGTGGGCTTAGTTGATTCCTTGGTTTCTCTTCCAAGGATGATAATCACTCCTTTGCGTGACATACGGATGCTACTGATTGTCCCACTCCTTGCATATTCAGGATTGCAACAAGCATTTGTTTGGTATGTCTCTCAACAAACTGTATATGCATTCCTCGCTTTCCATGTATTGTCAAAAAATAGCATAAATGAAGTACTGTCCCAGTGCGTCACTCACCTAGGACTTCAGGCTTCACTCAGCCATTCTGATTAATTCTGTCCTGTAAATATTGGAGCTTCAATGAATTTCCTTGTTTGAGTCTTTGAATAGTTATTTCCTCCGTTATATGGCTTATCATTTTTTGTCAGTAAATTCAGCCGAATTTTCATTTAATTTTTGTTATGATACATATCTTCGTCATATTTACGAAGTGAGTCATCCTGTTTATAGGGCTGAGTTTACAAAGGAAGTTGTTACACCTGCGATTGGTGTCTCAGGTGTTGGTGGGGCAATGGCAGTCTATGGAGCTCTTGATGCAATTGTAAGTTGAAAGGGAAATCGAGGAAGTCATCCTTTTTACCTGCTAGTATTTAGACTGGCCTTGATATTTTGTGAGTTTAATCCTTATTTTTTCTGCCGAAAATCATTCTAGTGTTCAATAACTGCTGGACGGTTAACATCTGGTCTGTCATCAATCACCTTCATAGTTTCTGGTGGAGCTGTTGCTCAAGCTTCTGTATTTCTCTGGCTTCTTTTTGGGTTCAGGTTCGTTTCTTTTACTCTGTATTAACTACCGTCTCCACCACTCCTAAATAGTAATTATGTGAGTCCAGAACTCCTTACGTTTGTGCTTTTGACGAAATGGATTCACGTAGAACTTTTTTTTTTGGGTGGTCAACAGATTCCCGTAGAACATTTTTTTGGCATTGATCAGGCAACTTCCCATTGAGAGTTTTCCATTTTGTTTTTTTTTCATGTATTTAAAAGAATGCTAGACTCGGGGGTTCTTTTACTGAAGAAAGTGTGAAACTAGCTAGGATTTGTGTAAACCTCAAAAGTCACTGACTAAAAATGGTTTTGAAGGGACTAAGCTATGGGTGAAATGTTGTTGCAGGCAAACTAGCGGAGTACTCGGCACAGCTTACCCTCTTATAATGGCGGCGATACTAGGAATTGGTGACGGAATTTTAAACACTCAAATCAGTGCTCTTCTCGCTTTACTCTTCAAACATGACACGGTCAGTGTCACCAAAACATTATTGTATTTTTATTATTCATACTCACTGAAACATACATGCTAGAACGTTTCCTTTTTCTTTTACTCATGGAAACAGGAAGGAGCGTTTGCGCAGCTAAAAGTCTGGCAAAGCGCAGCAATAGCGATTGTGTTCTTCCTAAGTCCATATATATCATTGCAAGCCATGCTCATAGTGATGCTTGTTATGGTCTGCGTTTCACTCATCTCTTTCTTGGTCTTAGCTCTTAAGGTAGAGAATGTATTTACTCGCGTGGAATGATCCTTCGATTTGTTCACGTTCCAGGACAAAAACCCAAGTGTGTAAAAGTAAAAGCTTTAAATGCTATTCTCAATTCAGTTGTAAAGAAAAAGAAACTGGTTGCTTCGTACAGTAATAACGTCTCTTGATTTTTTTCCATATGCATATTTGCTTGGTATGCAACAACATTCTCAAAGTGTATAATCCTTTCCGGTTCTCGATATTGCAATTGTACCAAACCGTTCAAATCAAACCACAATGACCTAAAATTCGGTTACCAATCTAATGAATGCGATGTATCCGGTTAGAGAATTAACAAAATATGCATGACGTCGTCGTTTCTAACAATGCGCTTCTTGAAGTGGAGTCAGCTCAATATCTTGCTCCATCTGCTTCAGAGACTTTTATTGTCAAAAACACCGTTCACGTCACGCGCTCCCTGCTCTTCCATATTTCTCTTTCACGAAATTATCTGCGTTTTCCGAAGGTAATCTTCAAAGCTTTATCTGGGAATTTTGGATCTGTTTTCAAATGTTTCAATTTCAAATTCCTTTTTTATACGCAGTGATCTCATGAAAACCTTTTGCTATCGGATTCAATCAATGTCGGGTTTTTTTTTTTTGCTCATCAGAAGGATCGATTTGTTTGATTTGAAAAGTGTTGTCCGTACTGGATTTTGTGCTGTCTCTGTCGTATTTGTAAAAAAAAAAAAACTATCTTGTACCTGTAATCAGAGTTCTGAATTTATGATGATGCTTAATTATTTCCTACCACTTCGGATGGAGATTCGAACATAATTCAGTGTTTGAACATGTTAAGAGAGTTGATTTTTGGGGTGATTTCGACAAGATCTGGCTGAACAGTCAATGTGATTATTATTTTGTGGATGTCTGTTTGGTTTTAGTTGAATAGCTAGTATTGCACAAGCTAAAGGTTATCTCTTTCTCCTAATACAAATCATATGGTTATTGTGATATTACAGATGTTTGACGATCAAGATCTGGGCTTCTTTGCCAATTTTCTGGGGATCTTCATTTTCATACTGGTGATAGCCTACCACTTCGTGATGGCTGACCCTAAATTCGAATAGACATGACTCATGAGGTTCAAATTCAATCATTCTGATATGCCAGAATCAACATGTCACCATACCTGAGGACGTTTTTGTTTTGGTTTTTTTTTCAGTTGATGTATGTTGACAATGTGGTCTTAGCTGTGGGATAAATCCCTCCTTTTTCTGTATTGCTACTATTCATATACTTGGCTAGTTCACTATAAAAGGTTAAAATGCTTGTTTCTAAAGCAATTTCCGGGTTTTATGTGTTAGATTATGGGTGGATTTGATACCAAATTTCACAGCTGTGAGGATATTCTATCTCAGATTTGACGCTAAAATATGAATTGGTTGGTGGAAGTTTTGCTGTATATGTTAAATATTGGTTTACATGTTGATCGACACACGAAAAACCATGAGGCGTTAGCTCTTTCATTGTTATAGCAAAAAGCAGACAAAGCTAATCGAATTGTTGTGTGTCGAGGGTTTCTATGTTTTGTTGCATTGGAGAAACAATTTGTCTCATTTTTTCTATAAATCTCTCTAGTTAACATTTTAGTCTGTACACTCATATCACCTGATATTTCTGACACGATTCTATGTGCTCTAGTTACTAAAGGTCTTCAAGAACAAAATCAAGTTGTATGTGTTATTTCTGTCATAATACATATTGTTTCTTGCATTAATCTGCTAATGCAAAACCCTAAACTGCTCAAACATAGAGCACTTTCACTCTTGAACACCTCCTCAGCTGTGCTACCACCTATCTTGCCAGTTGCTTCCTTCAGTAGCATTACAAAAGAAACCGAAAACCTCTCTGCATCATCTTGGCTTGGACCCAACTCCATGTTTGAGTGGTTGCCGTTTGATGTTGTTGTTCCTGCTTCAACATCATGGCATATCTTTCTCTTCTTCATCTCTTTTTGGAGTCTTGCTAGAGAGCTGGTCGATGCCGTCTCTTCTAAGCATTTCACTGAAGAGTGAAGCTTTTCTTGGAAGGATTTCAGATCATGAGTGACGTGGTCCCAAGGAAACTCAATAGTAGGTTGAGCTCCAGATAGGTTTGTGAGGCCATCACAAACATAGAGACAAAGATCAGATAGCTTCGAGAAAGAACCCAAAAGCTTGTTGTAACTGACCGCGTTGAGTGGGCGGAGGAACGGAATCTTAGGCTCTGTCAAGGCTTCTGCTGTAAACCTCTCTAATGCTTCAACGTGAGATTTGAGTTTCGCCTGTTTGCTTCTTAAATCTGACATTTGCTGGTTCTTTTGCTCAGAGCAAAGAACCAATGATTGGATGCAATCTAAGAGGGCATCGAGACATCGTGAGAGTTCGGTTCTTGCAAGAGTTGTTGCTCTCGCAGGAGTGACCAGGATTTCCCCAAAGACAAAACAGAGCAACCCGATTGAAGCTTCAACAATGCGAGTGATTGCAAAATCAGTGGGAGCTCCATAATTTCTCCTTCCGAGTATCAACAGTGCTGCAATGGCAGCTGTGACTCCTCCAGGTTGGCCATAGACTCTGCTGTGCCTCATGAAGACGGTGACGGCTATCCAAGGAAGCAAAGGCAAGAACCTGAACTCTTGCAGGTTTTGGAAAACAGAGCAACATAACAGACCGTAGACTGATCCCATTGCAGTCCCTTGTAGACGAGAATTCGCTACTGTTAATGTTGCTTGCCTACCGGATACAAGGCTAATGGCTACGGTTAAGCCCGACCAGTACCCGTTTTTTTTGTTGTACATAATACCAAACAACACCGCAAGGCCTAAAGAAACCGAGCACTTGAATGCAAAAACAAACCTTTCTCTAGCCATCCAGACACACAGAGTATCCAAAACTCTTTTGATCATGGACAATCCTTCGTTTTCTGGATGAATGTCTTCCTCGTTGTTACTCCTATTTACGCGTTTACTGAAATCACCTCTGAAGAGTTCAACGCAATACTGGAAGAAGTGAACCGGTAAGGCTGCAGTGGACAGAGAACCACCAACCTCAAGATTCCACTTTAGACTGCCCTGGTGCTCGAGTGTAGATGCTGATCTAGGAGCAAGCTTTGTTCTGGGACCTTCTAAAAGACGTGTCAGTTCATCACGGGTCATGCCTAGAGGAAAAGAACTGCAAGATCCCAACGCCATCCCCATTCCCCTCATCAGAAACTCTGTGGCTTGCAGTTTCTCCACAGGATGCTTCTGCTTCCCTCTCAAGAATCTTGTATCTGGTCGCTCCCATGCTATACGCTCCTGTTACCAAAAATATACATTTTTCAGAGCCAGATGATTGGATACACACGACAAACAGAAGAAAAAATAATTCAAGTATTTGAAGATACTTATAATTATACTAAGTTATAATTATAAGAAAGTTGGCTTACTTGGTGGAGTTTGATGCTTTTGAGTGTGTTTCTTGCTGCTTCAGACAATGAAGCGGCACGTGCGATCAAAACCTGAGCTGTGGTGTTGTCTCGAGCCATCATGACCTCGACGAACAAATTCAACCTCTCAAGAGCATTTTCAGCATATAGTTTGCAACCCTTATTCATCTGCAAACCAGTTCAAAATCCGAGGTCAGTACGTAAAATTTCTTTGATCGCCTCTTCGTCACTAAAAGCCAAAAAAAAGAATAATAATTACCTGAGTATGAGCCAGCCTTGGAAAAGGGAGAAGAACTGCGAGGACTGAAGCAAAGGCTCCAAGTGCTGTACTAGCCGCCACATTAACCGGGAGCATGAGAACATGAGCCATCTCTCCATTGAACACCACGAAAGTCACATAGACAACAACGATCTGCCCAAAGGCAATTCGTTTGGTCAGAAGACTCGTGGACGCCGGGAAAGCCACGATGAATGAAGCTACAGCCACAGCAACTGGAGCCACCAAGCCATTTCCTAGCGAGGCTGGTCCAACCACCACGACACTCACTAGCACAATGGCTATTGTCTGAAAAGTGGCGCAAGAGACATCAACACAGCACTTGAGAACTTCGCCGTATGTTGGTTCAGCATCGGATAGCCAGATTAAGATTGTCGTCAGGTAAGAAAAGGCTGGAAACGTTGTGAAGTGTCTTAGTGGTTTGGGACCATACAAAGTAGTTAAGCTCACGATGAGACAAGCCATGGCAGTTCTCAAAGCCAGGCCAAGCCGCTCTAGACATGTTGCGTCGCCCATTCTTGTTACGAATTGTTTTGTAGATTTTTGTGTAGAGATTTTTATTATATCAAGGATTGAAGATGATGAGATATTGAGGGTTGTGGTGAGCAAGAAGAGTACGTATATATAAGGTGTGATGGGATTTGAAGTGGCAACGTCAAGGAGTTAAACTTAAGACTTATGGGCAGCTGTCTCTTAACACCAAGTATTTTCATTTTCTGTATTTTGTAGTAATGGGACCAAAAACATGATCCGGTTTTTGGTTTGGTTTCGGTTAGGATAGTTTTTTTTGGGTAATAAAACATTCTCAAATCCAATTGGTTCTATACGGTTTTAGGCTGTTGGGTTGGTTTGATACAAAAAACAAACAAATAAAAGACTCTTCGTGTTGGTTCTGATTCATTTTTAAAAGTGTAACTGGATAAAGCGAAATACAACTTTAGTTGGTTTTCGGATACGGTTTGGTCCAGTTTGAACTAAATTGGTATTTTGGGGGTCGATATTGGACATGCATAGACTATGTAACATATCGATGTTTAGAGGGAGTGGGTGGGTAGCGAGTTAAACCAGCAGATTGCTGCACACCGCAACAAAAACAAAGTGGTTTTAAGTAATTTTTGGAACTCTCTCCTTTCTACAAGTGTCTCGTAAGTTCTGAAATTGATATATTGCCACCTACTTAGACCTTTTTTATTAAAATTTTGTTGTTTTCGATTTGACATTCCGTCGACGGAATATAAAGGTAATGTTTGATAAATCTAAAATTGATTATGGAATGAGACAAAAGAGAAGAAGAAGTGGCATGAAAGACAATAGTCTCATCAACAGTTCAAGTTCAAGTAGGGAGCATTTATAACAAGCTGCACGCTTCATGGTTAGTATTGTTTCCTCTTCCTCAGGGAATTTAAATGTACAATCAGTTAGGTCCTACGCACCCATATACTTGGTATTTGTACACCTATATTTCTTTTTCACTGATGGATGCAAATTTCTGTGCCACAAAAAAAAAAAGAAATATGAATAACTAATTCATTATTTTCATCCGGCTTTTAAAATTGGTTGATAATTGCATTTATTAAAACCATTCTTTGAGAATGTTTTCGTTATTAACATCATTACATGGAAACTAAAATAAAATGAAAATAAACATGCATAGTTGACCAAGAAAACAGAATACATATGTTGCAAACCTATTTCATATGTTGCTTTGGGCCAATTTAGTTATCAAAGAAGTAAATTGATTACAGTAAGCCCAAAATTCTCTCTATTGTTACAAAGATGTGACTTTGAATTTGGGCTATTTTTCATATCACGGATACATTTCTTTTGGGTCAAAATTATTTTCTCGTCCATCTATCTATCAAAGTCTTCTTCACAGTCAAATGCAGATTACAATATCCCATTAACACCTTTGCTTGTCAAAATTTTCTCCAAACCCGAATTTTTCGTCCATGAACTTTAACTCACAAATCTAAACTATTTTTTAATCGACATCGGAATTTAGTCTGGATTGTATATTTTTCATCATCGGAGTATATCCCAACATAACACGCCAATCTAATTTTGCTTTAGACACCGGAACTTTTCACACACCAATCTAACTTACTTTTGGCTTAAGACAAAAAAGTTTGTGAAAAAGGATATTTCTACCAAGATATTTTGTGTTGATTAAAAATGACAGTATAAAGTAAAAAAGAATACGTGTCTATCTAACACTGACGGCGACCAATGGACCATTTAAAACCAATCAAAACGCAAAGAAATGTCAAGCTGTACAAGTCCATCACAACCAATGACCGACTTTTTTGATTTGGAAATAAGCCACCGAACCGATAAACCGAATATTCTAGAACCTTTTAAACGGCTTTGGCCTTTGAGTCCCAAACTCGTACGCGCGTCAATTTGTTTTTTTCCTTTTGAGAAAAGTACGCGCTTCAATTTTTTAAAGGTCGAAAAGGAAAAAATGGGAAAAGAATCGTTCGGTGACCGTCAGATCAAACTCCGAAAGATCGTGCGGTTACAGAACAAGCAATCGAACATTCTGGAAACACTAGACTGCGAATCTATATATACTTCTCCTTCGACCTCATCTACCGGAGAAAAAGATAAACCCTAGCCGCATTCTTCTTCTACTTCTACTTTTTGCAATCTCTTAACGTTTTTGTTCCTTCGATTTTGCGTAAAGCTTAACAATGGCGGGTAAAGGAGAAGGTCCAGCTATTGGTATCGATCTCGGTACTACCTACTCTTGCGTCGGAGTTTGGCAACACGACCGTGTTGAGATCATTGCTAATGATCAAGGTAACAGGACGACGCCGTCCTACGTCGCCTTCACAGACAGCGAACGTTTGATTGGTGACGCCGCGAAGAATCAGGTGGCCATGAATCCCATCAACACTGTTTTCGGTACGTTTTCCTTTTGGTTCATCTTCTTCTGATTCTCAATTTATAGGTTATGTTATCGATTTTGTGCATCGAATCTAAGTTAAGAGTTAGATCTGTACACAGAAGATCCTCAGATTTAACTGCTATATGAACTAGTGAGTAGATATTTTTGATTTATTCGGAAGATTGAGCTAAATAATCTCAATCAAGAAGCAAGAATTATATATTTAATAAACGCGTTTCAATCGATGGATTGTGATACTGTTGTTGTTTTGCTATAACTATGGTTGCTTACTTTTGCTGCATTCTGTGAAGAGATTACCTGATTTAGTAATTCCCTGCTATCTTTTTTTAGTATTTGGCTTTAATTGGCTTTGATTTTGTCTATGTAATAGATGCCAAGAGGTTGATTGGTCGTAGATTCAGTGACAGCTCTGTTCAAAGCGACATGAAATTGTGGCCCTTCAAGATCATTCCAGGACCGGCCGACAAACCCATGATCGTCGTTAACTACAAGGGAGAAGATAAAGAGTTTGCTGCTGAAGAAATCTCTTCCATGATTCTCATCAAGATGCGCGAGATTGCAGAGGCTTACCTCGGTTCCACAATCAAAAACGCTGTCGTCACTGTTCCAGCTTACTTCAATGACTCTCAGCGTCAGGCAACAAAAGACGCCGGAGTCATTGCTGGTTTGAACGTTATGCGTATCATCAACGAGCCTACTGCAGCTGCTATTGCTTATGGTCTAGACAAGAAGGCTACAAGTGTTGGGGAGAAGAACGTTTTGATCTTTGACCTTGGTGGTGGTACTTTTGATGTCTCTCTTTTAACCATTGAAGAAGGTATCTTTGAAGTGAAGGCGACCGCAGGAGACACTCATCTTGGTGGTGAGGATTTCGACAACAGAATGGTGAACCACTTTGTTCAAGAGTTCAAGAGGAAGAACAAGAAGGACATTAGCGGAAACCCAAGAGCTCTTAGGAGATTGAGAACCGCCTGTGAGAGAGCGAAGAGGACTCTCTCCTCTACAGCTCAAACCACCATTGAGATCGACTCTCTGTACGAGGGTATCGATTTCTACTCCCCAATCACCCGTGCTAGATTCGAAGAACTCAACATGGATCTGTTCAGAAAATGTATGGAGCCTGTTGAGAAGTGTCTTCGTGATGCTAAGATGGACAAAAGCTCGGTCGATGATGTTGTCCTAGTTGGTGGCTCAACCCGTATCCCCAAGGTCCAGCAATTGCTCCTCGACTTCTTCAACGGCAAAGAGCTTTGCAAATCCATCAACCCCGATGAAGCCGTTGCCTATGGTGCTGCTGTTCAGGCAGCTATTCTCAGCGGCGAGGGTAACGAGAAGGTTCAGGATCTGCTCTTGCTCGACGTCACACCACTTTCTCTTGGTCTTGAAACCGCCGGAGGAGTCATGACAGTTTTGATCCAAAGAAACACAACCATCCCCACAAAGAAGGAACAAGTCTTCTCAACTTACTCAGACAACCAACCAGGTGTCTTGATCCAAGTCTATGAAGGCGAGAGAGCAAGAACCAAAGACAATAACCTTTTGGGAAAGTTCGAGCTCTCCGGTATCCCTCCAGCTCCCAGAGGTGTTCCTCAGATCACCGTCTGTTTTGACATTGATGCGAACGGTATCCTCAACGTTTCGGCCGAGGACAAGACAACAGGACAGAAGAACAAGATCACAATCACCAACGACAAGGGAAGATTGTCAAAAGACGAGATTGAGAGAATGGTTCAAGAAGCAGAGAAGTACAAGTCAGAGGACGAAGATCACAAGAAGAAGGTGGAAGCCAAGAACGCTCTTGAGAACTACGCGTACAACATGAGGAACACAATCCGTGATGAGAAGATTGGCGAGAAGCTTGCAGCTGATGACAAGAAGAAGATTGAAGACTCGATCGAAGCAGCCATTGAATGGCTTGATGCGAATCAGTTAGCAGAGTGTGATGAGTTTGAAGACAAGATGAAGGAGCTCGAGAGTATCTGCAACCCGATCATAGCGAAGATGTACCAAGGTGGTGAAGCTGGTGGTCCAGCTGCTGCAGGAGGAATGGACGAGGATGTTCCACCTTCTGCTGGAGGTGCAGGTCCCAAAATCGAGGAAGTCGACTAAGCTTTCTCTTTCTCTCTTGCGCTCAAGTCTTGTGTGTTTGTATTTCCAACATTTATCCTCTATTTGTCCCCTCTTTTTATTTTGTGTTAGCTATAGTTTGGAGATTTACTATATGAACATGGGTACGTAGCCGTATTTTCGATTGTTTTGGTTAGCTGCCTTCTCTCATTGTTTTTGTTTTTTGCAAGTCTAAAACAGATCATGTTTTACTTAATGCCTCTCCCTCCTTTTCAACGGAATCTGTATCTCAATACTCGTAGAAAGTTCTAGATCTCCCATTGAAAGTAAAACTCGAACTTTATTAGTTGCTAGGAAACAACGCGACGGCAAAACAGATCAAATTCAGAACTTTGAAATGTTCTTAAGCTTTAGAAATTTAAAAAGGAAAAAAAGAATCTTCTGAAAATAAAAAAACAAGTGATTGTGTTAGCAATGATTGTGTTAGACGCAAATCCTCATTTGGAACCGGTTGGGAAGCTCAGTTGCGGTTATGGGAATAAGTTTGACGGGAAGATATGGGATTACCCATGAACAGAATGGATAGAAAGTATAGTTTTAGAGGTATGTCTTGTTCCAAAGTGTATGGAAGCTTTGGATTCAGATCACGAGTTATTCTTTTGTCTCTATAAGACATCCTTCGTTTAATTAAGCAACAGTGATATGAAGTTTAGCTGAATTTTCGGGTGCGTAGGTTGTATAATAATAGGAATAGTTATAAGAGATTGCCAGACAATGCATGGTAGTAAGTATTTAGATATTATATTTGTTTATTGATTTGAGATGGAATTAGTAAAGTACTTGACACAATTCAAAATCCATTACACTACAACCAAGTTTCATTCGTTTTCTTCCTCATGAAGAGGCACATATACATACTCTTGTCGATCTTGATCTTGTTATATAGATTGTTTAGCTTGGTATTGGCAAAGTCGGGAAACACATTTGATGTTGTCTGATCATCGTGGAAACTCAGTTGGGCTTTGTCGATATTCACCTATTCCCAGAAGATCCTGCGGCGGAAAGAAAGAGCTTCTTAGAGCGTTAGGAATAACATAACATAATGAAAAACGAAACTAAAACCATACCAATATAAGTTTTCAGAACTTTAAGCTCCTTAGTACACGTTTCTTGATGTGCTTTTATTCCTAGTCTATTTTCTTCTTTTTTTCTGGACGAAGAATATTCAGTACTAGAATCAAACATTATGCAGCACCCATTAGTAATGAGCATACCATTTTATGGTAAAGTGCAAGATATTAGTGTGTTGTTTTGTCTCAACAATTCCTTTCATATATCCAGGACCCTAAGGCTTAAACCTCTACATCTCAAGGTACTTAACTCTCTAAGCTTCTCTGTTACCCTGACTTGATGCAGATGTTTCAAATTCAACAAGTATAGTATGTGGCAAACTGACTTCAATTTGTTCAGTAACGGGAGCATTAGAAGAAGAATTTTACCTGGCAAGCCCTGTTTTTGGCTCTGGTCTCTGCGGTGCTGGGGATATCGTGATTTGGTTTGAGAAATTTCTTCTCACGTCGCTCACAGGAGCCCCATCCGTCAGCAAATCTTCCTCCACTGAGAGAGTTCATAAACCAAAAGGTTAAACAGCTATTAATCACTTTTCACACTATCTATCAAATTAAGGTTTATAGAGAAGAAGATTACTGCATGATAGCTCGGACGATGAACTCAGCACGCTGGACATTTCTGTTTTCGTCAAACTCAATAGTCTTGTCTCTTATTTCATAAGACACGTTGAAGTAAAACGATATTTTCCTCCAACCTTAACATTCCATACAATGCAGCACCAAAATCAATATCAAATGTTAAGGTTACAATAAGCAGACAGCATGCATAATCTTCACCTGATTTTTTGATGTATGCTTTCCCTGATATCATCGTGTAATCAGATTTCTCTAGAATCTGAAAAATTGATGAAGCCATGTTGTTACTTCACGGAATCGTAGCATTAGATGTAACTATAACAAATATGATAGTGGTTGTGTAATCCAAAAACGGCAAGCATAAACTCCCTTTCATACACATATAAACACTGGTGATCTAGCTTAAGTTCTTTCATTTTTTTCTTTTGAGCAATAGATATAGGCATACTTTATGAAGAAACGAACTTATGAACAACAAGTCATGATCGAAATAAAATCATGCAAAACACTTCTTGACATTTCATCGAACATCTTTGATGCATCACATTTTTCTCGAAAATCAACATAATCTAGATAAATTTTACGATCCATCATCTAAGAATGCTTGATTGAGAAACCACTGTATCAATTCCATGGAAATAGACAAAATATATAAAGGATAATTTAATGAATAGAGGAAAATCGAAATTACCGCCATGGCTGTATTCTGGAATTCCTTGAACAGAGTAGCCGAAGGAAAGCTCCCAGACAAACTATGCCGCATCTCATTAACCGGATCGTTCTTAACCTCCGAGAAGGGCGTAGAGTGCCTGATCCCAGGCGACAAGTAACTCTCCGGAGAAGAAAACTTCGTCGAATGAATAATCGGAGTCGAATTCCTGTTCGCCGTCGTAACAAGAGCCAAAGGACTCTCACTGTTTACCTCAGACAAGACGGGGGATCTGGCCATCTTGTTCGGGCGCGGTGACTCCTCGTGTGACCGCCGGTTAAAGCTAGATTGATTCGGGATCTGAAGACGCTTCGATTGTGGAGGAGGAAAAGAAACAGGTGTCGCAGGAGAATTGTAGTTTGGAAACTTAACAGCGAGGGGTTTCCCGACGGCGGAGGAGGTAGTAGTCCGGGAAACTGCAGCGGCGGCGGAATCTAAAATCGCCCATAAATCAGCGTCGTCTAGATCTTTATCATCAAAGGTATAGGAAGAAACCAGCGATCGTGACGGTGACGACGCCATGGAAGCATTCAGTGTATCTTCGAACAAGGTGGGAAAGTAGAGAGTATTTCATAGATTCAAATTTATAAAAAAATCCAATTCAGTCAAACTCTCTCCCATTTAAACCGATTCAAACCGGTATACTGGTTTGCCAAACCTGGTTTAAGTTGTTATGAGGTTGTTTTCGATTACTAAATTGTGGGTCCCCGATATGTAATTAACATATTTTTAACAATGTATTTACTGATTGATTTGCTCCTTGTACCTCTTCTTCAATGGCGATTCTCAGGTTTAGCTCTCTGCTTCGATGCAGAAAATGGGCTAAAAGCGATTGGCTTGTCGCTTCCATTGGATGCGTCTTGATCGTATTCTTCCTCTCTTTCTTCTTTGATACCACTTCAGATTCCGTCCCCTCCGTTGACCGATCTCCTCCCGTCGCATCCCCAAACGTTCTGGTCAAACTGAAGCTGTCAAGTAAAGCACAAGAGAGAGGAGCCTGTACTGTTACCAATTGTCTCCTTCTTCAAGTTTTCGTTTTACAGTTTTGAAATTTCTGAGCTTTTTTTGCTGTTTTAATTGAAACTTGTGCTATTTTGCAGTTTGCTTGGATGGAAGCTTGCCTGGGTACCATTTTCATAGGGGTTCGGGATCTGGCTCAAATAGCTGGCTTCTTCACTTGGAGGTATTCTTCTTTTGCTGATTGAATTTGAATTTTACTTGGAAATTTTAGTATATTTGAGTGAAATGTATTATAGGGTGGAGGCTGGTGCAATACAATAGCGTCATGTTCTGCTCGAGCAATGACTAAATTAGGCTCTTCGAAATACTTTGAAGATGAAGTGGCCTTTCAAGGAGTTTTAAGCAGTGACCCATCTCAAAATCCTGGTAGGAGAAGAAATCTATAGTAGCTTCTGTACTGCTTGTGTATATTCAGTTTTGAATCTATAGTCGTCTTTTTTTATTGTTGTTGTAGAATTCTTTAACTGGAACAGAGTTAAGATACGGTACTGTGATGGTGCTTCTTTTGCTGGACACCCTGAAGCTGAATTCAAGGTAATAAGGCTTTGGTAGGCTGAGAATTTTGTGTCAGATTCTATCTAGAGCAAGGAAAGTTCCATAGTTTCATGTCTCTCTCTCTCTCTTCTCAGAACGAGACACGGCTTTTCTTCCGGGGCCAGCTCATTTGGGAGGCAATTATGGATGAACTGTTGTCGATGGGCATGTCAGATGCCAAACAGGTAACATCCTCGTAATCTTACCAAGAAAGTCTGTCCTGCATTTGGTAACTTGCATCCGCTAGAGATTAATATTCCTTCTTCTTATACACATTTGAGAAAATGTAGGCTATACTTACAGGATGTTCTGCTGGTGGCTTGGCAACTCTTATACATTGTGACTACTTTCGAGATCATCTGCCAAAAGATGCAGCTGTCAAATGTGTTTCTGATGGAGGCTTCTTTCTCAACGTGTATGTTTTCGCTCATAAACTGCCTTTTCTCATGAATTTTACAGAGACTCTTTTGTTAAGCTCTTTGGGTCTAAGCCAGTATTACTATTTAGAATTCTTTGCAGACTATACTCTCCACAGAGCTAGGAAGTTTTTTTATTGATGTGAAATTAGCTAACACTGTCTCTCAGTCTCAGTAAATCTATTTTCCTTCTTTACAGGCCTGATGTCCTTGGAAACCCTACAATGAGATCTTTCTATCATGATGTTGTTAACCTGCAGGTTTCCTATTCACTTTCTGTCAATATTAAATCATACTTTAAGGTATTTTTTTCTTAAATTCTTTATCGAAATGAACAAGAACATGTCATGGCTTTTTTTTTTTGCATGGTTTTGGGCTGGTTTGCTGTGGTTGGTTCCAACCAGGGCGTAAATAAGAGCTTGGATCGGAGTTGTGTAGTCAAAACGGAGCCATCCAAGGTAGGTATTATCTCTTACTTTGTTAAAAATCTTTCTTGCCTGATTATGATTGGTATTGAGACCTTTTTCATTTTTTTATAATTTTTTGCAGTGTATGTTTCCGCAAGAATTCCTTAACAACATAAGAACCCCAGTATTTCTTGTCAACGCAGCCTACGATTTTTGGCAGGTTAGAGTTACCAAGCCAAGCAGGAGAACTTTCGACCTGTTTCCGTTTGATTCATGTATGATGTTGTACTTATACATAGCCACATTTCAGATTCAAAATGTCTTGGTACCAGCTTCAGCTGATCCAGATAGAAGTTGGGCAAAGTGCAGACTTAATATTAAGGAATGTGATGCCGCACAGATGAAAGTTCTACATGGTAGGATGAGCACACTGATTATATAACCTGATATATCAAAAATATCCTCTGTTTCGAAGTAGAGTCAGTAGATATGTATATAAATTATTTTGACTTAGATTAAGATATGATTCTGTTTAAATCCCGTGGATCATATTATTACTTTCTAAAATGTTCAGTTGTATAAATCCCTATATGCTCTGTAGGTTTTCGCAGCTCTCTGATGGATGCGATTGGGAAATTTCATCAGAACAAAGTTGGTGGGATGTTCATAGATTCCTGCTTTTCTCATTGCCAGACATTTATGTCAATGACTTGGCATTCCCCAACCTCAACAAGAATCGAAAATAAGGTAAAAGATATTTGACGCAATCTGTTGCTTTCTTTCTCGAGCCTTTCCTACTATTACAAATGAACTGATCCGGTTCGTGTCTGTTCTGTTTTGTTGGTTGGAAAACAGACAATTGCGGAGTCTGTAGGTGACTGGTACTTCAACCGAAAACCAGTGAAGCTAATCGATTGTCCTTACCCGTGCAATCCCTCTTGTTACAACTTGAATTTCACCTGAAGTTTGCCTTCTATCCTCCTCCATCAATTCCACTGCTTCTGGATTTTCTTTTTTTCGGTTCTCCGGAAGCTTCTTCATCCAAGCGAGCAGCCATTTCCTCAAAATTCTCAGTTCGATTGAGTCCTAAAAGGATTTAATGTTCTTGAAGCTGGAGATATCAAAGGGGTATTCACCTGCTATGTATTCTAATGTAGTTGATTGACTATGCACCACGAGAGAATTTGTTACAAAACTAAAGCAACACAATTCACACATTATGCAATGTATATACTGATCGTAATGTATTTGAAACGAGGTCAATTGTTTTTTTAAAAGAATTTCCAGTGTCATGGGAGCTAGCAGATCTTGAGATTTTTTTTGTTGGATAACGCAGGCTAGAATCAAAGAAGCATATTTTCAAAGAAATTATGGGTTTTGTTTAGTAATGTGTTTTCAAAAGCAAACACTAAAAATCTCGATTAGTTTCAAAACTATGAATAATCATGATTTGCATATGCATAATGCGTCCTTGCATCTTACTTTTAGTTTTACCACATGCATGTATATTTGTGTAATTTAGTTAGAAACTTAAAGCTTTCACAATATATAGGAAAAAGTCAGAGATTAAATGTGATTTTAACTGCAAAACTATTTGCTTCCACGTTCTCCATCCCGAAATCGTTGACAAGTTTCTATAAGGATCGACAAAAATGTAATTACGTGCTTAAGCATAATATATATGGTTAAGCTGTTAGATTAATTGACTTATACAATAATTAAGATAAAAAAAAATTCTAACACGCTTTCATGAATTCCTGATCATGGCACTTCATCGAAATATTCCCATCCACTAGTTGCAGTATTATTATCATATTATTGAGGTCTGTGAAAAATTGAAACATGGTATGTTGAAAGTTTCAAAAGATTTTTCTTTTCTTAAATTAAGAAATTTGATTGCAGAGTTCATGCAATGCATATCGCAACGTAAGCAGTCAACTGCTCTTTCAGGAATATCTGGTATCTTTTTTATGATATTAATTTCCAGTCTTTAAAAACAATGATTTTATAATCTGCATTCATACTTACAACTTAGTCATTGCGATAATCACATGACAAAGTAAATGTTTGTTATTTACAACAACCACATATTATAAAACGGAAGTAATATTTACTGTTTCGTTAGAGGAACTGAACCAGAAAACAACCGTTTTGATATTTACTTTCCATACTGTAATTAGTTATGAGACATGTTCCTCTATATACTAAAACTAAAGTGATGAGACAGAAAGTGAACAAAACTCTAACCAATAAAAATATTGTCTCTCATTGTTAATTTTGAATAGCATAATTTGCTAAGTCATCAGCACAACAATTTGCTTTCCCTAGATGGATGCAAAAGCAAGTTTCCTGCAATTAGTATCTTCGTTGTGACTGGTCTAAACCACATTAGTCATGGAATTAAGATCTATGCCATTTGACTTTTTGCATTCCATTAGTTTAATAATTTCATTCTCTTTTCTGTTATTTTTATAAATCAAATCCCCACGTACCCTTCTTTAAAAGTCAACTCCCTCGTACCACAAACGAATTTATGGAAATGAAGTAATGAACAATGAAAATTTCTAACAATAAATTAAAGGTATTGTAAAATACAAAACCAGACTTAGGGTGTATATACTCTATAGTGAAAATGAGTCTCCATCGTCGCAAAATTAAAATCTTATTATTTACAATCTGGTACTGTTGTACATATTAGATTTTCACACCTTCAAATTCGAAAGATCAAATCTTATTTTTTTCTCATGGACAAAAATGTTACTGTTCCGTCTTCCAATAGAATTTGGAATTTCAGGTTTCTTACAATAATATTTTGTTTAAGCGAAATAGCTCTTGTCAAAAGTTTCATTTACAGGTTTTACTAATTCCAATGACAATGAGAATAAACATAATACCAACAGAATAAACCTCTTTAAAAGTCAACTCTTTTCATCCTCTTCACCATTTGGCTATCCACAACATAAATACCCAAAAAAGCTATTCTTTTAATGTCTCCATAAATCTCCTCCAACGGCTCCGTTTCGCCACCGTTCAACCTTCACTAAACGTTGCCGTTTTGGTCGCTGCATAATTTACTAATTACCCTCTTTCTTCTACTAATGGGAAATGGAGTCAGTGGCTTTTGCGCGGGAACCGCCGCCGCCGGAGAAATTTCAAGTCGATGCGATGTCGGAGTCGGAGTGGCTCACGACAACCTCGGCCACTCTTTTTGCTACGTCCGGCCAGTTCTCACCGGTTTAAAATCTTCTTTCCCGCCGGAACCGTCAATCCGGCCCGACCCGATTCCCGGAACCACCACCACTTTCCGTTCAATCTCCGGCGCGTCGGTTAGCGCAAACACTTCAACGGCGCTCTCTGCCTCTCCGTCGACAGACACGTCGGTATTGGCCTCCGGTTTCGAGAGCTCCAATAGATTCGCCTCCCTCCCGCTCCAGCCCGTGCCGCGTGGTCCGACTAAGAAACCGGGTCACGGGTCGGGTTTATTCGAGCGCCGGTTCTTATCGGGTCCGATCGAAAGAGGATTAATTTCAGGTCCGATCGGGAAGAAGAAGAAAAAGGAGAAACCAAAGAAAATCAGTAACAGCAGTGGCAAAAAATCATCTTCAAAACCCAAACCGGATAAGAAATTTCTCACATTCAAAACGATTTTCACCAATTTTAAATCTCGCTCAAAGAAGAGCGTGATCGATCCAATCTACGGTTCCGATTCATTTGAAGGATCATCAGATTCCGATCATGACATACCTGAGATCAACTACTCAAGCACGAGTCCTAGCAGCGAAGTGAATTATAGAGCTGAGGACCAAGAAGAAGAAGAGAAGACAGAGTCTGCTTTGGAGGAGCCAAAGATTCAATGGGCGCAAGGAAAAGCAGGGGAAGACAGAGTACACGTCATCCTCTCTGAGGAAAACGGTTGGCTTTTCGTCGGGATTTACGACGGATTCAGCGGTCCAGATCCGCCGGATTATCTTCTCAACAATCTCTATACCGCAGTTCTCAAAGAGCTCAAAGGGTTGTTTTGGGACGACAAGTTCCAATCCGAATCCGAGAATCTCGAACCATGTAGCGAAAACGACGATTCCCGGATTCAGAAACAGAGTCCACTCGAGCATGACTTCGATTCGGGTCAAGAAAACTGCCCTGTGGCTGCGATGAATGAAAGCGATGTTGCTTGCGGATCAAGAAACGTGTCGAATAATGCAATTAAGTTGCAATGGAGATGTGAGTGGGAGCATAACTCAAGAACAAGCAAGTCTTATAACAACAATACGGATCAGGATAACAAGGAATCCGATTCGGGGATGATTAACCACAGAGACGTTCTAAGAGCTCTTCAGCAAGCGTTGGAGAAAACAGAGGAAGCGTTTGATCTGACGGTGGATGAGAATCCAGAGTTAGCGTTGATGGGATCGTGCCTTCTCGTGACATTGATGAAAGGAGAAGATGTTTACGTGATGAGCGTGGGAGATAGCCGAGCGGTTTTGGCTCGAAGACGACCTGCAGATGTCGGGGGGAAGAAGATGCAAAAGGAGCTAGAGAGAATCAAGGAAGAGAGTCCATTAGAGACCTTGTTGATCACAGAAAGAGGATTAAGTCTTTTGGTTCCTGTTCAGCTCAATATGGAACATTCCACAAGTGTTGAAGAGGTTAATCTTTTTGGGAGTCCTGATTCAAATTGTTTTTATTTAATTGATTTTTTTTTTTAAATTGAGAAACTGATGATATTTTTATTACGTGAATTAAACAGGAAGTGAGAAGAATAAAGAAGGAACATCCTGATGATGCTTTGGCGATAGAGAATGGTAGAGTGAAAGGTTATCTCAAGGTCACTCGTGCATTTGGCGCAGGATTTCTTAAACAGGTATACTATCTAAGTCACAGGATTTCTCAAACTTAGCCTATAACACGTAAATTATAATATGACTTAAAATGTTTTGGAACGTACGTTTTATATATCTAATTTATTACTGTTTGTATGTAATTTATTTTCCTAAGCCGAAATGGAACGAGGCGCTTCTAGAGATGTTCAGGATTAACTACGTAGGAAAGTCGCCGTACATTACGTGTTCTCCATCGCTCCACCACCACAGACTCACATCACGTGACAAATTTCTCATACTCTCTTCCGATGGATTATACGAATACTTCTCCAACGAAGAAGCCATCTTCGAGGTCGACTCATTCATCTCAGCTTTCCCCGAAGGCGATCCTGCTCAGCATCTCATCCAAGAGGTCCTCATTCGAGCTGCCAAGAAATATGGTATACTAAACGCAAACGCTGCTATACGTACTAATGAAAACGCCAAACGCAGTTTTAAGTAAACTTAACTTACAACTCTTTTTTTTGTTTCTTTTAGGTATGGACTTTCATGAATTGCTGGAGATACCGCAAGGAGATCGCCGGAAGTATCACGACGATGTTTCTGTGATTGTGATTTCACTTGAAGGAAGAATTTGGAGATCCTCCATGTGAATATTATTGCTATCTATCTCTTGAAAGGGATTAAAGTAACATAGGTTTTTTTTTTTTTGTTGGTTGGGTTTTAATGAGTTTTTGTTACCTATTTATTTCAGTTACTATGTTGTATTTTTAACCAAATATAGTCTAACCAGATGTAGTTTAGTGAAAATGATATCTGATGCAAGAAGAGAATGTATTTTCTTGCGTTGGTCACACTACCCCATATTGGTAAGCAAATACAACATCTCCGTTTTTTCATGTATGCCATATTTTCGCATACAAATAATCATAATCATCTCGTAATCATAATGTTACTTAACCATATGATAAGTTAATAAAACTGTTTTTGTCGGTGACCATTTTGATCGTACAGGGACCAGTAATAGTAAATCGTAAACTTAGCCTATAATTAAGCTCCGAAAGAGAGAGAGAAATGGAAAGAATAGAAGCTTTTGGTTTGATAATTGATCATTTGGTCGGCTAGGCCCTCACAACACATGAGACTACCAACCAACTCAAAGAGTCAAATAAGTTATACGATATAATTATGCTCTTTCTCTTAATTCTTCTGTAGCTAAGTACTAATCACTAACCATTTTTTTTTGTGTGTCAACTTTCATGCCAAGATAATTATTTGTCAAAAGATTTTTCAATCCGTTCTCTTCTTATTGGGTTTGCAAGCTCTTTATTTTAGTGGCGACAAAAGGAACTCTTTGTTTAGATATTTTCCTTAGTAATATCTTAGATTTACTAATTTAGAAACAAAACCCCAATAATTCGATTATTATAAAACACGAAAAATCAAAGATCTCGAAATATATATTATATAGTTAGTGTCATGCGTGCTTGACTGCTTGTGGATACTGGTGAAAATAAAAATCTAGATCATAACCGTAGATTTAGATCTGCATGTAAGGCGGTGTAAATCTGAACGGTGATAACACTGTGACACACGAAACTGCGGTACGCTCTAGAATATACGAGAACCGACTCACACTCCACAATTATTGAACCGACGATTATTGATTGAACCACGTACGAGAATCAATACGACAAGGGTAAAGACGTAAATACGAATTAGTAGTTCTTTACTGATATTTCGGGGATAAGAGCGGAAATAGATTGCGACACGTGTATGGTCAGTTTTCTCATTTAGCTTATAAATTTGGGAGCTTCATCTTCCTTCAATATCATTCACCCTATCGATCAAATTGGTTAATTATCTTTGAGATTTATTTCGGTCTTTCTTTGAACTTTCTCGAGAAAATGTCTTGCTGCGGAGGAAACTGTGGTTGTGGATCTGCTTGCAAGTGCGGCAACGGATGCGGAGGGTAAGTCTCTAGCCTCTCCTTTAATTTTCGCTTCTTTTTGGATTTTCTCGGGAAAGTAGCTGTATTCTCGGTTGAATCGGTTCCATGCAATGCAAAAACTGTGTTTTGCTGCTGTATTGTTGTTGAAGAATGGTTTATCGGAAAATTTTGTGAAACTTTGAGTGTTATTTGGAAAAACTATTTAGAATTAGATCCCTTTTGATTTTCGCTTCGTTCTAAAATTTATTAGAGAGAAGTATTTCTCTTACGGTTGATTCGGTTTTACTTGATTCTATCTTGATGGCGATTGATACTTTAAAAAATGAGAGATTTTTAGAGAAGAATTTATCGGGAAGGGACGATTTTTAGAAAATAATATTCCGAAATTTCTGGATCATAAGTCATCTCAGTTTTTGAACTATGAAATTTATTGTTTTTTTTTTAATTAATTCACGATCTCTGTTTTCATTGGATCCTAACGGGTATTGTTCGGTTATTGTAGTTGCAAAATGTACCCAGACTTGAGCTTTGCCGGCGAGACGACCACGTCTGAGACCTTGGTCTTCGGCGTTGCACCGGCGATGAAGAACCAGTACGAGGCTTCCGGCGAGAGTAACGCTGAGAACGATGCTTGCAAGTGTGGATCTGACTGCAAGTGTGACCCTTGCACCTGTAAATGAATAAACCCTTATTAAAAGGCAGAGAGTATCGAGTCTTTAATTAAGTAATAATATAACCCTAATGGTGGTTTAGGTTTGGTTTATTGTGTAATAACGGCTGCAGCCCTGTCTTTTGTAGACGATCATGGTTTTCGTCTGTGTTTTGGTCATATTTAGATGTCTCTGCCATATGTGACCATAGTGATGAGTCGGTTTGTAATTTATGGTATGAAGTTTAATGATAAACAAAATCGTTTTATTTAATTCTCTTTGCTCTTTGGCCTCTAATTGTTCACAATCATTCGTTTATTTGCAAAGTAATCCTCTAACTGCTAGAATATACTCAACCGGGTGGCCGATTTCCGGCGCGTAACTTTTTATTTACTAATGGGTAAATTTCCTAATCCGAGTTGTATAATAGTTTATTTCAAGACTCGAATTAAAACTAGACGAGCCACAATTAGGTCAGAGCTCTTGTTAGGGTAGATATCGTTTACTCATCTTCTACCCGTTCGTTCATTGAACAACATCGAGAAAAGCTTTTACACGCGGTGAATATTATTTGTTTATCTCGTTTTCCGTCTCTCCTTTGGGGATTATTTTGGAAAGCTCCTTCTTCTGTTTTGTTGTAGTCTACTTATTGATCATTAGTGTTTATGTGTCCAGGAGAAAAATATGGATTATGTGTTGGTTAACGAGAACCCAATTAATATTATTTACCCGAAGAGAAAACGGCGTGATCGTACTAATGAGAGCAATACCGATGAGTATTCAGTAGAACCAATAGATCAGCTCGAGAGTTTTGATATCCTTTTAGTTTCTTTTTATCTAACTTCTCATATTTATTTAGTATTTTTGGATAATTTTGAGTTCTTTTTTGTTCCTTAACAATCTACAAATCATATAAGAGATATCAAAGATCCAGAGCATACTGAGTCTTCTCTGGAACAGCTCAAAGTGTTAACAGAAGAATCGGTTGAAGTTGATGATGATAAGAATTACGTAAGGTATGAATAAATAAAGATATTGCGTAGAGGGATTATTCTTTACCTCCTTTTCTTTATTAGTCTCCAGTATACTAAATTGTGGTATTTATTTTACAGAATTACATTCACTCCAACTCTTCCACATTGTCATTTGCCAAGCATGATTGGTCTTTCCATCTACGCAAAACTTCTACAAAGCCTTCCCGCTCGATTCAAGGTACCAGGATTTGTTTCTTAAGAGTCCTCAAAACCTCTAGGCTAGTTCGAGTATTTTGATCGCAAAAGTTCGGGTGTAATTACAAAATTTTAGACTCGTTGTTAGCACAGTTTTGGTTGCAGTTGAAAATACAAGTTTCAGTCTGATTCTTGATTTTGTCTTAAAATGTAGTCAATAAACGACTAAGTGATAAAGAGCGTTTGGCAGCAGCACTTGAGAATCCCGACTTCGTGGCTATGTTCAGCTAATGCTTCCAGATATGTGGTTTTGGGTCCATCTAGTTTCGACACATCGGTTTAGGATCATTCACCTTTTGTCTTTGGTTTCTTGTTTCAGTCTCTTACTCTCTTGTATGATATTATATTTTAGAACAGGAGCCTTGTAATTGTTTTCAACTTCACTAGAATATTTAATGATTAGTATGGTATGAAAAAGTTGAATGATGATGTTGATACCAAGGGTCAGATTCAAGACATTAAGTTTGGATGATTTATCAATCTCTCTCTAAAGAGTTTCTTGCCAGAATCCGGAACTTGGTAATTAAATTTAACCTCTATCTGTCTTCTATTAAAATTATTTCTTACTTGCTGCTGGCCAAATAAGCTGGCAAGTTTAAGTAGATACAAACTAGATTATTTGACCAAAAAAAGAAAAGAAATAGGATCACTATTCACATTAGCGGAACTAAAAAAACTTATGTATGTATGCAAAAGGAAGGCATAGAAAAATGGCGAGAACCTGCCTAATCAACCTCTTCTTCTTCGTTTATGCTTCCTCTCCGTCTCATCTATAACTTCCGCATTCTGGAGCTTGGCGAGGACCTGCCTGGGTTTCTGAGTGATGCCCCCGAGACCAACGGAGGTGAAGAAGTTGATAGAGAACCTTGTGTTCTTTGGATGGTCCTTTGGGAAGATGGAGTCGAAGATCTCCTCCATGCTTGGATCCTGAAGCTTTTCATTCAAAGCCTTTAATCCTAACTGCTCAGAGAGTTCTTGAAACAGAATCTTGACAAAGATACGAGAGGAAGAAGTTGTGTCTTCCTCTGTTAACCGAACATAAGCAAAGACATGCCAAGGTAGAGAATCTGCGGCCAGTAGATGGGCAAAGAACATGGCCATACTCCTCAGTCTGTTGGTTTCGAGACGGTGAACTGTTGAGTATTGCTGCACAAACAGATTCTCGAAACATTCTCTGTAAGTTTTGCTTCTGAGGCAGAATCTATGTCCTAAGTGACCGTAGAAGGAGTGAAAAACTCTCTCGTCAGTGCAACATCCGAGGATCATAACGCATAGCTCCATCTCCTGACCTGGTTCTAATCTAATCTGGAGCAGTTTATGCCCAGCTTCCTCGAAGTTGAGACTTGACATTATTGTTAGATAGATTGTCCTCCTCAGATTGACAAGATTAGTTTCTGTATGATCCTGTGTTACTGACCCTGCTGCTTCATCTTCATCTTCATCTTCATCATCACCATCTTCTTCTTCCTCCCCAAGTATCTCCCTTTTCAGCTGCTCGTATTTCCTCTCGTTCTGGAGGAACTCAGGGTCAGGTTTGAAGACATCGAGGGAAGTTTCTGGATCGATCTCGTCGAAGAAAGAGATCTCATGTGTCACTTGCTCGTCTGGATCCACAAGGACATCTAATTGAGGACGAATCGACTTAAAACTGGATCTCCTAAGAGTGAGCAAAGACTCAAGCAAACACTGAGACCTGTAATCCAAATCCCCTTGGTGAAGAATCCCGCGAAAGATGTCGAAGAATACGTTAAAGGCTCTCGGAGAAAGCTCCTGAAGCGTGGCTCCACACTCTGCAACAAAGGCAGCACCGACCTCGACGGTGTCTGCGTTGGGCTCACCAAGAAGCATCTGGAGAAGCTCGAATGCAACAGTCTCGCCAGCGACTCGCAGGTTCACGAGATGAGCGAGGAATCTGACGACGGCTAACAAAAGAGGCTTGTCGTTGCGATCGTAAGCTCTTCCGATCTGCAAAACCAGTCGTCTCAGCAAGAGATGGCCGATCGAAGGGAATCTGGAGTTTACGACGGCGATTAAAGCGGCGATCACATCGGATAAACGATCAGGAGAAGCGATCTGGGATTTCAAACAACATCTGCACAAAAGACCTCTTCCTCTAATGAGATTCTCTTCCAACAATTCCAAGACTACGTGATTCAGGTTATTGGCGTTTACCTTATTCACCAATCCGGTAATTCTTCTCCGGAGCTCGTCCCACGATTCACGCTCCAAATCGCTCTTCTTCTGCTTCTCCTTCTTCTTCATGAAAGCAGGAACATACAGTCCTTCCATCTCTCTGTCTTTGAAATCGAATGAGAGAGAGAGAGTTTTGGCAGGAAAACTCTTTAGATATTTGTGATATATATACACATCCGCTCCTCAATTTTCCTTTTTTTAATTTTTGTTTTTTTATTGTTTTCGTATTTATCCCTTTTCCTTTTTGAGTGATTGAGTTTTCGATAGTATTACTATTATGTCAAAATTGCGAGTTAACATAAAATTTGACCCCCCAAAATTAAATCTTTTTAACAAATTTTTTTCTAGTTCCTTTTTTGTTTGGGTCAGAAAAATCTCTTGTAGTTTAAACATTGAAGTTTTAGTACTCAAGAATTAGAAAATTATAGATTTTCACACCAACATTTCAATGGACGAATTTAATATTGGAATTGATGAAATTGAGTAGTCAATTGCTCAATCAAAATATATGTACCAAATAAATAAACATTGGAGTTTTTTATACTTTTTTTATAAAAAAAAATTCTAATTCACAAGAGGCATACTTCTTCTCCTCAGGCTGCTCCATGTCTCCAGTGAATAAGATAAGATTTTATTTGATGCTGTTTAGACTCTTAAAATATTCTGTTTTTGTTTGATGCTGTGAGCAAACAACATATTTTTCTCACCTGCAGCAAACTGAGGAAAATTTGGAGTCTCGTAGTTGCAATAATGCTGTAACCAATCTCAATCTCCGTTGAACAATTTTGACATTTTATTTTGTAAGGTGTAAAGATTATTCTTTGGGTTAATACAGCATTAACATTAACCCAAAATAAAGTAAAATATTTTTTTAAAAAGTAAAAAACCAATAAAAAATTAGCGTGTGACGTAAAAAAATATTTTTTTTTTAGCTCGGGAGTTGAGAATCTCCATCAAGCAACTTGTCTTTCTCAGATGATTTGGTTTCATCATCAGCCTTCTCAAACTCTAGCTGTCTCGACGTATAAACAGCTGTTCTTTTGGATCTTATCCGGTACGGAGGAGATACATTGAAAGCAATTGATCCATTACTTTGCGTCTCTTCACAATCAGGGCGCTCTGAACTATCATTCACCTTCTGATCAACCTCTTTAGATTCGTCTGTTTCGACGGCCTTGTTGCTATCCGAAACAAAAACCTTGCGTCGTCTTTTCCTGAAAATAGAAGGTGTGTTTGGGAAAGTTTTAGCAGCTTCTCTCAGGAAAGATTCAGGACTTCTTGGAGCTAAACCGTTACTGGACTCTTTTCTACAAGGTGGAGTGAAGAAGCTGACAGGTGATGCGCTTGGACTGCAACCACATTCGAATCCATACATACGCTGCTTGTCCACTTCTGGCGCCATGTAATACTCTATCTGAGGCCTGTAGTAAAGATGATAACCATTGTTTGTAACTCCACCATTCTCTGGAAATGGCTTTGGGTTAGGCAACTGAGGAGAACGAGCGTATTCACTAACACCGGTCATTCCTGAAGCAGCTACTACTTCTTCGTGCGGAACAGAAGAGTTTAATTGGCCTTTTCCGTCTTCTTCATCGAATTTGTTTATCTGTGTAGTTCCTGAAGAGGTTTGAGGAACTGTATCAGAAACCCTTTTCTGACAAGACGGTGAACGTCTAGTTGCACTATCAGGAACACCGTTCCTTGCTGCTGCGGGTGGTAAGCCACCAGTAGCTAAGTAGAATTCTGACTTCCTCTTCAATGAACTATTCCAGTGGTTTTTTATTGAATTGTCGGTTCTGCATCAAGGAAACGTTTTTCCATTAAACCCTCAAAGCTAAGCCTTTCTATAGAGTCCTAACTCCACTGAAGCATGGCCAAGAAAAGTATATACCTGCCGGGTAAGACCTTAGCAATTTCAGCCCATTTGTTTCCGTGGATTAGATGAGCGTTCATCAGAGCTAATTCTTCCTCTGAGGTCCAAGCATCCTTGTTGATACCAGGATTCAAATGGTTGTGCCACCTGCATACGTAACAAAACCACATTGAAGCTTCCAAAATAACTAACTTTTAAGAAAAATGAAAATCCTCAGATGAATCAATTTACCTTTCTCGACATTGTTTCCCAATTCGACCTGGTAAAGACTTTGCGATGACAGACCATTTTGCAGGCCCATATTTTTCAACAAGTTCAGCGATTGTCTCATCCTCCTGCAAAAACATGAGTTTTTTTTTTTAACTCTCATATTAAAATGAAAGCCAAAAAAGTTTAAATAATAATCAGAAACAGGATTGAACCTCTTGAGTCCAAGGTCCCTTAATAAGGTCCGGATTTAAAACTTTCTGCCACCGGTGCAGGCATTGAACTTCGGTTCTATCAGGGAAAAATTCCGCTGCAAAAAGAAAATACACCAATTCAAACAACAAGAACAATTAATATAGCTACATAGACAAGAGTATGGAACTAGTAGGCAAGTAGGCATTTTAGAAACATTGCTAGGGGGAACTAGAAGTAAGAAAAGAAAAAGAAAAGAAGAGATTCATTTTACCTATTTTCTTCCAGCTCTTGCCTTTAAACTTACCAACTGCTTGTCTCAATGTCTCATCCTAAAATAAGTAAGACAAGTCTCATCTCAATTTTTTCGAAATTCTGATCAACCACAAGTTTTACTTAGTCAAAGCAATCACTACTACTAACCTCTTCCGGAGTCCACCCTCCTTTCGCTCGCCTTATAGGGCCACTCGTCCTCCTGCCATAACAGAAATTATCAACACCAATCTCGTATAGAAACTAAGACCTTACAAAAAAAACTCAGCTTGAAAAAAAACGAGTTCATGTGAAGCGAAATTGTAAACGAGTGCTACAGAGGAGGTATACTTGAAGTATGATGTTAAAAATATTTGGCAAAGTGAAAATACAGAGACAAAGAAGAGGAACTAAACCCAAGTACCTATTAGTTGGTGATGCTGCAACGGGGCTTGCAACAGCAGGTGACTTGAGGAAACTACTGGCACTGCCTTCAGACACAGAAGAGCAAGAAGCAGCTGTTGATTGCTTATTCTCTATACACTCATCCTCCATTTTCACTTCACCTTTTTCTTCCTGAGGAACCCATCTCAATTCGATAAGAAACAGATAAACCCACCACCATCGTAAAACGCCTAGTAGACTTCCCAGATCTCACAAAATCGGGAATTCAGTTGAAAAAAAATCTAGGGTTTATAACAAATTGTAATCACGGGAATTATAATTAGGAAGCCCTATTTCGAGACGGTGGAATTTGTATCGATTCAGACCTAAAACAACAGTGAACTCAGTTTTCACTACAAGAAAACTATATAATCTGATCACAGGAACAAAACCCTTAATCAGATTCGGAAAAATCTAACCTCGTCTGGAGAAGAAGCCGGTGGATTCAAATTGCAGCTCATCGAGATAGATAGATGCACGAATTCGCCAGCAGAAGAACAAAGAAGACGAAGGGAACGTTAAATAGAAAAAACCAAAACTTTATTCGAAAAATACTTTGCCCGTTGAACCAGAGAGATAGAGAGAGAAAGAGGAGACTTGGATCGAAACAAAGAAATAATAAACATTAAAAAAACGGATGGGTTATAACGAATACTTCTTCTGCTGACGTCACCGTTACTTGCCGTTTAATCTTTTTACCATAACTAGTAGTAACCTATTCTATGTTCTTCTCAAATTGATTTACCTACCGATTTGGTTGACAACTAACACAACTTAATAAATATTCTCTTGCCCAAAAACATACTATGAACCGGTCGGTTCAATCAATTAATTATTATCGTCATCACATACTGAAGAACAAGTCAACCAAACCGAATCGATATTTCATCATCAAGTCAGAATAAGTTGAACCGGAGAATGTTTTCGCTGCTTAATTGCTAGAAGATGTGGTGTTTTTTTTCCTGGTTTAATGTAATTTGATTTGATGAAACTGAAAGGAGTATAGCTAATTCTGGTTAAGTTGGTTCAGTAAAGAGACCAATTGTCTAAACCCAACTAACGCCGTCAACAGTTTTATTATTGAAATCAGAAAGTCGGAAGGTAAAAAGATAATAACGGACGTTAACGGCGGAGAGTTAACCTCAGGAACAGACGTTTGAACCTCAAACGGCACACTTGCGATGCCAAGGTTTGTAGGTGAATCTGGACCGTCGTATTCGGTGTGTGATGAGCACTTATCTATAGGCCTGAAGAAAACCATAAGGCCCAAAACAAGGAAGCAAACCTTTTGCTTATCAAATACAAACCTGTGAAACTGAGATCATGATTTTAATTTTGTTTTGTTTTAGTTATTTGGTATTGATTTTTTTTTGGGAAAAAAGTTTAAAAAACCCTCAATTTTTTAATATTTGTCAGTTTCCTACCTGAACTTTTTGCGTTGCCAGAAACTTACATGAACTAATTTTTTGGATCAAAAAACTACCTAAAATCTTTTATAGTTCTAGTTTTCACCCCACGATTTCACGGCCGTTAACGGTCAAACAGAATTAGTAAACTCCGTTATTTTCTAAAACAAAAAAAAGCTGAAAAATCCCTCAACTATTTAATCTTTGCCAAAAAAATACCTGAACTTTTATTGTTGCCAAAAACCCACATTAGCTAATTTTTGTTTTTGTTTTTTGAGTTAAATGACACTAAAAAACCAAAATATCAAAGAGTTTACAACAACTAAAAACAAAGTTATCACCAATAGAATTTGAAATAAATTACGATATATTTTTTTGAAATTAGGATATATTTATGACTAAAGATTCTGTAGATGAGTGCTTCATTTTATTTTTGGGCTGATTTAATCTCCACTAAGATGATCTTCGTAGATGATTAAAAATATCTATCACACTTTATCTCCGTTGATTACCTATTAATTTATATTTATTAATCTATTATGAGCCACTGAAATCATTCTTCGAAAGAGTCGATTAGTTAGGAACTTATATTCAAATCGCCTTTCGAAATAAATGTTGTATACGATGAGAAACAAACCAATATCAAATAAATAACCATCAGCGAATGAATCTGGGGAGAACCATTAATGGATGTGAACTAGTGGGGTAAAAGTTGAAACCGTATAATATTTCAGATTTTTTTGACACTGAAAAATTAACTTATGTGGGTTTTTGGCAACATTAAAAGTTCAGGTATTTTTTTGACAAAGATTAAATAGTTGAAGGGTTTTTTTAATATTTTCTTGTTTTGGAAAATAACGGAGTTTACTACTAATTCCGTTTGACCGTTAACGGCCGTGAAATCATGGGGTGAAAACTGGAACTATAAAATATTTCAGGTAGTTTTTTGATCCAAAAAACTAGTTCATGTAGATTTCTGGCAACGCAAAAAGTTCAGGTAGGAAACTGGCAAATATTAAATAATTGAGGGTTTTTTAAGCTTTTTCCCCATTTTTTTTTGTTCCATAAAATTTTCAAGTATTTACGATTATTGGGATAGATTGTTATCTCATAGACAACATTAGACAATGAGGAGAAGTTTATAATTAAACACATAGATTTCATTAAATAATAAATTAAGTTATGTGTCAGTTGGTGAATTGACAATTTTTTTGTTATTTGACGGCATGAAAAAAAAAAGTTTACTTAGTTCAAAAGACGGAAAATTGGTTGTTGTCAAAAAAAAAAAAAAAAAAAAAGACGGAAAATTGGCTTTTTCAGACCCAGTCTTTCCAAAAATGTAAATCTATACATAAACTTATGTAAAGTGCTATTTCATACCTAATCTATTTAAACATTTGAAATCCAGCCTTAATCTTCTTTTTAGTAGCGTAAACCAATCTCCGTGAGCAACCCGTTAACTCTCCGTCAATTAATGTCTACGTGGACGCCACGTAAGAGACGGAGTCTTATTGAGCATTCGTTGTTTAAAAAAAAAGACCACAACTACGTTGTAGAAATTAGAAATACGACACTATTTTGTAAAGTCATCGTCTTCAACCCCTGGACTGAACTCGCAAATGAATTAGGGATTTGAACATCAGAGAGATAATAGTCATCCAAGTCTTCACCATCTACTACAATGATTTTGTTCTTCGACGTTGAGCAAGTGTAGCTATCTCGTGCAGAGGGTGGTTTCCCAGATGTTGCAGCTCGTTTCCACGCCAAAGACTCTAAACAAAATTCAAACCAGTTCAGCTACATGCGTTTTAGTTCAAACAAAAATGATTACATGCGTCCAAAAAACCAAGAACCAGAATCTTTCTCAGCTTCCATATCAATTAACATAAATGATATGAGAGGATTAACAACGAAACTGAAAGAGCAGCCTGAAGCTATACCTGTGTTAAGTATGTAAAAGTCATTATAGAATACTTCATCATCTGAACCAGAAGATTTCCCACAGCCGCCAAATATAAAAATGCGTTTGTCAACAAGTGTTGCACTTATGAGCCTCTCTTGCCTCAGGTCCTTCGCCTCTAACATCCTGACTTATCCAAGTATGTGAAGCTATCACACAAAAAATAAGAAACACACCGAATAAAGAACTGAATTCAAACTCAAAAACCTCACACTAGAAGCATTTAACACAAGCATTTTCTTGATCTAACCAGACAACAAAAGAAGAGATGGAAGAGCTTACAAGTATCTAGAATGTGCAGATCGTTAAGATGCTTGGTCCCATCAGTACCACCAAACACAAAAAGGTTATCCCCGACTGTTGTACAGCTGTGACTGTCTTTCGGAGAGGGTGGTACGCCTTTGATTACCGGCAGAGTCCATATCTGCGTTTCTGCAACCAAATTACCACAAATGAGACTGTAACAACAGTAAAAATTTTGAAAACAGGACTTAGCAAGTAACCACAAAACATCAACACAACAACACCCCAACGATTAAAAAAGCTAATCTTCAATCATTCAAGTATGGTACAACAAGAAAAGAAACAGTAAATATGTACTCCAAAAAAGGACAAAGATCAAGATTGGCAACAAAAATAGATAAGTTTTTGAGAATGGAGCCTAGTAAATGGGTTGGGGAATGGGATCTACCACATGAACGAACAAAAAGAAAAGAAAAAAGACCTAATCGCAAGTCGCAACACAGATCCAACAAAGATTGAGACATTTGCAAAACCCACTACGAGAATCGACGCAGATGAACAACCCTTAGAAAAAGAAAAAGGTGACATTTTCCACCAAGATGATGTAATCTGAAGAACTCACCAGCGTCGAAGACATGAACTTGATTGGTTAAACCTGTGTGAACATTTTCCACCAAGATGATGTAATCCGAAGAACTCACCAGCGTCGAAGACATGAACTCACCAGCGTACTCACTAACGATGTCGTTTTCTCCTCTTTTTTTACGAAACTAAAGCATCTTAAAACAACGACACCTCCTACGTGGACGACATGTATCCAACACTTGACAGAGTTTTTAACAGCGGTTTGCTTAAAATTGGTTTTCGCACACCACACAAAGTTGAGGGATGCAATTCAAATTAAAAAGAAGATTAAGGCTGGATTTCAAATGTTTAAATAGATTAAATATGAAATAGCACTGTACATAAGTTTATGTATAGATTTAACATTTTTACAAAGATTGGGTCTAAAAAAGCCTTTGTTTCCTTCAAAAGACTGACGCATAATTTTAGATATAAAACTTTATGTAAACCTTCATTAGTTAGTTTGTATATACATATTTTATGTAGAATTTATATCAATACAATCCAAAATCATAACCATCCTCTTCTTGCTCTTCCTCTTCCTCTTCCTCTTCATACAATTTCTCGCCGTCTTGAAAATCTGTTTTCATGTCGTATAATTCTACATAGCCTTCTTCAGCCTCTTCAGCTCCAGCTTCATCTTCGTCTTCATTTTCACCATTCTCATTTTCATTGCTCCTCAGTTCCTCCTTCTCTTCCTTCTTCTGTTTCTCCTTGCCCGTCTCGGTTTTCGATCTCTTGGGTGATTTTTCAGCTGGCTGAAAGAAGAAATGAGAAGAAAATTGTATAAAGCAGTCACAGACCCTAAAACGATAACAACTAAGGAAACAAGAAGAGATAATAATAAAAGAATACTTACGGATGTATCAAAGAGCTCCTCCAAAACTTCGAAATTTATTAGCCCACTAAGTCTCTGTACAAGACAAATCAGGAAAGAGGAAGAAACAAAAACTCCCAAAGTAGTGAACTTTGAGAAGAGCGATGTTTTATTGCCATGTTTTTGACTATGTATTTTCAGGTTGGGGTCTTAACAGATTATAATTGCTCAATAAATTTTGATTCATTGCAATCTTGAACGCTTAATATCACGGCATCAAAAACAGAGACAATTTAACCTTTTTATCAAGAGTTCTCCGAACAGCTTCCATGGCTGTGGCTGGGGGAGGCGCGTTCTTTGCTTCCTCAGCTCGTTTTTGTTGCTTTTCCTATACGTAAACAGAAAAAGAGAACCCGAATTTGATTATTAGTCGACACAATATTATTCTCCATAAGTCAGATTCTTGATATGGGTCAGGAACATATTTGTAAAAGTTGAAATTGAGTTACCTTTCTAGATTTTGTCACAGCAGCTTTAGAAGCTTCAACAAGCTTTCTTGCATGTTCTGGGCAATTAGAGTTGCTGGCGTTTAAAGCTTCACTAGCCGCCTTCAAAGCTGCTTCCTTAGCTGCTTGCTCCTACAAAACAATATAATTTTGTAAGATTCTCATGTAACAATTCAGAAGGAATCCACGAAAAGATAAATGATATAGCCTCAAAAATCACCTCAAGATATTCTTTGTTCATTTCTTCCCATAAGATCTTCTTATAACGCTTTTCCTCCTCGTTGTGAATATAGCCATCCACCTGGTTAACAGTGAATATTACGACTCAGATCAATCTAACAAGCAAAACTGTAGTAAGAAAAAGAGACTGAGACAGAGTGTTGAGATCTTTTTTTCATTTCATCTTCTATATTCAAGTTGAACAGTCCATCCATGACTTAGCATGTAATATTAATAACATAAGAAAGCAAAACAATTGCGAACCTCATCATCGTTGACATCAGAAAAGTTGTCTGATTCGTCCGAATCTTCAAGATGTCCATAATCCCCATCCTTTTTTCCTTCACCTTTCTCTGGGACACGGCAAAAAACGATTCTCGAGTGCTCATTGCTCAAACGATAGCAAAAAAAAACACTTTAATCTGATTAGAAAGCAATTGCACTCACCCGAACATCGTTTCTCACTTTTGTTCACACCGCAATAGTCAGCTTCTCTCTCGGACTACCATAAGTTTGAGAGGATGAACATTTGAAGCATAAGATTCCAAAGCAAAATTGAACAAGCTTCTTACATAGGTGGTTTGAGTACAAAGAACAAACTAAACTGCAATCCTCGAATAAAAGAACACCTAAACTTACATTTAGTCGTTCATCATGGTTTAGACTACCACCTCTTTCCTCGTTTTCTTCTCTAGCTGCTTTTTCCATTCTCTCTATTTCTGCTCGCTGGAAAGCAGGAGGATCCGACCCACCAACAAGTCCTCCAGAAACAGTAATGAACTACAAAAGCATCTGATTGTTAACTCTCAGAGCTATTATTTAACAGTTTCACAATTGCGTAAACTGAAAACATGAAAAGAGGCAAATCAGGCATAAAACAGGAGACATACATCCTTGTAACAGCTCTCACAGAGTCCATAACCAAAAGGTTTACAATCCTGATGCATACAGAGCACCCTCTCTTTGTTTGACTTTGGTTTCGTGGAAACAGGTTCTTTATGCATTTCCCTTTCTCTTTCTCTTTCTTTTTCTGTGAGCTCATCAACCTAGCCACACATGGAGATGCGTTGAAAAAATGCTGAACATATTCTTCAAGTGATATGAGGCAAAAAAGCAAAAAGAAAAAAAGAAAAAAAAAACTGAGCCCCATATTTCATTATCGCATATGACAACAACCAATAGCAGAGGAGTATGCATTAGGATACTCACACTTGACCCAGCATCAATCATATGTGATGATATGAACAGTTAGCAAATAATCCTACAACTAGGAAACTCTTAACCGAACTCACATTTAAACTTCCGGACTCGGTATTTCCAAACTCAATCAATCGTTTGGTTAGAGTTGCTTCACATATATGCACAACTTTCACCTGAAATATTTAGAAAACACACCAAATCAGGATCAGGAATAAATTAGGGAAATAAAAGGCTAAAACATTGTTTTCATAAGCTAATCATATCTTCTTACAATATCTGTCTTAGAGCACTTGATACCATGCGAAAGCGCAGCTGTGTAAAGTGCTGCTCCACATATTCCACTAGGTTTCCGGCCGGTCTGCATGCCAATACATGGCCAATATTAACACAAGGCATAATAAATAACTAAACAAAGGGTACATAGGAAACGATCGACTAAAAAAGAGTCAAACCTGTATCCAATCTCTCTTCATACTAGCTATAATGTCTCTAGCTGTATGCCAAACATCTTTACGAAGTTTTCCTTTCAATAAGCCTGCAAGTGTATGATGAAGGGAGTAGCTAGGTTAAGCAATATACAGAAATGTTTGTTTCATGGCTAATGTTTAAAGCAACTAAAGAAAATTAAATAGAAGTAAGTTTCAACATCAACCAGATACAGAAAAGAATAGGAGCAAAAGAAGACATACTTACTGTTTGAGAATCGAGGAATGAATATTGAAGGATCAACAAGCTTTTCATAATTCCGGTTTTCAGCAATGTACAGCATTTCACAGAGTTGCAAGTACACAGAACCTAACTCATAACTGCACAAGATTTTAAAGAAACAAAGACAGCAAAACCGGCATTACATTGCTTGGACAAGAGGAGTCGCCGCAGTAGACTTCACAGGTAATTAGGCTACAAAAGAAAGGAAGAGAACAGTATGGTAATGAAAAAATAAAAGTAATTATCTTACACGCTAACTCGAAGGTAGCTTGAAAAATCAATAAGAAGATACGGAAGGTTCTTTTCCCTACAGATCAAGAAAGTTTTTGGTCAACATAAAGTCACCATGAAATTTTCAAGAGGAAACAAAATTAGGAGAGCAACAAGACAGTTACGAAGAATCTAACCTGCAAGTCAAGTAGAGACAGGAAGCCTGTACTAGTTCAGTTCTGCGGCCTTTAGTGAAATTTTGTTCGACTGCCATCTTCAAAAGATAAATTGAGTTAAGAAAAAGGGTAAGAGTCCTAAATTAATATTCAGAAAATATGTAAACCAAAACATACTGTAAAGAATCGAACAGCCATGTCAGTCACATCTTCTCTTTCATCACCAATTCCCAAGGCATCTCTCAAATTCATAAACTCATCTCTAGCTGCAAAAAAATAAAAGTTCTGTCAGAGAGCAAGCTATCAGGATCAATATTGTATTAACGTAAAGAGTCTAACAGTGCGATGGTTTTCCAAACGGTCACTTGATCAAAAGGATGGGAACTACAGAATAACGAGTACACCAGCTAAGCAATTATTGAACTGAGAAGTTCGAAATGCAATAAAAAAAAAGGGAACTGCATCATCAAGCTGCATCTAATTAAGCAGTTATAATTCAAACATAAGCGAAAGCTGTAGACTTAGATGTATAAGTTGCACTAGTTAGGCCAGCAGAGAGTGAACAGAAATTCATACACAAAGGGAAAAAAGGCATACCAATTCTAATTCTCCTTTCACGTGAGCTTGAGATCCCACTCTGAACACTCCTCACTATGTTACCTGACGCTTGGCTCTGCAGGTACATAAATAATGTGTAATGTTTGAGCAAAGAGAAACCAGTCTTGAAAATAAAATCAAAATCCGGTCTTTTATATCCAAGATAATTCTACGGACTACTTAACCCAAAATTGGAGCTGTGTATACCTGTCCAGCCGCGTTCTTAACGAATGTAACTTCAGTAGAAAAATTGAAATTTTCCAATATCCTCCCACATAAATTGCATGCCCTGCAGAGAAGCACAGATACGAAACTCATGACTCGGAGCTAGAAATCACAAATCTAAATTCAAAACACTTACAATGCACCATCGTAGGGGCGTATTCCGGGAACATTCTTTCCACAATGTTTACACCACACCATGGCTCCCCAACTCAGAAATTTCCCACCTTAGCTAATACCACGGATCCAAAACTCGGAGACAGAGCTTCAATTGATTCAAAACAACAGCTTCCACTGTTACTTGTTCAATAAAGAGGAGATCAGATTATTTCTGGGGAAAGAAGCTCCTTCTAGGCAATCGTGCGAGGAGGTGGAGATGGATTAGGATTTAATGGTATATTGGTTTATTATAAGATAAACTCACTGACTATATAATACCGGTTCTAGCTGTAACGGCGACGGTGGCGGAAGAAGGCGAAGCTGATAAATTTTCTCCGATTTGCGACTGCTTACGATCGAACTCGGGTCCTGTAACGCAAAAGTTCGTGGGCTCTTTATCTTACTTAAGATAACTGCAAAATAAATTAAATTCCTAAAACTTCGTTCTTCGGTTTAGTTCGATTTCATAACTTAAACCGATAAATTAGATCTGGTCCATGTTGGCTATTTTGCTAAACCGAAAACGGAAAGAAACCTCAAGTTCGTCAACTTTCTGCTTGGCTTTTTGGGAAGAAACAGAGACAGCATAAGACAAGAAAAGAAATGAGTGTAATCGTTCTCGGAGTTATTCTTTCTTGTGACATCTTTTGAATCCGAAGAAGAATTGAACAAACAATAATAATTAAAGATAGAATCATAGAAGTTGAACAAACAGTAGATTCTTGACATTGAAATCTATGAAATTTTTCTGAATTCTTGAGAAGTTACAAGAAAAACAAGAAGATAAAATTTAGCTTCTAAGTTCTCGCCTATGGTGCGGGTCCAAGTAGCTTCAGAGGTTCCTCTTTCTTCTCAGTGGCATTACGGTTTGCTGCAGAAGCTCTGAGAGGAGGCTCAAAGAGCTTGCTTGCGACATCAGGAGGTAACGCATCTTCACCGGGAAGAACAAGAAGCCCTTTCTCTCTCAGAGAAGAAGGTTCGTTGTAGCAAATGCCCCACAGTGAATCCACGAGGTGTCTCTCTTCTTTAACCATTCCAAGATCTTCTTGTGACATCAAGCTAATTCCTTTAATCCGTTCTTCCAGAAGCTGCCTCAGCTTCTCATCACCTTTCTCTAGGCTGCTACATCCGCTTCCATCGTTTCTGTCTCTTGCAAGCTCAAGCAATCCGCGAAGAGCGGCTTCTCTAGTCTCAGAGTCGTCACTAGACGCGAGATGCATCATAACTCGAGGAAATCCGAGTCCAGTGGCAATACTGCGGTCAGAATCATCATCTTGCAGAAGATATTGCAACAAGTTTAAGGCTTTCCTGGTGAATTTAGAAAGAAAAGAGCAACAATTCAAGAATCTCCCAAGGTTTTGAAATCAACATAGGCCGCAAGAAATAAGAGCATTTGACTGGATTACCTTTGAAATCTCACACTATTAGATGCCAAAGCTTCTCTAAGGCCAGCATAACCATTGGCTAGCTTGAAAGCCGTGACTCCGGGTTTGTTATGGCGAATCAAAGCTACATAACATATACAAAAGGTAGAGTCTTAAGTAGATTATCACAAACCGAATATGACAGAATCACACAAGGTTTTGATCATCTCAATCTTTACAATAAACTAATAGATCAGGCTTACATGATATTGCGCCGAGAGCTTGAGTTCGAGCATGAATATCTGTATCTGAGGTGAAATTTGATAGCAGTGACTCCAAACCATTGGCTTCCATAACTAATTCCTGACTTCGAGGATTGTTCTGAACTATTGTGCTTACGACATCAGCAGCTTTTGCTCGGATATTAGCATGAGAGTTTTTAAGGAATCCGAGAAGAGGAACCAAGCCTCCAATCGAATGAAGATCTACACAACAGTAAGTAACCAATATTCAAATTGAGCTAAAAACAACGGAAAAAAAAAGGAGAGAACCAAGTTCCAAGTAAGAGATGGGTTTACCGTTAGCCATATCGATCGATTCAACGTGCTCCTGCAACTCATCCAGCAAATCTACCATAATATTAAAACAAATTAGTACATCCCCACAAGATTTCACAAGATAAGCCAAGAAGAAACTATACGTTATGGCCAATTAAGCACCTTCGATATCTTCAGGTGTTACTCCATGATCCACCAAAACTTGCTCAGGTGTTTGCATAACTAGTGTTATTTCCTTCATGCGTTTGACTACATCTACAGTCTGCGATTGCATAGCCTCCATAAACCATTTTCTATCCTCCTCACTGTCTCATCAAACAACTCAATCAACAAAACAATCCACTATAAACACGAAGCACAGTATAAGCTATAACCGTTTGACATGATCAACATGGTGGGTTCTCTTAAGCTTATTTCATGGAAAAGTAGTGAACATAAAGAGGCAACCTTTCACCTATATGGCAGAATTCAATAATTGCATCTAATCTAACCGATAAATTGTACGGATATTGAAAAAGGAACCTATTTTACACAAACCCATATTTGAATTCACTCACAAGATTGATCTGCCTCAAGTGAAAGCCAAATCACAGCCATACAATTCTATAACTACCCACCAAGTATCCCAATCCAATCTCGGACAAACGACGAGAGAGAAGCTAAGAAACTAGAAAGTGAAGTCCGTACCTCAACTGGCGAGTTGGTCGAGTACCGTCGGCGTGAGAGAGACTCCATTTAAGCAATCCATCCCAATTGGGTCCGTCTTTTGCCATTGAAGAACGCTTTCACCGAAAAACAACTTGGAACAAAAGAAAGAGAGAGAGAGAGAGAGAGAGAGAGAGAGAGAGAGAGAGAGAGAGAGAGAGAAGATACTAAAATCGAAACCTTTATGCTTGTAATAGCTGGTTGGTTTTATAAAAGAGAAGAGAAAGAATCGGCTAATCGCTGGTTGGTTTTATAAAAGACCAGAGATTATTCGCGAAGCTGCTACAACATTCTAAAAAAATGTTAAACCTCGTCGACCTCTGAAGAGTGAGAAACCGAAAAGGAATGACGATGGCGCGTCTTAAACCTTATTGGACTTTAAGACTTAAGCCCAAATAATCCAGCTCTATTGGGCTTATAGAGGCCCGTAACCTAAAAATATCAGTATGGGATAAAGCTAGCAAAAATCTCTCAATTTAGATCCAGAATCTAAAGCCTGTTCAGAACTTCTTCTATAACTTTGACTTTGAGGCTTTTACATGTGAACGTTACTTCCACTCTAATTCAATCAACTAAAGTACGACTAAATTATATTATACATATATATGAATCATATAAAGTCGACGTGAGGACAAATCAAAATCACAACAGAATCTCGTTCTCTTTCTTCCAGTAATCACCTCGTTCGTATGTTCTCTCTTTCTTCCATTTTCGTATGTTTTGCCCTAAAATCTGTTGCTTGCTCTGTTCTGACTCTGTTCTGAAACAGAGATAAAAACGATGAAGCTTGAAGAGCAAGAAAGTGACATTTTGTTTCCGACAGATGAGGAATGCCAAGTCGATCGCCCCTACGACGATGAAGAAGAAATCTCCACTCCATCTTCTCCATTATCTCGGAACGATTCCGCTCCATGGCCTCGAAGTTATCGGTAAAATCAAATCCACTGTTTCGTTCAAATTTTAGAATCTAAAGATATTTGAAGGGTTTGCAGTAATAAAGATTCTCTCTTTTCATGGGTAATTCAGACAATCTGTGGATATCTTAACCGGAACTACACCTCCGACAATCAGCTTCATTCACCGGAGAAGTTCTCAGACATCATTCACCAGCTCGATCTCTTCCTTGTACAAGAGACGCCAAAACTCTATTCTCAACTCGTTTGCTTCTTCCACAAGCAAACAACCGCTGCTCACCGAGAAAGACGAGGTATCTGTCAAATCATACATTTCATCTCAGCTCAGTTTATCAATCACCGAGCTCGCATTCGAAGAACATAATCTCTGCTCGTTTCCTCAATCCGTTCTCAACGGTAAGACCTAATATGGTAACTTATGTCTCAAAAGTGTTTCTTACATAACTTTAGACTTGGGTCTGAGAATGGCTATGTACAACACTTCAGGGCTTAGGCATCCGGTTCGGTTAAGACGGTTATCAGATTTCACCACCGTTACAAACATGTTTCCATCTTCTGCACACTTCTTGCTGATCTCTCTCTCTCTCTCAATTTAAGTTTGAAGTTATTTTGGTGCAGGAATCAATATCCTATGTGGAGTAGGTCTACTCACAATGCCATACGCAGTGAAAGAAGGAGGATGGCTCGGGCTTTTTATACTCTTCTTCTTCGGTATCATCACTTGCTACACCGGTATTCTCCTCAAGCGATGTCTTGAAAGCTCTCCTAACCTCCATACCTATCCCGATATCGGTCAAGCTGCCTTTGGATTCACTGGCCGCCTCATCATCTCCGTAAGTTATTTGAAAACCATTTACATATATATACTTACAGATTTTCTTCTAACATCTCCAAACTAAAACTTATTTTTCTTTATATCTTGAGAGTTGCAGATACTTCTGTACATGGAATTATACGCATGTTGTGTGGAGTATATAATCATGATGAGTGATAACTTGTCAAGACTCTTCCCCAACATTTTGTTAAACATCGCTGGAGTATCTCTTGATTCTTCACAGATCTTTGCCATAGCAACTACTCTTATTGTTCTTCCTACAGTTTGGCTTAGAGACCTTAGCTTACTCTCCTATCTCTCAGGTTCCATTTCATATATATGGATCATATATCCTTTTATGTAGTTTGAGATTCTATCATTCTCTAACTCATGCATTTTTTTTGTTCCTATAGCCGGAGGAGTTTTCTCTTCCATCTTGCTGGCTCTTTGTCTCTTTTGGGTCGGGTCGGTTGATGGAGTCGGGTTTCACTCAGGTGGACAATCTCTGGATCTCAGTAACTTACCTGTCGCGATTGGGATTTTCGGGTTTGGGTTCAGTGGTCACGCGGTTTTCCCAAACATTTACTCTTCTATGAAAGATCCATCCAAGTTTCCTTTGGTGCTCCTCGCTAGGTAAACCCTCTACTTTAGCTTACTTGAAAAGGAAGTAAATGGTATTAATTAGGTCAGAAGTTTTTAACTTCTCCTTACTTCTTGCAGTTTTGGGTTCTGTGTAATCTTTTACATAGCCGTAGCAATTTGCGGCTACAGTATGTTTGGTGAGGCGATTCAATCGCAATTTACGCTAAACATGCCGCAACAATTCACGTCTTCTAAAATCGCAGTTTGGACTGCGGTGAGATTTATTCGATCAAAACTTGATAAACATAGTTTTCCTCCTTTTACATATATACTAAAATATGATTACTAATATTTCTCCTACTTCAGGTCATTACACCGATGACTAAATACGCCTTATCTCTCACACCAATCGTGCTAAGCTTAGAAGAACTTCTGCCGTCGTCAGAAAAGATGAGATTTTACGGAGTATCAATGTTTCTTAGAACGATCTTAGTTCTCTCTACTTTGGTTGTTGCACTTACGTTCCCATTCTTTGGTAATACTGATCTAGCTTCCTTTGCAAGAAACTACTTTCAAAAACCAATCTTATATCTTCGTTTGCTCTAACAATTTTGTAGCGATCATGGGGGCTTTGATGGGATCTTTCCTCTCAATGCTTGTCGTATGTCTCCATAAACATTTTATCAGAGTTTCAATTATCATAGGCATACCAAACATGTTGTAATGGATTCATTTTTTTTTTTTTGTTACTGTGCAGGCTTTTATATTTCCATGTCTGTGTTATCTCAGTATCTTGAAGGGTAGACTGAGTAAGACGCAGGTAAGGGAGATGTTAATTTGTTCATATTTCATTTATTTGATTTTCTCGTGAATAAATTGTATATTTAATTTTTGGCAGATGGGAATATGCGTTTTCATCATAATCTCCGGCATTGTAAGCGGTTGCTGCGGGACGTACTCCGCAATTGGAAGATTAGTAGGAGAATGGAGTTGATGTGTTACTCTGATGAACAATGCAACAACATAGAATTGTGGAATAGAATCTTTAAAAGTGTGATTTTAATGAGAGTAATAAACTTTTCTGAATGTTATATGACCTATTTAGCAGAGTACTCAAGTTTCATTAAAATGTGAAAGACTGATTTTAATTGAGTAATAACAAAGTTATGTTTTAATTTACTAGGTGAAATATGGTTTAGCTAGGAATTTAGGTAGATAAAAAAATAATGAGAATTTGAAAACATATTCGATCAAAGTCTGTGAATTTTTTTCACGAATACATGATATCTTTCTTGATCATAATTTTTCAAATTGAACTTATTAATTTTATATTCGACACATGACATTGTTTTATTGCCTAAAAATTTTGCATATTTTACCAGTTTCGTTGTAAAGAAACAAAATTATTTAGCAACATGAATCATGTGATTGTATACATTTGCTAAGAGTCTCCTAATAGGTCCTTTAAATGGAGATAATAAACAATAGGGGCAAATACGAAATAATATAAGAACAAAGGAGTCGTGTGGAAAAGCTTTGAGCTCGAGACATTAGAGATCTCCAAAATCGTCGACAACTTCAGACGTACTCCAACAACAACAATCGAGAAACCAAAAGAAAAATAAACGAATTTATATTAAAAAAAATTTCACTCGCCGGAGACGCCGTCGTTTCGACGCCGGTGCTCCGTCTTAACCCTCCAAAGGTTTTCGTCGGAGGTAAAACAAAATGAAACGAAAAGGAGTCGGATTTTCTCTCCCCGTCACGGTGGTGATGCTGGTGATCGGTTTCATCTATTTCTCGACGGTTTTCACTTTCATCGATCGGTGGTTCAGCCTCACTTCCTCTCCCGGAATTGCGAACGCCGCCGTGTTCACCGCCTTGGCTCTGATGTGTATCTACAACTACTCCATCGCGATTTTCAGGGATCCAGGTCGGGTTCCACTCAATTACATGCCAGATGTCGAAGATCCGGAGAGTCCTGTCCACGAGATCAAGCGCAAGGTCACCTCTTTATGCCTCTTTCTGGGTTCTTGAATTCTCGGAGCTAATTTGTCAATTCCAAGATTTCTCACCACTTTTTGTTGTTTTCCCATTACCATTTTGATCAAATGGGCTTTCCAGTTATGGAAAAAATCTAAATTCTCTAGAAAAGTGTTTTTTTTTACCTCTCAGCATTTGAATAGTCATGGTTTGTAGTCATTATCTGTTTATGTCAATTCAGTGTTTCGGCTATATGGATTCACTAGAATGGTGATTCTTGTAGATTTTGAGATATTTTGTTGTCTTGCAAGTGAACTTTTAAGCTGTCAGAAATGTTCCCAACTTCTAAGGACCACAAAGATATTTTGTTGTTTATGAGTATTTTCTTGGCATTCTCTTGCAACTGTGTTCTTAGATCTCTCTGTCGAAGTCCGCTTATGTTTTTTTTGTTTGTTTCAGTACTTACTTTGGTTACGTCTTTTGCAGGGAGGAGATTTGAGGTATTGCCAAAAGTGTTCACATTTCAAACCTCCACGAGCTCACCATTGTCGAGTTTGCAAAAGATGTGTGCTTAGAATGGTATGTTCTACTGAAACACTTATGTTTCATACTAAAATAAATATCAAAAACGCCCAAACCCATGCGATAATATGTTAAATCAGTCGTATTTGTTTTGAAGGACCACCATTGTATTTGGATCAACAACTGCGTAGGACACACTAACTACAAGGTCTTCTTCGTATTCGTTGTCTATGCGGTGACTGCGTGTGTATACTCTCTGGTACATTTTTCCTAACTTGTGTTAGTTTGATGTATCTCTCTCTCTCTCTGTGCCGTGTGCCCCTTAATATATGAGCCTTATACATACATATATATTCTTTGGGTTTTTTTAGGTTTTGCTTGTGGGAAGCCTTACTGTTGAACCTCAAGACGAAGACGAAGAGATGGGAAGCTATCTAAGAACTATATATGTAATGATTTCGATTGATGATTTGTTTTGAAAACTGCAAACCAATATTATTTTCCATTCTAATGTTTATGGTTTTTGTTTTTCTCAGGTAATTTCAGCTTTTGTTCTTATCCCATTGAGCATCGCGTTAGGTGTTCTTCTCGGGTGGCACATTTACCTCATTTTACAAAACAAAACGACCATCGAGGTTGTTCTTTTTCTTTCTCTTATTTTGTTTTTCATTTCTTCGATTGCTAAATTATGGATCTACTTAGCTCTACTTAGTTTTTTCCCATCTGCTAATTAATGTTGTGGAATTTGAGCAGTACCACGAAGGAGTGAGAGCTATGTGGTTAGCAGAGAAAGGTGGGCAAGTCTATAAGCATCCGTATGACATAGGCGCATATGAGAACCTAATCTTGGTAATAATTCTCATCTTCTAGATGGTCAGTATCAGTCAAAGGTTTATCCTCTGTTAAGTTATAACTGTTTTTTTCTACAGATTTTGGGTCCCAACATACTTTCTTGGCTCTGCCCTACATCAAGGCATATAGGTTCTGGTCTGCGTTTTCGTACAGCTTTTGATTCAACCCCTGTTTCATCTGAAACAAAACCTTAGCCCTAGTCCAAATCATATCTTCCCAATTTTTGGTGAGTTCCATAGAAAAGGCAGCAGATTTTCAACTTCACAGCTCTCTGGCTCTGTCCTTATCAGGCGTTTTAGCCGCCTCAGCACAAAACCAAGACTAGCGGGTAATCAGTAGTAGACTCTGCTTGACAAGGTTCTGACTCTCATCATTGTTAACTGGACCAAGAGCATCCGTTTGTGAAAATTATGGCGTCAGTTAGAGCTAGGTAAGTTTTTTTTTTTTTGTATTTCTCCCGTTTTTCTTTGGATTCGTCAAAAAGGAGAAGGAAGTTAGGTTGTGGATACAGAACTCAAAAGTTGATTATGCTTATACATACCACTTAACAAGTGAAAAGACATCTTTGTAAGTTAATTGAAAAGTATCTTAAATTCTTGTCAGAATCAGAAAGTTGTCAGTATGTGTTTGTTATGCATAACTATGTAGCTTGTACGCAAGCTTTCGGAGTCTTGGATTTCATAAGAAATAAGAAAAATGAAGTTCGTAAAAAAAAAAATTGTGACCAGATTGGACAAAGAAGAAGAAGAAGATGAAAATCAGAGAGGTTGATCAAGCCCAAAGACACTTAGAATATGATCTTGTTTATTTAGTCAATAAAGACAATCGTTATGTATTAATATGATATTTATATAGTCTATATAATATAGACTATTTAGTATGTATTAAAAAGGTCTATACACCTAACGACCACGTTGAACCATCAACATCTTGCACTTTTTTATTCATCTCACTACCTCAATAACGTTAGACATAAATGTTATTGGTCTTACCGACGCCAGCTAGTGTTTTGGTTTCATGTTTTCTTTTTATATGTTTCTTAGTCTATCTGCTCAAAGTCCCCCAAACTCACAAAGGCAAAGTCATCTGTCTATTTTTCTCTCTCTTACATTTCTCCCCTAATGGAAGCTTCAAAAAATCTTCAGACACCCTTAAATTTCATGAAGGATGATAATGTGAGCCAGGAATGTAAGAATCTGATCTCTTCTCTACCTTCAGAGAAAGATTTCATGGGAAAAAGCCTCTTCAGTTACCAAGGATCTTGGTACTATCCCAACACAGTCCAAGCAATCCTAAACTTCCAAAAACATTTCCGACCACGAGATACTGATATCATTCTTGCATCTTTCCCCAAATCAGGCACCACCTGGCTCAAAGCTCTCGCATTCGCCGTCGTTCATAGAAACAAGTACGCAGCTTATACTCTTGACTCCCATCCTCTCCTCTCCAACAATCCCCACAACCTTGTTCGGTTTCTTGAGATTGACTTATATGATAAGAATCAACTTCCTGACCTCGAAGAGCTTCCTTTACCTAGGCTCTTTGCAACCCACATGCCGTTTCAAACGCTAAATGAGACCCTAAGAGATTCTCCTTGCAAGGTGGTTTACGTGTGTAGGAACATAAAAGATGTGTTGGTCTCTCGTTGGCATTTCAGGAGCAAGGTTGTTAGCAAAGAGTTGTATAGTAACAATTCGCTTGAAGATATGTTTGACGAGTTTATCAAAGGGGCTTACTTGTTCGGACCGTTTCAAGATCAAGTCTTGAGCTATTGGAAAGCGAGCTTGGTGAATGTGAATCCGGTACTCTTCATGACATATGAAGAAATGATAGAGAAGCCTGAGGCTCAAGTTATGAGGCTCGCCGATTTCTTAGGCTACTCATTCACTGAAGAAGAAAAGCAAAGTGGAATGGTTGAGAAGATCTTGGAATTGTGTAGTCTTAGTAACCTGAGTAATTTGGTGGCCAACAAGACGGGAACATCTACTTGTGGAATACATCACCATGCGTTTTTCCGTAAAGGAGGAGTCGGTGGGTGGAAGGATTATCTCACTCATGATATGGCGAAAAAACTCGATGAGATCGTTGAAAACAAACTACAAGGTTCAGGGTTGAAGTTTGAGTGATCCAAGTTCGTCAGGCCTTCGAATGTTTGATATTTAATAAAGATTGTATGATTAAATTAAGCTAGCTCATTTACAATTTGATTATCAATGCTGTGTTCTTTTGTTTCGAAGATATTGAATAAGATGTGCCATTTTGTTTTCCTTTATCATGTACTGTGGTCTCATTAGCCGAATCTTGTACCCCAGAGTAGGGCTGTGCAAAATATCCGTTATATTTGCTTCGATCCGTTATTCGTCTCGATTCAATCCGAAAAATCCGGATATCCGTAATTTTATGGAGCAAAGCAAATATTAAAATTCAATATCCGTTAAAAACGGAGCAAATCACAAATACTAAAATAAATTAAGACGGATATCCGCTCCGCTCCGATATAAATATATATGCACATATAAATAGATAACAATTCATATAAAGTGTATAATTATTATATATAAATGTAATTTTTATGAGTTTTTGTTTATAAATTTGATTATTATAAATATTAAAACTTAATAAGTTAAGTAAAAACATATATTTTTAAAGAAAATATTGTCATTTTTAGCTAAATTTTGATTTTTTAAATTTTTATTTTAAATATATTATTATTTAAATATTTTTATGGGGCGGATCGGATATCCGACAAATATTCAAATTTTTAGCGGATATCCGAAAAATGGATATCAGAATAGTTACAGAACGGATACGGATCAAAAACATGATTATCCGGACGGAGCGGATCACGGATATCCTCAAAATCCATGATATCCTCTCCGCGCCCAACCCTACGCCAAGAGTGGTCAAGAGGAAAGAGTCTTTTGGAGCATTTCTATATATACTGTGTCTAGCCTCAAGCTCATATGACTTTTCTTGTCGAAGTATATTTCGGTTTTTTACCAATGTGCTAATGGTCACTTGTAACGTCGTCGTTTTGGGTTCCATTAGATTGGGAAGGGAGAGAGTTTTACTTGAAGCTTTATTCATTGAGTTTTGCATTTTAATGGCGGTCGTCGTTTCCATTCACCGTCCTTATGCAACCCTCTTGATCTCTGAAAACCCGAATCCACCTAAACTTCACCAGAAATTCAACAATTATCGCCTGAGTTTTCATCGTCTTCCTCGGAAAACCAAGCTGCAGCTCGGTTGCTTATCCTCGAAATTGACGCCTTCGAATCCAGACCCTGAAACTCCTCAAGGTGTCTCTTTTCGCTATATTAAATCTGGGTTTCCCTTTACTTGTTCTATGCAACTAATTGGCTGGGTTCAGATGAGGAAGAGGTGGAGAGCGTGGGAGTCAAAGCAGCTTTAGCGATGCTGAGTTTCTACAAGAGTAAAGAAGCACATTTTCTAATTACTCCTCTGTAATTAGTGTTTTTATTTATTCGGGTCTGTTAATGGCGTTTTCCGGTGAAACAGGGGAGATATCGCCGGTGTTACCTAGAAGCTGCCGTTACGTTCCGACTTGCAGCGAATACTCCATGGAAGCTTACAAGAAATACGGAGTTCTCAAAGGCACTGTTCTTACCACCTGGCGTCTCTGCCGCTGCAATCCTCTTGGTACACTGCTTTTCTTTTCCTGTCTTTTCTTGTCGTTTACTCTTTCAATCTAATGAGTTCCTCTGGACACAGGTGGATCTGGATTCGATCCTCCAAGATGGTTTGGTGAGAGTGGGATCAAGCCCCAAGAAGAAGATCACTACGACGATGAGGATCAAGAAGAGATTTAAATAAAAGAAGAATTAAAAGAAAAACAATAGAAGTTGTAAACTATTACTAGAGAAAACAGGGGAAGCTAGCAGAGTTTGTTGAAACTACGAGAGAATAAGAATTACAACATTTGTTTCCAAAAGATTTGATCTTTTTTGTTTTATCTTTTGGAGCTTCTTCAAGTAGACAAATCTGGAAATTGCCATGGGTTGAATTGGATTGACTTAGGGTCGGTGTTGTCTTCAGAGTTATCCGCGGCTTCCCGATGCTCTGAGTACTTTCCGTTGAACTGGTATACTTCGAGATCCCCCCATGGTGTAGGAGTGACTTCTTCGGTTATATCGAACCACTTTGGAGTAAAGCTTTGGCCCTTCTCTTCGCGAGTTCTCTTTTCTGCTCTCTGTCTCTCTTCCATGCTGTACAAAGACGTTGGATGAGAATTAGATTACTTCAATTTCAGATCCTAAAGGACAAGTTTTTGAAAACATACCTGCTCTTCTCATATCCGGATTTGGACATGTCGCCCATCTCGAGTGCGTATCTATCAGGGCGTAACCGTGAATCAGACGGTAACAGCTTTTTCGGGGCAGTGTCGAAGCTATTGATCTTGTGAGCAAAGTGCGTGTATTGGTATTTGTCATCCTTTGGAACATCAGCGAGTTTCCAGACCTATGAACAAAAGACAGCATTAGAATGTCATCAAAGTTAGATTCTTGGAAAGAGACTTGAGTCGATGACAAAGAGAGATTTGACGAACCTCTTTCAGTTCGGTGCCCGGGAGAGGTTCACCTTCACTGTCACACTGCTGATAACTCATGGACTCGTTCCATTTACCAGTCATGAGTATCTTGGGCTCCTCAGAGGCGTTATACACATATCCGTCCACTTCATATCGACCAGATCTGTTGAGACCGTGAATGCGCATTTCTTCAGCTTAGAATGGAAAAACAAGAAGATGAAGTTGCAGTGAAGAGAACTTACCCGAACCAACCACATGGTTGAAAGTAAAGAACGACTTTGTCACCAGTGGTCAGGTTGGTCATGATCATTTCCCCAGGAGAGTCGACCCAAGTTCGTCCAAAAATTAGGTTGTGAACTTTGGTCAGAGGAGGTACCAAGTCAAGAACCACTCCATCTCTTTTAAGTGTCACCCGTGTCCTGCACCACAGATTCATCGCATTTAAGGTTGAGGATAATGAACAAACGAAGAATTTAATTCACTTGCATACACTTGCAGCCCGTGATGTGGTTTTGCAGAATTACCTTCCTACTGGGTAAACGTCAATGGAATTTCCCAGAAACTTTGTTTTGAGTTTAGAAGTACAATCATAAGTGAAATGCTCATTCTCAGCGTGACCAGCACTCATTGGTGGGTGATGGCTGACCTGAGAACAAGACTACTGGTGTCAAAAATCTGGGAAAAGTTGGCAGCTAAAGAACTTAACATTGAGTCGTGACAATTATTTTGAGTTCTACAATGGAATGGCTCTGACCTGTTCAGATATGAAGTTAACACCATTGTAATTAGCCATCTCATAAGTCTCACCGAGGATTGGATTGAACGGTTTCCAGGTACGTTGAAAAGCATAATACACAGATATAGCCCATGATGCTGTTAAAGATCAATTCTTACCATTCAGCCACATATGACACAGAAACTAGATAAACAGATACTGATCATAGCAGAAATCAGGGAAGGAAGGGATGTGCTTACACGCATACACCATGCGCATATAAGGGTCCTCCGTTTTGTCTGCCATGTCTAGCAGATGCGAGTATTCCATCAACTGTCAGGAACAGAGCACACATATGATCAGCATCATCGGATTACAAAACTATCAGACAGGAACAAAACTATCAGATTTTGTCATTAGCACAAACCTCTGCCATTTTCTGGAGCATTGTCATTGGTTCAAAAATAATCACAGGAAGGGTCACCATTGATGTAACATCAGATCCTATGTACTTCTGCATCATCTTCCAATAACCATCCCGTTCCTGAGAATTTGTGTAAAACATGGTTTTCTCAGTTGATAAGATCAACAGTTAACGACAACAACGGTAAGGCAGAAGTGTGTATGTATACCTCTTGCTTCCATCTTCCTCTGTTTGCTTCCTCCGCTGCATCTTCTGTACTTCCTTCAGGATTAATAACTTCCAGTCCCTCGTAGCCAACCAAACTGAGAAAGAAATCAAAACACAAAAAATGGTTACGCTTATTTCAAAAGAGCTAAACTTTAAGCAAACCCCGTTTCACAAGTGGATCGAAACTCTCCGTCTGTAGGTCTCATCTAAATATCAATTCCAAAGGCAAAGGAGCAGGATTTGCAGATATAAACAACCAAACGCTATCAGAAGATCTGAAAATAAGGGATTTCAAAAAGCAAAACGAATAGTTTCCAGGATTCAGATTGAATTGACATAGCATACAAATCTAGCTGAGTGGCAGATCCAGGTTTTAGCAAATAGGATCTCAAAAACCTCACCCGTTAACTGATTTGGTCATGGCCGATCCCAAATTGGAGATCGAGGAAGCAAGAGAAGCGAAGAAACCACTTCCGCCGCCGGCATTTTTAGGATCGTTAGGAGCCATCTCTCCGCCGCGGATCCGCCCACTACCACCACACTACGAGCTCCGGCAGAGAAATCGAGAAAGATAAAGAGAGATGTTCGTTGAAATCCGATTGGGTTTGTTTATGAAGGAAGAAGAAAAAGGCAAAGAGATTCCTCAATAATGGAAAAGACCAGCGATGGAGACGATGCAGAGGATTTAGGATCGTGTGCTGGTCTTCGTTGGCACTTCTTCAATTTTAACATGACTAAACCAGTTCCATTTAAATTGTAATCCGAATCGGATTGTTTCAATAGATAAACCGAACCGATTCGGTTATAGTCGTTTCCTTGGTTCTTGCCTTATCATTATCGGTTTAGCAGAATCGAAGCATATCTTGTGGAAATGATCAGTTTTTCTTTAAACCGGAAGGTAGTTTGAGATATTCGTCATTGATGGCGTCACCAAATCCAAATGCATGCTCCTTCAAATTGAACATGCTCGACGTTCTCTGTATTCTAATGGCTTTTTCACCGTCGCAAATGGCTGGTTCAGTCAAATTCGTTAAAAGTTTCAGTAGGTCTTAAGTCTTAAATATACATGTTTAAGCATATAATTATGGGAATATAATTCTCAGACTACGAAGGAAGCACTAAAAACTGTGCGGCTTGCATTTTTTTCTTTAGGTCGGATTTTAGATCCAAATCCTAATTCAAATGATCTCAAGTCTTAACCATTGATGACTAGATCAAAAATTTGAATTAAAATAAAAGTTATTCACTCCTTTAACAATCACTAAGCAAATTAACACCAAATCTACATTTATCGATTATACATACATGGATAAAAATAATTATTGTGTGTACGTGTATGCCATTCACAAAAGTTGGTGAAATTAACCGAAGCAAGTTAACAAATATTATCACAACAATGATAAGGATAGCAATAATCGATATACATGCATACCTTGAATACAATACGAATCTATTTGTAATAGACTGATTCGATCAAGACTTTGATGTATCAAGATTTTCGTTCCTTGTGATACATACAATGCAATCAATATATGATGATCGTTAAGAGATTATGTTGTCTTCTTCTCCACGGTGCTTTGGCCTAACCGGAGCTCAAGATCCAATCCTTCAATCTCACGATGATGACTCGAACTCGAACCATCTATGCTAACCTTTCCATGATTATCAGTATCCAGCTTGCTTTCTTGAACGCAAAACCCTAATTTCTGACCAGGACTTATATCTTTGTCCATATCTTGATTATGACCATCATCACATGCCAAAGCTTCTTCTTGTTGTTCATTAAGGTCTAGAGAGACAACTTCTGATGAATCACTCTCGGCGACAAAGTCATCCTGATTATCTTCTTCCATAAGCTTTTGTCTGAGTTTAGCTCTGTCTCTTCTGTGGATGTTCATATGCCCTCCCAGTGCTTGGGCATTCGAGAAGCCCCTTACGCAGAAACTGCATATGTAAGTTCTTGACACGGAATTATAACCGCTTTGATGACTATTTTTCGATATGCGATCGGAATAATCATCCGGGGTGTTAGGGTTTTTGATGTTATCCATATAATATTTGGATTATTTTTCCGTAGAATATAGAGAACGATGATCAAGGATTGTGAAAATTGAGCATTACGAAAAGGAAGAATAGAAGAGGAGAGTGTTTAATCCCCAAATGAAATGGTCAACTCGAGCTTTCTTTCTTTGTTTATTTGGGAGAATTATTAAACTAATCCACGCTTCTAATCAAAATCTACCGTTCCGAGGCGACAAAACAAGAAAAGTGAAAACAACTGTTTCTATGTCATTACATGAATAATTTATGCTTTGATAATTAAAGTATTATTTGCACACATCATATCATGAGATAAAAATAAATAAAAAACACTCGTCTGAGAAAACATTATCCTAACTAACACTCTGAAAATAAAATGTTCAAACCTAAAAATAAAATTATGTATCTTAATTATGACTAAAATACTTCCGTTTATACAATTTTTGGGTTGATATTAATAGGTAAAATTATTAATGTAAGAAGATACTCTTTCTGAAAAATGAGTTTTGGATTTTTCAAATGACTAACGCAACATTTGTTTATTGACAAGTGTGATGGTTAGATAGTTTTTTCTTTTCTTAAACAATGGGATATATTCGTTTATATATAACATATTTCATTCGCTAACGTGAAACATTTCATCTTTTCCTAGTTCAGTTCTTATAGTCGTAGAGAATATTCGGATATGTATATCATATATAACGTTCACTAACATGGATTAATTATACTAAGAAGTAGACCGATTATTTAAACGAAACTCAAAGTAAAATCTAAAATTAGTGTTTGTTTAGTTTTACAATAAACATGTAGTTTTACAGTCAAAACGACCGTACAGCATTACCGATTTCATGTAAATATATGGACTCAGGAATAATCAGGATATGACGAAATTAGTTGTATATGGTCGCTAAAGTAAAATGTACAACGCACAGTCGATATTAGGTCTATATATATTGAGAGCCGGTTCTCTACCCATAGATTCAACTTTAGCAAAACGACACAAAAAATATTTAATGCTTAAAGGTATTTGATCATTTCAGTTAATTTATATTTCAAGAAAAATACTTGATTAGTATTGGTCTTAATTTTTTTTTTCTCGATTAGTTTTAAATAAACAAAATAACAGATACGCAGTTGACAAAACAAATGGTCCAACCAAGCATTTTTGGCGTTTTCTTTTTGTCCTTGCACAATTAGTAGTTTAAAACACAACACTAGCTTTCTTTTCGTTATTGGCATTATTTTAACATCTGCTTTTCCTGAAATTATCAACAATTCCAGTGTTGGACATCTTTGAAGAGTGAATAAATTTTTAAAAATCATTGAATTCTTCACATGATAGATTTAACAAATTTCGTTTGTTAAGAAAATCATTATTTTGAGAAAAAAATAAACAAAAACTACAATGATTTCACGACAGAATTGCAAAATTTTGAGGTTAAATACGTTCAATTTAGTACTAACATTTTCATCTAATATCTTTCGTTGAATCAGTTTTACAATATAATATTTTGGTCATACTTTTTCATAAGAACATATATGAGTAAGGTTTTAAGGTGGGCATTGATCGTAAATTTTATGCTTTTTTCGTAATGAGTCACCTTCCTGAAAATGAATAAACCGAGATAATTAAATCGAATATATAGTCGAACAAAAATGCCAAGTCACATGTCAAAACATATTTTTCAAAGGCAATATTGAACGACTCTTGGCTTTTAGCAATAGATAAAACGATTCTATATAATATATATTCACTAGTATTTGCGTATAGTTATAGATTAGCAAAACATGAATATATATATATATATATGTTAAGAATTTACCTGTTATATAAAATACTAAATCTTACTAATTCATAGAGACACACGAGTCGTGTTAGAGACTAATAAATCAGACAATTCTATAGTTAAATGTAATCAGTTAACCGTTGCTATCGAGCATTCGTGCAATGAGTCATTCAATGAATTTTTGTTCCCTAATTTTTATGACACTAGTCACCCTCTTCTTTCAATTCTTCATTAAGAAATTGCTAAGTTGCTAAGTTCAAACTGAGTAGTATATTGTAAATTATTAAAAGATAAATTCAATATATTTTAAAAAACGGTTGTTTTGTGAGGGCGTAAAATGTACGTAGATATCACCACTTTTGCTTGATTTTATCAATGTTGAGCTATAAACTTGAGAAATAAAAGAACATAAAAATATTTTTTTTTGTCTTTTTCAAATAAATGCATCTATAACTAATTGTCTCTAGACAGTAGTAGATTAACAACGAACGTTCCGATATTTATAAGTATCAATGGGTTTTTTTTTTTTTTTAGGTTACGATCTATATATGTAAGGTTCCATCATTCTTTTTAGTATTTTTTGTTAGAGAACTCTTTCTTTCTTTTTTTTTTTTGAACAACAATTTTCATTAATAAAAAGGCCCTAAACAGGGGAAACAAGAGAATGCAGGGAACTATATTTCTTATAACATCAGTTACTACACCAGAGAGAACTATATTTGCTACGTCTACCATAATTTCTTCTTTTATAAATCATAAACACTTTTTCTGTTATAAAGGCTTACTTCTTACGTGAGAAAATATGTTATTGGTATTTATTACCATGTTCACCTATGGCTTTGATAACCTTTTTCTTCATTGAATCCCATCGCAAAGAAATGATCAATAGCCTTGGACTTAGAAGAATCTTTGAAAAGCAATGTGGTAGTTGTATGTGTCAATTCATAGCTATGTTATATGCATGGTACGGACACAATCTATTTGTTTTACTATTATTCTAGTGTTTGGTCGGCAACCAAAGATTCTACTTCGGGGGCTATTCGTTTTATATGAATATGATTAATACGGATAAATTCATATTTTTTAAATATTCTACTTTTCTTTCTTCTTTTTTTTTTAAAAAAAAAAATCATTGGTTTTGCCACCTTAGTTTTCGACTTCCCGTTCTTGTAGTATGTTTGGCAATTCGGCAGAAGAAAATTAGGAATTTAACCATCTTCAATGGCTATCTTATCTCTCTCCCACACCTGCAAAAGGCTACTGTTTTTCAATGAGGTATGAAAGAAACCGAAACTTCATGATTCACGCTAACCCTAGACGCACCCTGACCCAAGTTTTCAAGACTGTCGACCTTACCATCTGGAACAAAGATTCCTCCTTTCAACTATATATGAGACACAGTGTTGCCTCTGATTGGCCGCTGCAGGACATCGAACTAATGGCGATTCTCTTCCTCCTCTGTGTTAACACTACCAAACGGAAGTTGAGTTTTATTTTTATTGAGCTCTATATTTTGTTTTAACCAACGTGGACTGGTCTACTGTACTGGTCAATCTTAGTTTCCTTCAGATAAAGGTTGGACCCGGACCTAGTTCAGTTCCCGCGTTGGGGGAATTTCTCTCCAAAGAAGGTCATCAACTCGCTTTGATTTCGGTCCGATGAGATTAGCGTACAGACCCGAATTTCTTGGTTAACTATATATATATATATATATATATATTGTGTAAGGCTTTTCAGTTTTTATCTATCCATTTCCATGAAAAAAAATCGTTTACCAAAAAATAATTATATATATATATTGTTAATATTATAATGTTAGGCCTTCCAGCTTTGATCTGTATCCATTTTCATATAACAATACATGCATATGCACGTACGTTCACATTGGATGTACATATACTTACGAAAATGGATATACATACTATACATCTTCTGTATGTGGAGAATATTTGTATTAAATATCTAGTAATGTTGTTTAAAGCTTCAAGAAAAACAAAAAACTAACCTCTTCAGCTCTTCAGTAATCGTGTCTCCGTAGACGTATTGTAAGTAAGGAAGAGGTAATCCGCATCCCGAGGATTAAAAGTTATACTAACACACATAATTATACGCATATGCATTTTTTTTTTTTGCGTAAATTAAGCCTTAAACCTCAGGATGCAGATTACCCGGTCCTCACCAATACTTGCCATCAGTAGATTCATATCCTTAGCTTCTTTCATTTTCTTTTATCCTGTAAGATCTTGTTTTTTGAGTTTTTATGGATTGTTCTTGTTCTTTTTTTTTTTTTAGTTGGTGATAAGTTACTAGGAAAATTTGAGAATTTATAAGCCTCACGAGGCTAAATAGTAATGGGAAGATGCTTATTCGAAAGGTTTAATGCTATGAGAACATATGCTCTAGTTGAAAACAAAATCTTTTTGTTGATGTTTGATCGTGCATTCGTCTTTTTCATGAAAAATATTAGAGCTGTAAACTTTGCTTAAGATCCATGTAGAACTTGTACTCTAAATTTTACAGCGTTCTTTAAGAGATAGATATATCTGATTTATGTGAGTTTCTTAGATCGAAAACTCAAAAATTTTGACTGTTGAGACATGCATTTTAGATTACAACATCAGTTATGTCCAAGAACGTAATCTTCATTTCAACCAACCAATACGAAACTAATAGGTTACAATCAATTAAGTGCATAAATGGATATAGTTTGCTTGAATAATTTAGTTTTGCTTTTTTTTGGTTTATATTATTACGATATAGGGCGATACTATACAAGAAAACAATACTACAATAGGTAGATGGAGGAACTTATTCTTTTAATTATAATTTTTGAATATAAAACAAATTGGGAATAAATAGATTAGCATATGTATTTTTATAAACTAATTATTTTAAGCCCCCTCTTATTTTAAATGAGAGAATCCTAAGAGGACTCATCAAGAACTTTAAGCAATTGAAAGCGGAACATGTTAACGGTTTGTGAACTCATAGTAGTTTCTAAAATTGGCAACTGTTTTGTATATAATGTAATTAATAAATCCGTTTTCTATGTCGACCAATCTAACGAAACTACAAATTACCACCACCACTTCATTCGATAGAGTGTTTTCTGCGTAGGCACTAGGCATATAAAAAGCGTGAAAATCAAAAGGAGGGAGTGTGAGACATCAAATCATTACAGAAAGATTCTTTGTCCTCTATGAGCCAATGATGAGAACGTAGGA